AGTCATGAATTACTGAATACATGCGCGCACGCACTCGCTACATCGTAGTCGGGGGATCATATACTACATGTGTAGGTAAGAATCCATCCATCTATGTTGCCGACAATCTGTGTGGATGGCTCGGAGAAGAGGCCTGTCTCCGGAGCCGCTGTCGCCGGCTTGGGCAGGCTACTGCTCAGGGGATCGGACTCAGTGATGCGTCCTTGTTACTTGTGAGCTTTGCCATGCCGTTGCAGGAGCAAGTGGCAATTCATGACCCTACTAGGTAGTCAGAATATAAACTCCCCGGGGAGCTATTCTGAAGAGAGGGTTGGACCTGAATGATGGTGACGCAAGCCTCGTAAGAACGTTCGAGTGGCGATAGCTTCAACTACACTCATTTCTATTTTTCGCAAGGGAAAAGATTGACTCCACAACACAGAAAGACCACCACAAACGAACACCCACTCCGCACAATTGCTCCCTAGCAGAAAACTAACCTAAGCCACTAAGATCTTCCTCCTAAGACTACCTGAACAAGGAAACGAGAAATCAACCGTGAATGGTCCTGTGCTGCTTGGTGCCTTTGCAAGTGGTGTATACCTGTGACCTATTCCTCAGCAGCATCCTCCGCCTTCACCAACCTGCCCCGCGCAGCACAGATTGACCAGTCAGATCGACCATCTCCAAACTTCCGTCTAAAATGGGGTATGATTTCGGCTTGCCGCATACCGCTATCCAGACATTCCTGCACAAAACTGGCTTCTTCCGGAGTCCATCGGCTGTTTGATACTCGCAATGAGGGGTCTGCTTCTTTTTTTTTTTTCATCCTTGCTGAAAGTCTTCGTGCAAGCGAAACCCCAGTTATGCGCTTGCCAAACCTTTCCCAGAACCTTTCGTACATCTTCTTCCCTTTGAAACCGGACTCTGCCAGTTCATCGAAGTAGTCTTTTTCAGCCTTGGTGAATAATTGATGAGTTCTGAGATGATCAATGTTGAGACCGAGTTTTTTGACTCTAGACCTTGTCGCCGGGGCAGACTTATTGGCTTGGAACTTCTCTGCGAACCGTGCTAGGACTTCGTCCCAAGTCTTTGATCTAGAGACCACCTCTGTCAGATAGGCGGTCCGGGTGTCTGTCCAGAAGGGCTCTGTCCAAGCAGGTTTCCAACCTTTGACTTGTGCGCGGTGCCTGAGTGGCCATTCAGTGACCGCCAATCCGAACTTTTGGTTGAAATTCGACAGCCCCTGACCAGCTCGTTCCTATATCGAGAAGATGTCTGAAATAGGCGAGTTGCTCGTTAGTCCAGTCATGGGGTTCTGTTAACCCAGCACGAGCATCACCTTCCTCTTCCCCGTCCACAGGCGCACAAACGAGCGACTGGCCATCATTCGCGGGTTCCTCTGTGTGAGGCTTTGAAGACATCTTATTTGTGGATGGTGAAAATGCGTTGAGCACGGGCTGGCTGTCATGCATAACAGCTTCATGCGAAAGAGGAGTGGGATTCGGCATGCCCTGTGAGGACATTGCGTCTTCCTAAATATCCGCAATAAGTATACCACCAAAGGAGTAACAGAACCCTTTGATGGCAAACCCATCCATATGTTCCCGGATGCTTGCTTCGATGGTGGTGGGCACAGCATCGTTTGCTGTTAGAAATGGGCTTGCACAAACTTGCATAAAGCAGCGCGCCAAGTCAGCAATAGCGGCGAAAACACTAAGCCGAATATGGTCGGCTCCCACACCTCCGAGTAACCTGTCACCTGACGCAACAAGAGCCGACGAAGAGAGTACAGATGCTGGAGGGTGGTGATGAGAGCGGGGCAGGCACTGAATCTATCGCAGGATAGGATTAATAACAGACAGGCATGCCAAGGTGGCCAATGGGTGCTTGCTTTCTCAATGTGTTTCAAACCCCGAGGCGCGTTGCTCGACATCTCCCTCAGGCAATCAGGCTAACTACTACTAGCTCCAATTGGCGTGCCAAGGAGGTTTCCTCCAAGAGTTGGTGCAGAGTCGGGTGAAGGGATCATTACTCGGATTTGTAAAGTATGTTTCGCACGTGTGGAAAGACGTGGTGGCTGTGACGGAAAAAAGAACTAAAAAGGCGATTGGATGAATAAATACTCCGTACATTTTAGAATACAGAACAATACGGCCAGTGATGGCTACGACCAAGGGCACAAAGGTTGGCCCTGGCTCGAAGCTCCTGCAAGGGGTCAGATGGCCAGTCGGCAACGACTTCAGGATCTGAGTGGAGATTGGCCCTGTATGTACATTGTATTCGATGGTCAATACAACTGTATGGGTAGCGTGCATTCTGGGCAACTACGCAGCAATCGTTCCTGCTTTTCCTTTGTCAGACCAGCAGCAATTTCTGGCCTTCTATGCACACATACCGCTGTATCGACATTGTTTGCTTGTGCATGTGCAATTGGATCGTCTCCAACATGAACGTGGCCGGCCAGTGCTAGTGCCCGGCGACACCGCCAATTAGCCGCAACCACGTTCGGATGCGAGGCCCGGCCAGGGACGTCCTTGTAGTACTCCGTACGGAGTACATTCATGTAGTAGGTACTAATCTGTATGACACCAGTTCTATGGCGAGGCCGTCCCACTCGACTGATGGGCTCTCCCCACGGCCTGGCTGCAGCGTAGCCACCTGGCTCATGTTGAAGACGAAGAGCACCCCGCCAGTTGTGCCGCAATTCAGACCATCCGCAATAGTTTCAACCGCTGCATTTACAACAAAGTATCGAGCTGGGGCATCGACCGGGTGGATGAAGTACTATTGCACCGGGCATGGGCTAGTGGTGAGATATGGCCTCTAGTCATTACTGCGGTCGTCTGCTCGGACTGTCCTGCCCTCTGTCCGGCCATGAACAGTACAAGGCTTGTACTCCGCACTTGTTGACATATATTAGGTACCTACCTGGGTATATCGTACTCCGTACAATATTAGATCAGCCGAAGCGAGTCCTTGATAATAAATTTGACCTCAGTGCCTTGTGGATCCACGGCTTGAGCCCAAAATAGGCCCAAGCCTGGCCGTATCGCCGGTCTGGGTGGCCAAGGCTTATTCACGCCGAGGACAAACTCGGGCTTGTGCCAGGCTTTGTGTTTGTCTTTCCGAGCAAGAAAGGAAGCAAAGTTCGTCCTTTATCCTATTATATGCATCGTGGCATAATCATAATCGCCCATGATTGCATCCGGGTTGCCGCAGCGAAAAACATGTATCCACCCTCGTCAAGCATAGTCCATGAGAACATGCTGGCGAAGCGATTAAGCATCTGGCAATAGAAAACAAGCTCTGGCTGAACGTGCAGCCAGGCACCCCCCCAGCTGGTTAGCATAAGGTACAATACCATCATCTCAACTCGGCATATCTCTTTTTGTTTCATCTAGCGGCGGCATTGTCGGGTTATTAGTGACATACGTCAATTGGTGTGATGCTTGGGCCCAACCCGACACACTCGCATCGCAAACATATCCCTGCTCAGACGTGGTCTCCAAAGACTTGCGGAAAAGACATAAGCTTCTGTTGACTTTCTTTTTGCACCTGCCTGGGTTGTTAGCATGACTGGGCTCGACGGCATCATCATGATCTATTCAGGTCTGGCACTTCAAGATTGACTATTCTTGTCCCTTGAGTCATTGTTCTATGGCCCGTCAGTACCCCTGTTCACCTCACCACTGCCTGGGACTCAGCCTGCCCTGAACTCTGACGAATGTTGAAGGTGCTGCGGGATGTACCGCGGATGTACATCCATCCATTCCTGCTCCTCTCACCCACACCCGAACCCACATGCGCCTTGGGGTGATGAACTAACTTAATAATACAATAATAGTCGGCTCGGCCTCCCTTGTTGTGGACTGACTGGCAACGGCGGGCAATGGCGGGTGGTTCGGCCACCCTCCACTCATCATCAGGACTTGGCGGCCATTGAACTCGGAGGACGGACAGTGTTTCTCTTGTTGCTGGGCCATGGGCCAATGGTGGTGACGGGGAACTGAGGTTTCCGGTTTTGAGTTTGTCAGCCCAGGCGAACACGGACTAGACAATTGCGAACCTGGCACTTTCATGGCGAAGGCAATCCGTACAAAGGCCTCATTCGCAGCATTGTACACACATTCACTCCAGCCGGTGACGCCACAGCAGCACCCAAAAAGCGTAGTGGTGTGTCTTCTGGACTCGGAAGGCTGGCTGGACGGCCTATTTGGGATGGTAGTCTCGCTTTGTCGTGTTGATGACTGGACCGGAAAGGATGACTTGTCTCACGGTGTGGATGACGGATGACGGATGATAAGTCCTGGGTGACGGGGAGCGGGCTCCATTGCTGGTACAACCTCGTGCCAGGTTGGGATGGTGATGCAACATTGGATATCGGCGTGCGCATTTGTGTGCGCTGCACGACCCAGGCAGGCAAGCCAGTCTTTCTTACACCGTGAATCTGCAGCGAGCTGTTGAGTATAGGCTGACTGAGGAGGTTATTTGGAGCATTTGAAGTGGTTTCAGGGTTGGCACGCACACGGACGAGTATGTGACTCGGGGCTAATTGGGCCGACCATGCAAACAACATAGTATGGCTTGGATGGTGTTGATACGAACTGCCTTGTCAGCAGCTCCAACATGAATGAATGGGTGGGTACTTTTTTTTGGACCAGAGATCAGTTCTACTCCGTACTGAGTACTCGGTGCTGGATTGAAGAGTTGCACAGGATCAAGAGAGTACGAGGCGTCTTTTCCCAATACCAAGCACGCAGGCCGGAGGTGTGTCGTTTGACGATGTTGTGCTGCCTTGTGCCTTGTGCCTTACGAAAGGGGGGGCTTCGGCCTCGCCTTGCCATGCGATGCCAGGGTAATGACATTCGACATGCCCTTGTATGGCATCGCTTCACGTTATAATGGCATAATGAGCATGAGTTCGTTGTGAAGCCGTCCAGCCCGGTGCAAGGAGCCCGACTCGACGTCTTCCTTGTACCTTGCTTCCCTTCGGCGAGATGATGCGACGCCACGCCATGTCAGACTGGGTTGCCCTGGAGGGCTCTCTTGCGTGGGCTTGCCGTACTCCGTATGCCGTCCTCCGTGCCCCGAGCGTGCAAAGCATGCTGGGCGCCGTTCCATGTCTGCATCTGCGTATCTGCGTCTGCGTGTCTGCGTGAGGGCTGCGTATTCTGGTCTGCGTGTGGCCTTGGTGTGGCCTTGGTGTGGCCTGCGGCGGCTTCGTCTTGGGCTTGGTCTGCATCCGCGTCCCACCAGACAGAGATGTCTCGCTCACGCCTTTTGTCGACGGCCACGCCCATGCCCACCTGGCCAGCCCACATGTCGTCGACCGGCATGTACCTCGAGACTTCAGTACAACACCCATTACGCATGTGTCCGCGTGTACTCCGTACCCAGGTCACTATGTCCCTTGCCACACGCCGTGGGTCGCCCTCGCCCTCTGCGGCTCCTCCGCCCCCAGCAGTGTTCAAGCCTGGTGCTTCAATGTTCAGTTCTGCCATCGGCCACCCGAAGGGCACCAGTTGACGGCACCATGCTTCAATGGTGAGTCGCTGACCTCCAGGTACTGACACAGGTACCTCCAAGTCGGCACCGGGTCACTCATGTTGCATGTATCAGGTACCTTTGTTGCCCGCTCAGGTGGTTATGCCCGTCTGGTACTCCGTCCTTCTGATAGGGACATAGCATGGCAGGAGTGCCCCCCCTCGCTCGCCTTCTGCCGGATGGCTCAACATCGATCCATCCAGGTGGTTCAAGCTCTCGCCAGCCCAGGCCACCAGCTCAAGTTGCTCTCCCCAGTCCAGTCCACTGTCCAGAGATCCCCAGTCCACGATCCACAGTCCCCCGTCCCCGTCAGCCCGTCCCCCCGTCCCTAGCTTCAAATGTTCAATGATGGTGCTGCTAGCCAACTAGCCCACCTGAGGGACCACCTGAGCACCAGCTGTTCCTGTCCTCCCCAACTTCCAGCCCTAACCCAATCCAGCTGCCCGTGCCCGCCCGTCACCTAAAGCCCGTGCCAGTGTCAGTGTCAGCGCCGCCCAGTGCCAGCGTCCACCCAGCCTTCGCCTCATCCTTCCTCTTCTTCCCGCCTCGAACCGCCATCTGGATAACCTCTCTTCTTCTCCTCACTTCCCTCTGTTGGTGTTGCCTCATGAGCCCTGCGCGGTTGTTGGATACATCACTTTTGTTTTGGCTTTTGTCGTTCCGAACCACTCGCATTGTGTCCATCCCACTCATTGCTGTCCCTTTGGGGACGCCGGCAGTGAATTGCCTCTGTCAGCCGCCTGATTCCGTCTCGGCTGCCCGAACGTCTGATATTCACGACCATTTACGATCACGAGAGAAACAGAACGTGCCGAGTGAATCATATCATGTAACTGACTATTACGCCGCCAACAATCATACTTTCAAGCTTCATTGCAGGAAGCTTTACGCCAAACCTGCCTAACCTCTTTATACTTTGCTTCGGCATCAATCGACTTGGAACCCTCGAACCTGCGCCTCACATCCCACCACGACTAGCAGCCTAGCGCCGCTTGACCAGGGCACAGTCTGTCCGACGTCTTACGAAATCAACATAAAAATCAAAAACCCTTCCCTTCGGATTTGGTTGTTGATCTACCACATTCGACAACAATGAATTCTCTCAAGGTTCCCGACGGCGGGTGGATGCTGGCAGGCTCCGCCGACCAGGACTCTTCGCTGCTACCACAAGCATTCGTCGTCAACTTGTCTGATCATGTTGTGGAGCAGATGATCAGGAGTGCACGCACGGGGGATGACCTTGAATTGGAGTTGGGAAAACGACCGGTATGTTTTCTTCCTCTCAAAGCTCATCTTGTGTGTGCCTTGGAGCATCGTCCAATGTCCGTTCTTGGCAAGTGCCAGGAAGGACTATTGTATGACAAGGTCATCTTTGAGACTTCGTACTCAAAGTTTGCCACTGGATTATATTCATATTTGATGCTAATAGACTTGATGTAGATGTTACACTACGGACCTAATACGCACCGAATACCGGCCCCCGAGGAGGAAGTTCCCTTTGACCTCTACCTGACCAAGCCTTTTGAGTCCACTCGTCGTGCTGAGCGATTGCCACATGCGGGATCCGTCTTTAGGAAGCCAAAGTCACCTCGTGTCTCTGAAAAGCAGGCTGTGTCGAGCACGAAAGAAACGGACGTCGGCAAGAAACCTTTGTCTAGTAAAGGCTCAGCGTCTTCCGGGCTTGATTCAGATATTGAAGCCCTGCAAAACAGGCTGGCAGCCCATGATGCCGCCCGCGACCGGTAAGTTACATGGCTCTAATGCCTTCTCAATGATGCCTTGGTGACCAGGCGCTGACGGGGATTGAAGCGCTCGCGTTGTCGAAAAGCTGCCTACGGGCAAGGGTGCTGCCAAGGCCAAGTCCAAGGTCAAGCCCTTGGCCAATTATACATCTACCCCGAAATCAATAACAACTTCACCAGCGCTAAATGCCACCCGCTCGCCGAACCTCACTCCGCAAGTGTCAGCCTCCCAGCAAGTCATGGAACGAAAAAGAGAGCAAAGAGTCACACTGGTTCACGAATTGGCGGTAATGGATCGAACGACCGACTATTTAAAGAATAAGTGGACTGGCAAGGAAGAAGATTTCCGGCCAACGTTGGAAAAGATGGCTGATTTGAACGACTCTAAAAAATGGACTATGAAAAAGTCATGCTGGAAGGAGCTCGATGTTTGGAAGTACGATTACGATTCCCAAGACGACCGTCAAACAGCAATTGACAACGCCGTTCGACAATATGACAAGCAGCGACTATCATCTTCTGAAGTAGAGTGGCAACGATTATTGCCCAAGGAAGAACGAGGGAAGGGGAAGTGCTTGAGTCGCTTGCAAGCCAACCTTGCAAAGGGCCCCGCTCAAGCAGCACCAAAGATTAAAGTTGACGGTTCTGGCCCAAAGGATGACACGGACGGTGCTGAGAATGATAAGCCCAAGAATGGGGGCGAAAGCATGTCTCGTTCAAACTCGACTTCGTCGCGAACCAAGTCAAACAAGCCCTCGGCCCAGGAGGCCCAGACTAAGAGGCTATTGGGAAATTCGAAATCTACGGCAGCCGCACCAAAGCCATCTCCTACCAAGGCCAAACCAGCACGCAAGACTGAGAAGCGTGAGCTTTCCGCAGCCATCATTGAGAACTCCGACTCGTCTGGGGATGAGCCACCAATAATGAAGCCAAAGCCTGTCCCAGCTAAAGCAAATAAAGCCAAGGACACAGTCATTGTGAACACCAGACCATCGGCACCGGCAAGGGAACCTGTCAAGAAGCCACCTGTGAAGCGACCGAGGGAAGAATCCGACTCGAGCTCCAGCTCCGGCACGCCACTGTCAAAGCGGATTAAGCCAAAGCAACCGTTGCCTGCCCCCGGCTCTAGGCCGCTTGCCACAAAGAGCAGCCAGCAATCGCAAGCCCGTGCTGCATCGACCTCGTTCCGAAGCAAAAACACGAACAATACGTCTCCAACAAAGTCGTCACCGCTTGCTTCGTCTCCACCCACCAACGCATCAGACTTGGATGAGGAGCCACCGATGCCCAAGAAGCGAAAGGCAGATAAAGAGGACAAGCCCATGTCGGTGAAGCGCCGGGCTGTGCCTTCGGATGTCTTGAACAAAGCACACAAGTTCAAGACATACTATCAGCAATATGAGACGTTGCACTACGAGATTACGGCGCTGGACAACCCACCCCACGAGAAACTTGCTAGCCTGCTAGATTTGCGAGACCGACTGCAAAACATGAAGCGGGAGATCTACAAGCAGTACTCTCCAGATCGAGAGTGAGGAAGATTTGCTGCTATTGTATTAGTGTTTTTGAATGCCTCTTAGGTTTCGACTTGTTTTTTTCTTCTTTTTATCATGACATTGCATGTTGGGCCTGGGAAGGGAGCGATATCTTTTTATTCTCTTTTGACATATTTGCTTTTATTATTTGGACCGACAAAAACGGCGTACACAGGATAGCGGAACTAGCATTTGCATCAAGGACCAAGGACCAGGGACCAGGACCTTTTGCACGTATACACAGAGGACAGTGGCGGAAGCAGTGATGGAGACAGGAATGTGGAAGTCTACCAAAGATGACGAGAGAGGAGTGAACAAGACCTCGTATGGGCCATGCCTATCTAGGCAGAGGGTTTTAGTTTTTTGATACCACAGCCTGACACAGGCATGATGAATACAAAAAGTATACTCAAATTGACTATGAGTCTGTGACCACCTCTAGGTGCTGTGAGCGGCTGGATGGCGGTTGGACCCATATACCGCAATGAGCCAAGTGCTCACACGACTGTTTCACGAGTTTATTGAGGCTGTTGGGGTTCTGCGGCCTGGATTCGACACTGAGGCCAACTGCGTGGTGTCGACTGCAATTGTTTCGGAAGCTCGGTTCCGCGCCGATACGGAGTCGCAGGACCTGGGTGGGCCAACACTCGTCCTTTTAAAAGGTTCCCCCCCGGAAAAAAAAATAATAAATAAAGAAAAGAAACAAAGGTCATTTCGCTTGTATTGCCAGTTTATGCCATGAATGTTGCCCGACGGGCCATTCATTGTTGTACGATTATTTTTAAACTACGGGGTACGTACCTCGGCGCATGGGTGGCTGGCCCCCGGTCCTCGGTACCCGAGACAGCAGAGACAAAAAGAGACGACAAGACGGCCAGCATGGTTCTAGAGTCTTCAGAGCGCGGAACTCTCCAGAGAACAAACCACCGCCACAATTGCGGCCGTTTGGGAGCCGCACCCGCCGGTTGGCTGGCGGGGTGGGGGGTGAGAGAGGGGGAGGGGGAGGGGGCGTGGGAACATCCGCTTTTATGAGAATCCAGGGTCCTGGGCGAAGCAAAGAACCTACCTTTCTCTGCTGCCGCTTCTTTTCTTTGCGGGCGAGTTTATGTTTTTTTTAAACACGCTCGCTGGCGTGTAAAGTTTCTGGGTATACATATTTGAATCGAACTCTGCGGCAACAATGGCTGTGTTCTGAGCGTCCTCGCCTCGCGAGAGACGAGCACAGACGGACCAGAAAAAAACCAAGAAAAAACCGAAAATGGCCTCATATGACCTGCCCCAGGTCTATGAGAAGCCCGCCTACGAAACACTCCTCGCTGTCCTCGAAGGGCTTCGTCTCCAACCGCCTGTATGGAACCGCCGGGCGGGACGCGCCGCCGCCGTCCAGGAGCACGAGTCGGCTGGTGCGCTGCGCAAGGCCGACGTGACGCGGTACATATCGACGATTGTGTCGTCGCCGCTGGGCTGGATCGCCGACGAGCAGCAGAGGGAGACGCTGTGGGATCTGGCGGCCCGGCGCATGTCAGAGCGGTGCGGCCGCGCAGCCATGGGCGACATTGTGCGCAGGTGGCCGTTTGAGGCGGCCGACGGCAGCGTGGGCGCGTACGAGCCCTTTGAGCTGGTGATCCGGGAGCCTGCGCTGACGGGGGACTCGCTGGGCCTCAAGACGTGGGGGGCGTCGTATCTTCTCGCGCAGCAGCTGCCCGGGCTGGCTGCCACGTCGCTGTTCAGGCTGTTTGACGAGTCGTTGGGCCACGAGGCGCCGGCCGTGCTGGAGTTGGGATCCGGCACAGGGCTGTTGGGCCTGGCGGCCGCCGTGCTGTGGAAGGCCCACGTCTGCGTGAGCGATTTGCCGGCCATCACGGGGAACCTGAAGGGCAATGTCGATGGGAATAGGGCCGTCGTGGAGGCGAGGGGGGGAGCGGTGAAGGTCGGCACGCTGACCTGGGGTGGTGGCGAGGACGAGGTTGATCAGGAGCTGTTTGGGAGGGAGAACCAGTTCAAGGTATGGTTTGACGCTGGGTGTGACGACGTTGGGGAACCGTGAGGAAGAAGAATGTAACTGACGGACTTTGTAGATTGTCCTGGCCGCAGACCCCATGTATGACGACAATCACCCGGCGCTGCTGGCATCTGCCATCGGCCAACATCTGGCGCTGGGCACGGAATCGCGAGCCGTCGTCATGGTCCCCAAGCGCGACAGCACGACGGTCAGGCTTCTGGAGGCGTTCAGACAGGCCATGCTCGATCTTGATGTTCCCCTGTTTTGCGTCGAGGAAGACGAGTTGGCCGGCCAGGATGATTGGGTCGGCGACGATGAAGGGGGCCATGTCCGATGTTGGTTGGGTGTGTTTTCACGCGGCGGCTCACCCGTGTCTGTTTAATGCCTGCGCTGGTGTGAAGTTGGACCTTTGTGAATAGACGGCATATACACTACACAAGCGCCCAATACACCGGCCTCATAGCCGTGCGTTTCCCAAGAAACTCCCTGAGTAATTATGGGGTGATGACGACGGGCCTCAGTAACAAGTGAGCCGTGTGCAGAGTATAGCTTCACATCAAAGGAATGATTCAATGGGATGCAAGCCCAACTGAGCAAATTTGTTAGTGAGCATCAAGCAATCATAAAGGCCTGGCCTTGGGCTCACTGGGCCACCTCATAGCCTGAATCAAGTGCAACATTGTGCGGATGAAGCAACTATGCGAAAAACAGCGCGCTCATAAAGACAACGAATACTTCCATAGACTGAACAACAGACTGACCGTGCGCGTGAGCGGACGTATCGTCTTTTGTGAATCAAGGGGCAAAGGCCACAACCCGGCCGCAATCTTCTTACAATGCTTGTTCTTGGTTCCTCTCACGTCCTCCCTTTGACCTCATGATTTTGCCACGGTACCTGTGATAGGCATCTTGCGGGCATATTCACATGTATGTGAAGCACGGAAATGGAACTGCGTGCCATGTGCAACGGCTGAAACAACTGCGATGAATACCGTCCTCCGAGTTCCCGCATGTCGTAATTTCGCCGCCATCAAGTCCCTAAGCTCCATCCATTTATTTTTGCCCCCTGAATGTGACGTTTGCATGGAAACAGCATGATGCGTCATGAGCCAGTTCTGGGCAATGGCTCTAGGCATGAAAGCCAGTAGCATACTTTGGTCCGACCGATCATTATCATGATGAGCCAAGAGCTGCCGCTATGATATCTGCCTCCATTGAGATTTTGTCATTGCAGACTACTAGGAATACACCTAAATCGCTCTGGCTTGCTCGTCGGGTATCCACAAAGTCACAAATCGTTGTCTACAAAATCTTGGTGGACTAGGCAATTTGGCTCGCTAGACTGCATAGCCTAGGTGCCCACGATTTCCTGAGGGCCAAGGCTTGTATTATCTTCAGTGACGTCTGTCAACTGCTGTCAGTCGAATTTATAACGTTGTCGTATTATAGGAATTTGAGCAAGTAAGCAAATACTTTATCCCCTAGCACGCAAATGTTTCTCCATCTTCCCTCGCTCACGGGGCAAGCCTGGTTGTACAGAATTGCCCTTCATATATCTCTTTATTTTTCTTACTCATCGAGAGGATTCTAAGCATTGACTTTTCGTCTTTGACACTATTTATACTAAAGTGAGCATGATTGCCCCGCCGGCTTGGTGTTTAGCCAAGAATACACTAGATCAAGAGAACATACTTTTTCATCCCTTGAAGACCTACACATTGACTGTTCTGTCTGTACTATTGATCGGTGTTTTCGGGCTGTCCAGCGAGGACGTGGACTACTGCTGGTGATGATTGGAAATGTGAGATCGTCAAGGCCATTTCCATGCAAATCGTCATAACAATTGTATCTATCTCACCTGTCTTCATGAAAAGACCTCAGGGAGAAAGAGGGCCAGACCTAGGGCTTTCAAGCGTCTTTTTGGTAGCGATACCCAGCTCGATGATAGCCGCGGTCCTATTCTAGCTCATGTCAAAGTGAGCCTTCTCGACTTTGTTGGATTTACTCTGCCGACGCGGCTTGGGTAACACAGTCATTTCGAGACTTTAATATGTTTGCTCGCTTATTTTTGGTTGAGTTATTGACCTGGAAATTATATCGACAAGATTTATCTCACCTTCCGTCAGTACAAGGGCTATTTTCCTTGTCGAATATGGCTGCGACACCGTTAGACCTGTTGACAAGAGTTCTGTATTTCGGACAGTGCCGCCTTAGAGACGCCAAATACTTACCTTCTTAACGTCACAGGTATCTAGATAGCCGGGAATCAAAGGAAGGTGTGTTGGCTACTTTGTCCAAACCCAATAGGACGTTCTGCAAGGACAGAGCCAGAACAGAGAGTGTCCCGATATCCACGACAATGCCGGGCTAGTGAATGGAAAGGCCGCTGATGTCTTTCTCAACGTTTCTTCTCACTTTTGCATGGATTTTGACTGCGGTAAGTGCATCCATGCTCTGTTGAAGATGTAGTCAAATTTGGTAAGTACCGCAAGTTCTAGGACTCGTCGCTTCGAAGTGGAGAGAAACGAGAATACGTCGTGCTCGTGTTCGGACGATTCACTCATCTAGTCCAATTAACATCATCATAAGTATCGTGCTTTGGAATCACTGCTTGATCCTTTGTGTCGAACATTTTGGTGACTCTGGGAACACATTGAAGCCTAGGTAGGCTAAGCCATGATGCGTCTTCGTTGAAAGGATCGAAATTCACAAGACAACCCTGCCACTGGAACAAAGATATGAAGCATGAAAATCTTCAAGAAAATCAAAGAGGAGCATGGATTAATCTACCTCTTGTTGCATTTGTGATGAAATAGTGGGCGCATCGTTGCTAGACGTTCAAGTTTGCGGTACGGTGTAGTGCAGAGGAGAAGAAGTTGTCTGTGGTGGCCGGCTCTGCCTTGTACAATGAAACGAGATGCTTGGCGGTTCAGGGAGGGAAGGAGCAATCGAGCTATTCAGTGCTATCTATAGAAGGCCACGGATGCAACAACTTCCTCTCCACGGCCTACATTTGGCTGCGCATACAAGAGGAGGGCTCTGAGTGTCAGGCGAGCAGGGCATTTGGAGGACTTGTACAAAGCTAAGAGCTCGAATACGTGCACAGTAAGCACTAGCTGCTTCTTATTATGCTTTACTAGGCTTCACTTCCTGTGAAGGCCCCCTACAGAATCGAGAGCACATGGCAATGGCATCAGGTGCTGATACATGAAGCCGGCGGAGGACACGGGCAACATTGGACGAAAAATGGCCAAACACAAAATATAAAGACACTGAACGACGATTGTAGTCCCGTATGACTCGTCCAAGTCACTGGATTACGCAGCAGTGACAAAGGGGAGCCGTCCAAGCTTTGCCAGCCGGTGTCATCTGCCGTACGCCTGGCTCTATGCTGCGCTTGTCTCGTCCAGGAACTGTCTGGTTCTCTGGATTGGGCAATATACTAAGTAAGCTTGAGTCGTATGGTGTTAGGCTTGTCATATTGACTGTTTGTCTCTTCAATGTTTCTCCTCCTCGCCCCGGCGCCTTTTCACCGTCCCCACCTGATCTTTACCTTTCTCTCTCCCAACTTCTCTCGTCTTCCTTCCACGCCCCTTTGCTTTCTTCTCCCCTGAATTCTGCCGTCTCTCATCTGCAGCTCATCCGACTTTCCGCCATTAAACCACCAAGCAACGGCGCCGTTCTGCTCTAAAATACCTCGACTTGGTTGGGTCTCGTGCCACATGTCGGATCATCGTCGACCTGTCGCCCGCTTTACCATACACTGATTATTCGCGCCGAACCAAACCAAAGAGATATGCTCATCTTCTCATCTGCTCGACCTGCTCTCCCTCTTCACTCACTTTTGGTCGTTCTTGCAAGAGCCTTCCCGAACCAGCAACGCCCGGCACAACCAGCGTCTATCCCTTTCAACGACAGCAGCAGTACCCAGGCTCATCCTTATCATCGTCTGGGGTTGGCTTCAAGTGGTCTCTGATGGCATCCGATCCCAAGTGAGTCTGCGTGTTTCCATAGGGCATGCATGCAAACAAGTCATCTTTCCATGACGCCACCTGGCCGACCTATATAATTTCTCCATCCCTCTCCCTTCCAGAGGCGCTTGTGTCTCTAACGATTCCGCAAGAAATCATCCTATGAAATAGCCTTGCTATTCCCTATTATATACTATACCCCGTATTCTTTCTCCGTTGTGCTTTCAAAAGGCTTGCGTTTGCTTTATTTTTTCCTCTGTGCCAGATCGCTTGTGCGCCTCGCCGCATCAACATCTCGATCTCTTGTTTCCCCCTTTGCGTCAACCGTGATCCATCTACCTGATATCGAGATGGTGGGCTCTCAACAATACAAAGACCTCGAGATACTCTACGTTCTCAAGGCTATTCACATGGGAATGCCACCCCCCTGGGTTCGCATGAGGTTCGAGCAGCGCTTCAAGCGCAAGCTGAGTGCGAATCAACTTCGTTATTTGAAGAATAAATATGGCAGAGATCCCCGGTTCGGGTAAGCTCTATTTCACTTGGCAGTATTGTGTCCATTGCAATTTCTGGTGCAGTTATTGTTGCAGAGCGATGGATCACGTATTCAACAGCTGCACTCGTTGGTCTCATTCTTGAACTCCCCCTTGAAGCTAACTATTCCCTTGCATAGCACTCCTGTTGCCAACAGCACCTCCACCTTTGGAACACCGAACCCGCGGATTGGATCAGATAACTGGCCACTTGATGACGTCCTGGCTATCGACTACCAAGCTTTTGTAGACGTCGCCGATCCAAACCTCCTTGTTGCTGCCGCTACTAACAGCATCATGACCCCAACACCTCCAATCGTGGCTCCTCATCTCCCCGTTGTTCGGTCTGGAGGCCCTGGTGGCAGTGACCTAGCTGGAGCCCCCAGCCCCCGTACTACCTCCGTGGCCGGCCAGAAGCGTGCGCGTGGCAAGGACGAAGAGGAAGAGGTTGAAGGCTTGACCGAAAAGTGTGTTGGTCTGCCCTAATGCCTTGGAGCACCGAGACTAACCTTGAGCCTTCCCCCAGTCGTCCTTCAAACCTCTACAAGACATCCCGCGTCGATTCCTCTGCAAGCTATACCGATCATTTTTCTCGACCGGAATACTCTGCGGCCTTTCCAAGCCCACTTCCTATATATGGAAATGGTACAATGCTCTCGAGCGACGGGGCTTTCACTCCTACTCCTGTTGGACCAGTTCTTCCAGCATGCCCTCCGGTTGCGCGAACTCCCACATTCTGCTCGAGTGGTCCAGTTCATACCTATGCACTTGGACAGGTAAACCAGTTACCGGTGAACTCCTTCCACTTCACACAGCTAAGCCCCATGGCACAGGGCGTAGCCAGTAACATGTACACTGACACCCTCACTTTCCAAGACGATCCATACGCTGATGGGTCGGGTGTCACAAGACGCGGCGTCCCAGGCAATATAAACACGGTTCCATTTTATCACCCGAGTACTAACTTTTCCTTCAATGGTGGTTTTGGGCACCATGCTGCTAGCGAGCTGGACATCCCCAGCCTCAGTTACCAGCATGGCCCAACAGGTTGTTTCGATGGCTATGGCCAGAGCTCCGCATTGCCAAATCCATGGGACGTCAGCAGCACCTTGGTTCATCCGTCCATGGACCTTTTGAACTCGACACCCGGTTTCCTTGGACTTAATAACACCTCAGCTACAGGCACACAAAATTACACACCGCACCAAATGCCTGCGAACCACTCGCCCTTTACGCCCGCCTCGAATATGATACAGCTGGCGGTATCGCTCCAACCAGTCAACAATCAAGTTGCCCGGCAGATATCGCTTGGCTGTGCAGCCGTCCCAGAGACGAATGCTTGCGGCAGGCTAAAGACGGAACTCAGCAACGACGTACTCGATAATGCGACATCCAAAGAATGCAGAGAAAGATTGAACAGAGAGTTAATAGAGAGTTTATCTGTCCATGGCTCTGATACTAATAACCTGCATCTTTTTTCTCACTTCCCTCCCCCACCTAGGGGCGGCTTTCACCAGGCTCTCGAAATCGCACACCCGGCTACAAATATGAATGCCCCTACAGCCAAAACTGCCTCTTCAGATGAAGTATATGAGACTGATATTTGTGATCATGATCGCCCTACGACGGCCTCAACCGTCTGTACTCGTGCAACTTCGGTTTCTCAGCTCAGCGAGCCTGTCCATAAAGGGAAAGCACGCAACGAGAACAGGCTCGAGATTGAACGCCCCGAGGATGGTTTCATCACGACCAGCGCAGCCCGGGCTGTTCCTGGCGTTTCTCGACGAACAGAAGAGAAGTAAACGGGCTTGAACGGGTTCGAATTGGTGCATTTCGGTATGCGGCGGGGATTATGAAGCGTGCCGCACTTGGTAAAAAATGGGGTTTGGCGCGTGCGACTTTCACCCTTTGAGATATTCGTTGACCTTTGTTTCTTGATTCATTTTTGTTGTCTCAACTTTGGACCATGGCCGCTGGAGGATCACAATACTTTGGCAACGACTGAAGAATGGATACTCTGTGTTTTAAAGAAGCGATTTTTTCTTTCGTTTTTCCTCTTTATGATATCTTTGCGAAACAGTGAAATGGAGTTTCTTAGATAATGTTTGGTGAGAATTTTGATGAATTGGGCGAGATGCGCGAGAACGGATATGGCCCCAGCATGATCGGAGGAACTCTGCTACAAGTAAAGGGAACTTGAATAAGTTCCGAATTCGGACGCGGTTAGATATTGAACTTGAGACCAATACAGAACACTGTATGTCCGAAAATGATGATAAAGAGGTTGATTGAAGTAAAGTAAATTGATCGTCATAAGCCTATACAGCGATAACTCCCATACCCATCCGGCGTGACAGAGTCAAAAGAGTTGAAAGCAAAGGAGTTAAAATAAAAAAAGGGTAGAAGTAAGGGGGTATCTAGTGCGATGTGACAAGTTCAGCTGAGCGCCACATCTCGCTCTTTTGTAGCGCTATTCCGCTTGGACAAAGATTCAGTGCCAATGAGAAAAGAAATAACACAAGGATGTAATCTCCAATGAAATATAGTCATAAAAAGTTTAAAGTTCCTAACTCGTAGCCCAAATTCTAGATGGCGATGCTGACGTTTCTTCGTGATTCAGCTTCATCGACGCCAAATTGAAAGACAAACTTGAAAAGGTCGCGGAGGTAGGCATATCGTGGAGAACTATTGCTCATGGCCAGGACACTCTTCGCCATGTCCTGAGCTATCACCCTTTTTCCACGAACGGGCAAGGCGTGGTTCCGTGGAAGGAATTTGTCTGATAGAACAGAGCTTTTATATTGCTGCAGGAGCGTGGCATGACTAGATAGGGAGCCGAAGGAGCCTGCAGGTAAACCTTGAACAAACTTGTGCAGCACTGTGGACTCGGACATAGGATCTTGGATAGCGTCCCGATTAAATCCTATGTTCATGGCCGCTCGGAGAACAAGCAGCTTTGATCTTGAAATATTAGGATCTTCTGTTGCAGTAGTTGTGGTTGCTGTGCTCGAAGTTCGATTACTACCCCGCGAATAGCTGGATATGTTGGATGTGTTGCTCGACCATCTCCCCCCAAGACCCGTATCGCTGGGGGTACCGAGCACCATAATGTTGGGCATCTGGGGAGATCGACTTTCTGGAGAGATAGGAGTGTCTTCAAACTCGGTCACAGGAGTTTCTGGAACTGGTGGCGGTTCGCGTGGCCGCTCCTCCTGATGGCTGCTTTTAACACTTTCCCTTTTTGAGTGCAACGATGAGCGATTTGACTGTCGGCTTTCTCTGCCTGATTGCTCTATAGGTTGTTGAGGGAAAAAGCTTGTCTGACTTGGCCTTGGGGTATTTCTGTCAGGGCGAATCTGGGTCCAACCATCTCTGAAAATGTCGCAAAGATCCCAGCATGCCTGGACAGCGGACCCAAGTAATTCCTCATCTACCGGATTTCCATCTCGCTTATTTTGGCGAAGACTAAACAGCATTTCAGCCAGGGTCCAGCACGCGCTTAGGAGATGATCTGTCTCTTCTGCTAATTCACTACGCTGTTTCATCAGGCGATGGCAAAGTGTGATGTAAAAGTCGAGAGTTCTCTCCCTGAACGGTTCTGGTAGCTTCCTACTATCCTGAGCGCTGTAAAGGCTGCATTTCTCTTGTCAGCTATAGCATTTGTTGTGGTCTGTCACAAGGTCCTTACTGATTGTTAAGCTCAAAGCTCACGCGAAGCACCGAGTCCGAAGTCTCATCTTTCTTTTGGCGGACATCAAAAAGAGCTTGACAAAAGTCTCGACATAGTTCCAAGTTCATTCTCACATTGTGAGAAGCCAGGTCTTCATCTTGGTTGTCGTAAAGACGCTGGCAAAGCTTCCAGCAAGTTTTCCAAGCCTTCTCGTGAGCGTCGGGTGTCCCAGAACTGTAGAACACTCGTGCTCTGTGGATTGCACTAAGGCTAGCCAGTGTGTTGCAGAGTGTCCAACACTCCTTGAGCGCTGCCCTAAGAGCTGTAATTTCATCGTCAGCAGGCCGCAAGAATGGAGTAGCGGAATAGTCATCGTTGCCGTCGTCGTCCTCTTCGGCCTCAGTTTGTTCATCGATCTCTACCAGTCTGTCAGCCACAGAATCTCAACGGAAAGAGCCTGAGTACATACTTTCGAGGCTACTAGTACTACTGGATCTCAACCGGCTCCCATCACCTAACATATCTTGAAGGTCCTGAGCTCGGGGAGTTGCGCTTTCAATACTGTATCGAACTGGCTTTACATCCGTCGAGATAGGGGGCCGAGGGGGCTGTGATATGGGCTACAGAAAGCAAAGAGTTAGCTGTCCGTCTAACAACATATATTGCACACGTCGACTTGCCTTTTGCATAGGACTACTAAGTGCAGCCGAGTTTTCCTCCTCTCTCCCGGAGAAGGACCGATCGCTAGGCTGGCTTTGTTGAGCCGTGGACTCTGTGGAGGTCTGGTAGATGTTAAAAAAACCAAGATATTAACAATGGAAACATCTCAACCGTGGAAAATGAAACACCCACCCAACTAGCAAAGCTCTCAGGTGCATGAATGACTGAGACAGCCTCATCACCACTTGCCTGCCGAAAATTCTCCGGCAAATTTGTGGAGAGCATGAGAAGCTATCCAGAAGTTAAAAAGGGCTTCGATGCTCGATTTGCAGGGTGACATACTTCGGAGCTCTGCGACATATCTCCATAGTGTGTTTGTTCGACATCTTCTAAAGCGTCGTCTTCAATCTCAGTGGTTTCTGTCCCATTAGAAGTCACAGGGGACGGTCCTACAATGTCGCTTGGGCTTAGAATGTTCATCGAGTTTGAAGATACGCGATTAACGGAATTTGGCCGCAACATAGCCGAGTCTGTTACAGGCGGAGGAGAAGAGCTAATATAGTAAGTCAAAAGTCGTCATCCACAACTGTTCGGGAAGTAACTCACACGGTTCTGTATGATGACCGCAGCCCATCAGCTTCTGCTGAGATAGACATGTTGCCCTCTTTATTAAAAGGAAATTGCAAGTTTCCAGCTGATGATCTGAGAGGTACCTCAAGAGCCATGATCGGATGGCAATAAATGCGCGATGGTTGGCAGGAAACTCAAAAGTGGTGTAGGCTATCAAATATAAATATAATTAAGTGGTGCAGTGATAGTTACGCAGGCCTGCGGTGCACCTTTAACATGCCCGGGCAAGCTACGAGTCCAGCCAGTTCCAAGCAGACACTGTGATCACCACAGCGGAGCTATAATCGAAGCGAGGTATGCCTGGCCGAATTGTGTTAGACCGGTGCATCAATGGTGGTTGAGACGAGGTGATCCACGAGGTCGCAATAGTTGGCCTACCTCATTAGCAGACTTCCAGAATCGAAGCGACGACAGGACGTTCGAAACAATATTCCTCCAGATGGAGGGCTGGGAGGATCAGGGTCGGGAGTAACGGGCGGGCGGCTGTGGTTTAAAGAGGCTCCGCGCAATGAGTGGTTACGGTCAGGTTGGTTGATAGACAAGGGTGATTGGACCCCATATGTATGCGTCCAACTAGGCTGCAGTAGGCTGAAATGCACCCCTGTGAGATTCTGTGTTATAGCAACTCACAGCAGCAGATGGCCGTTGCTTTTTGGAAGCGCCAGGCTGTCTGTTCAGTCCGTGCAATGGGCAGGTAAACCAGGTGTGAGGTGGAAGCAAGTGTCAGCAGCCTCAAAGTTGTGGGAGATCCTGAGCAATCTCCAAGGACCGCCGGAATTAATAAAGTGGCCAGCGAAAGAGTAGGTTGAAAAGGGTGTCTTGGTGATGCTCAGGTGCAGCCATCCAACCAGACTCAGACATGAGGGGTTTGGGGCCTTGTGTTGGAAGCTGTTATCCTGGTGATAATGTTGGCTTATTTGATGACGAACTGAGCTGCCTCGGGCCGGACGATCTGGCCGGCGGGTTTCCGTCTCTCAATGAGCCACGTCGTAGGCTCTGTTCGGTAAATCAAAGCTGTCAGCACCAGGAAGGCATTGCAAACTTTTGCTCCGGGGCGTTATGGGGAGAGAAATACGAAGCAAGAGTCGTAGCTAGTGGCAGACAATCCAGCTTGGCCGAACAACCAACAACTCGAAAAAGCTGTTGGTTCATGTGAATCGCAACACCAGGAAGGGCGAAAGGCGTACTCAAGTTGCATGCGCTATCCCCTAAATGGGTGTGAGCTTCTTGTTTCCACAACCAACGCGTGACGAAAACCAAAGTTTCCCAACCGGCAGGAAAGCAATCGGGTTGTCCCATCAAGAACAGAGAGAGCAGCTGGGCCCTTCTCGATCCAATCTAGCGCACCATCCTCGTCAGCCAGGTCCGCGCTCTCATCGCCATTGTCCCCTCTTGCCGCAACGGCCCAGAGCTCTTTGTTCCAGCCAGTCACATATCGCGTTACTCGTCGTGGTGGAGGGGGAGGACGAGCCCCGATGCGGCCAACGCGCGGGGCTGCATGAAGGGCAGCAGGCCTCGGCGCTTAACTCTGGCGAGTGGGTTGGCGGCTCGCTTCCGGCGACAGGTCGCAATTCGTTGATACGTAGATACTCTTCCATCCTCCCAGAAAGGGTGTGCGTGGCAACTGACTCCATCGTCTCGCATGTTTTTGCCCGCCTTTGGCCAGCTGATGGGAAAGACATTCAGGAACAGCGCGCGCATGCCTCAGGTATCCCCAGGTATCCCCAGGTATCCCTGCTATACCGTGAAGGATTCGAGACGCAAATCCTCTGGTAGTGTGTACTGGCAGGCGGTTTGGGAGGCGTGTTTGAGCTGAAATCGATCAACTTGATTCGTAACTAGTGAGCACGCTCTTGCTTACCTACATGGCTGTTTTGCAGAGTGCACGCCAAGACCCTGGTCAGGATTGTATGATATCTTCACCAGTGAAGACCTTCCTTCAAGCTTCCAGCATCAGGTAGCAGCTCTCACAAGGCTTGTGCAACCAACCCAACACCACCGTCGCTTGGTCTGAACGCGCATTTTGATCGGTAGTTTTGACCTTGGCCGCTCCGCTTGAACCATGTCTTAGCATCGGCCTTTAAAAAGCACATAAATAGTAGTCAAAGGCGCAATGGTAGATAAGTTACTGCATACCGTCGTGGACGAATCCCAATGGCGGTTTGGTCCCGAAGATCTGGTCACGGCGGCTTCAACATCAAATCAGGCCTGGCAGGTGGAGCCCGACACCTGCACGACTGGGGGGCTGCCTAGACTTTGGCAGCAATATCTTCTCAGCAAACGACAAAGTCAAAGGGCGTTGGCTTGAAATTTGTGTGCAGGTGAGTGAATTGAAAAGAGGCTTTTCACACTCAGAATTTAGACTGTGGAGCGCAGCAGGGGGGGATATTTGAAATTGCTCTAGGGAAGGAGCAGCCTCCGTGGAATCGCTTTCGGCTTGGTACGTACGTCTCTCCCAGGTAGGATCTTTTGTCTACGACGTTTTCTGTTGATATAGAAGTATTGTTTTCTCCAAAATGACGAGATGCTTGTGTAACGGCTACTTGGGGCCTCAAGGTCTTCGCCCAGATTTCCCACCAACGCTTGCTTGAAGAGCTCGCTTGGATGCCACATCCTGGCAAGCCATGTGCTGTGCATCCAGCTCCAATTCTTCGCAGCTGACTGGAGTGAATGCAGTTCTTGACAACACCTACAGGCGGCCAGCGCACCGTAATCCGTGGCGGTATGCATTGGTTGCACGACAGCCAGCTCTAGAGACCCAAGCCTGCCCGAGTGGGGAGCTATTGGCCAACATAGCCGCGATATGGCCGCCCATGGTAGAATTTGAACTCTCAAATCCTGCCCGACACTACTGGCGACCTGATAACCGGTTTCAGGTATATCGGCAAGCCACTTCGAAAGCATTGACGCTTTGTTTAGCGCCAGAAGCCTACCTTTATACAGCTCCGATTTAAATTTAGCATCTTCTAAGCAGCTACGCGAGGCACCCTGGATCTGAGATTGAAAGAGGGCATAAGCATGTTTTGGAACGGTTATTGAGGTTCGGAAACACGGCGTTTTCGTCGTACACCGTCTTCGACGGGCTATGGATGCTCTAGATTCCCGGAGTTGGCTAGGTAGACAAAGATTTGGTGTGCTACCGGAAGCTGAGGAGCTGATACCAGGTTACATTAGCTGCAATAGACAGCCGCTTTGCTCAGCGCATGCCATCAGTGTACAGGAGTGAGATCTGTTGGTGGATTATGCTATTTCAAATACTTTGGGCCATAGGACGGTATCAATTCATGTCTTGACTTTGCCCGACCTAGGGTACTCTGCTACAACTCGTGTCTAGAGCTAACATGAAACGAGAACGTGCAAAACAGGCAGTCGCATGGCTCCCTTCATTTAGGTGTAGATAACATCCCTAGGCGGGGAACGAGCCATCTTAGGCCACAGGTCACATCTATGCCATCATTCGACAACGTTGTTAGGTAGAATCAGTTTTTGAATAAACTTGTGAACTTGATTCTCTCGAAGAGGAAAGGGGCTGAGATCAGACCACTAGCATTTAATCTCCTAAACAGAATGTCTAAAGAGGCAAAGTTCTTTTGGGTATGCCATAACCTGGCCTCCTCCAGCGCCAAATCTGTTATCAAACCAACATAGAAAAAGAAACGACCCAAGAAACGCCGACCCATGCACTCATTGACAGCGAATGATCCAGCCTCATGCCAGTTCATTGAGCCGTTGCTTCTTCTCGTTTCGACCGTCTGGTGTATATCTAGGGCAATTCAGTTAGCAACTGCGATGTTGAAGGAGCCCAGCTAGTTTGGCTTACTTGAGCAGTTTCTCGATGAGGTCGACGTGGGTCATGATCATGCGACGACAGCAATAACGCTTCAACCCAAGTTCGTCCATGGCATCACTGTTAAGTAGCGTCAGAGAATTCCTGTTTTCAGCAGTGATTTGCCCGGTATGTGCTTACCCATCAGTTTTTCTCGGATCCGCGATGAGTTGGAGATACCGCTCCCAAAGGTCCCCCGTGACCTGCAAACATTAGTGGTGGACTGCAATATCGAGTTTGCGCATGCGCGTACCTTTCCGCAGGAGAAGCAACGTATAGGAATAATCATGATGAATTTTTTCTTTGAGAGCTGATGACAGATCAAAGTGTGTCTGGAGATAGATGGATAGAAAGGTGCGATCGTGACGAGATTGGCTTTGTGAGGCGACTAGAAAATAGAGCCTGGGCCGGGGTTTTGCCGGAAGCCTTATCTTATCAGCAAAAAGTTCAATGGCGGGACCAAAATTTCTGAGCCAGCGCAGGCCTGAAGCCGACCTTGTCGACGGCCAAAAATTGCCCATTGCGACAAAGCTTTTTTTTCTTCGTCTGCGATTTGCACGCACGTTCCATATCTGTCGGATAGAGAACATCTGTGACAATGACTGGAACTAAGGGCCCTCGGCCTAAAGATGACAAAACAAAAAAAAGAAAGAGGGGCATAACTGAAAGCGAGACGACGTCGAAGAGACACAGACAGCAGAATCGAGAAAGCAAAGCTAATGGCAACAACACGCCAACGCCTCAAAAGTCAAAGCAGGGAGAATCAAACCATGAGGTCCTGGCAGGAGAACTGAGCTCTTTTCGTCCTCAACATGTCATTCGGCAGTCTGACGACGGAGAGGCTGGCTGGCGAGTTTCAAAGCCAATGGGCGGCCGGATGCTAGACATTGATCCCATTCTTACAAAAGACGAACAGTGAGATGCCTTTCAAATCACACCCCAACCTGCTCTAACACTTTGACAGATATCTCATCCTAACGTACAACACCTCAATTCAAATATATAACGCCAACGACTCCCTGCTTATTCGACGTATTCCAATTAGCACTCTCGATACATCAGCCTCGAAGGGTTCAATTCCTGCTCACATTGTTGGAACCCGTTTGTCAAAAAACAACCCTCAGTTAGTGTGGGTGGCATGCTCTGATGGACACATTTATTGTGTTAATTGGTCTCAAGGAGACGCCCCGTCCCCTGCGTTTCAAACGTCTTCCAAAACTGCGAAAGCCTTGGCAGTTGTGCCAGTTGCTTTTGCTGAGGACAAAGAGATCCTCTTGGTTGCGGAGTCAGAAAAATCGAACCGTATGGAAGTCATTGCATACCAACTAGTCAACGGTGGCAAGCGCAAGTCGAACAGCGTCTTGTCTCTCCAGAAGCCCGGATATGGCCTTCAAATCCTCGAGACCAGTGAAGACGGTCAGGTCATCGTGGGAGCATTCCAGGATAGCTTATTCCTAGGCACTGCCTCTGCAACCGCTGAGAGCCTTGACCAATTGCAGTACGAAATTTTCTCCTTCGACTCTCCTGACCTCATCACATCCATCGACCTGAGACTACATGCACGATTTTCGGGGAGCAGAAAAAGCCAAGCGGGGGCGGATACAGCTGTCGATGTCATTATTGGAGGCGCTAGAGGAGGCATTTATGTTTATCATGATGCTTTGACCCATGTCAGGGCTGTTGGGAAAGCCCAGCTTGTGAAAGATGGCATTCAAGTACAGAAGTATCACTGGCACCGTAAAGCTGTCCATGCAGTCAAGTGGTCAACAGACGGTACATAAATCCTTCCCTGATCGCAATTTGGGTTCGATTGCTAACTCGTTTCAGGAAACTATTTTATATCTGGAGGTTCCGAGAATGTTCTTGTTGTGTGGCAGGTTGACACGTCTAGAAAGGACTTCCTACCACACCTGTCTGGGAGCATTGAGAACATTGTGGTCTCGCAAACTGGCTCTTCCTACGTTCTCCATCTAGATGATAACTCAGCCATGATTTTATCTACTGCTGAAATGAAACCCACTGCTTACATTGCCGGAATCCAATCAGCAGCAATCGATGTGTCAGAACCGAAGGATTTACTTGTCCGACGCGTGTGGAACGTATCGGAACACGTACGACAACCGATCCCGGCTTCTATCAGACCTTCGGATCCCTCAAAACTCTACGTTTGTGTCAGCAATGGCCGCCAGGAGACTTTGTCAGGAAATCTCTCTATGCCGTTGTTGCAGTCTTTTGATTTGGAATCATTTACTAGTGTCTCGAAGCAAGCGCTGGCGCGAACACAACCCACAGATGTTAACCTCAGCAGCAAAGGACACCCAATTGATGAACCTGTCGTCACAAACATCAACTTCTCTGGAGATGGCAAGTGGCTCGCTAGCGTTGATGAGTGGAAACCTGCACCCAGAGATGTGGAAAACATCTCCCAAGACCTGAGGCATCAGTTTATGCGCGAGAGGCATGAGGTTTACCTAAAATTCTGGGAAGTTAGGGAAGGGGCCGAGTCATTAGAATTGGTGTCAAGAATCAACGCGCCTCATTCCACCACTTGCCCAGAATCAGTTCTAGACTTGGCGTCTGATCCTACATCAAGCTGCTTTGCAAGCATTGGATCTGATGGAGTCGTACGACTGTGGAGACCGAGGCATCGCCAGCAAAATGGGGTTTCGGTCAAGGACGCAAACGGCCGGGATGCTGTGTCTTGGGGCTGCACTCAAGCTATCGGTGTTGGTGACGGCACTGGAATCGAAAATGGCACGGACCTTATCAACCCGACGCGGCATATCGAGGTTCAGGGCAGAGTTGTCTTTTCAGAAGATGGCTCTACATTGTTTGCCGCTTTTGGGGCTGTTGATCCCGGGGTTGTATACGTTATTGACGTGGCCTCTGGGCAAATCGTCAAGACTCTTGAGGGGCTGTGGGATGGCAAGCTTCAATCTATCCAGGCCCTGGGCTCTTTCATTATCGTCTTATCCAGCGACTTGAGAGTGTATAACGTGGTTGCCGACGAGCTAGAATATGGCATCGTTGTCCCCAAACTTTACGGGGTTACCGAGCTGCATCAACTTGCCGTTGACCATACTTCGGGCCACTTCGCTGTCACTCTCCCTATCGGCGGTGTATCGAGCATTGGTATCTTCGACCCGGAAGACCCAGAGCCTTTACTAGTTAGGAGCACGCCGCATAGGATTGTGAGCCTTGTGTCAGCACCGGGGGCAAGTGGTTTCATTGCTCTCGATGACGCAGCCCAGGTCTGGGTGATTGCCGAAGGCTCTGACCCGTCGTCTATTGCAACTCTTCAGCCGCTACATGATCTCCAACTAGATGGCCTCTCCGGAGCCGTCGATGCGGGCCCGACCACTGGGGAGGTACTGGCCACGGACGAAATGGACGTTGCCAGCGAGGATGATATGGCCGATGCAAAGGAAGTGGATGAGGATGTTGACATGGGTGACGACGACGACGACGACGACGATGCTTACGGCAGTGTGATACCTCAGCAGTTCTTGACGGAAATCTTCGATGCAACGCCCGCGTTTGCCGCGCCGTCTATCGAGGACATGTTCTACAAGGTGACAGGACTTTTGGCCACAAAGCCCCATGCCGAGCAGTGAAGGGGGGGATCACTGGCTGCAAGTTTCAAGATGTATATACAACGGCGGTAGATGTACACGGCGCATTTTTGGAAGAGCCAGCTTTGGGTATTACTACAGCAATACAACATTGTAATTTTAACCGGGGGTCAATGCAAAGTGAGTTTTAAGGTTGCGTGAAGTGATACAATTTAGCCTGCGAGAAACCGAACCGAACTCGGCATCGGCAGTCCATGCTTGCATGTGGCCCCAATCCGACAGCGGCGCCCAAAAAGTGGCACCTGGGGGACGCGGAACTCCACGGACCACGGACGACTTGGCGGGTCTCCCGGCCGTCTCTCAGAGGGGTCTGGTCGTCTGGTGCGATTACGCCATTCTTGGAGGGGCTTGGGGGACGTCAAGAGAGGGCGATCGAGTGTTGTACATGCATGTGTTGAACTTGCTGCTCCATTGCTCTCGATCTACCTGTCTGGGTATAAAAAGGAGCCGGGAGGAATACAGGAACGTCAGAGTTGGACGATACCCATCTGTCGGGACCACGTCCAAAGCAGCATAGGCCACAATGTCATTTACTTCGATTCCCATTCTGGACCTGCAACTCGCCCGGGACCCGGCCACCAAGCCCGAGTTCCTGGAACAGCTGCGCTACGCTCTCCTAGAAGTGGGATTCTTGTATCTCAAGAACGTAGGCATCCCAGAGGACCTCTTCCAAGATGTCATCAAGAAGGGCAAGGGGTTCTTTGACCTGCCTCTAGAAGAGAAGTACGTGCTCACCAATCGCCCCCAGCCTCCATATACAGAAACCCGGCTCAACAAAGCATACCCCATTTGCTTCCCGTTCAAAAGCGCAGCCGCCGTGGCCCCGGGCTAACAAACTTGCCAGGCTCAAAATCGAGATGAAGAACGCAAACTCCTTCCTCGGGTACTCTCAGCTCTCTGCGGAAATCACCGCCGGCGAAATCGACCGCCGCGAGCAGATCGACTTGTCCACCGAGCACCCTGTCCCATCTCCAGGCGCTCCTCTGTACCACAACCTCCTGGCGCCGAACCAGTGGCCGGCTGAAGACTACGCGCCCGGCTTCCGGGCCACGTACACGGACTACATGAAGCGCATGGGCGACGTCTCCCTCTACTTTACGTCTCTCATCGCCGAGGCCATCAAGCTCCCCGGCGACGCCTTCAACAAGTACTTTGACGAGGACCAGCAGCACAAGCTCAAGATCGTAAAGTACCCCGACATGGCGGAGCTGGGGCAAGAGGGCGGCCAAGGCCAGGGAGTCGGGCCACACAAGGACAGCATGCTGACGAGCTACCTGCTCCAGGCCACGTCCCACCGGGGCCTGCAGGTGCAAAACGTCCAGGGGGAGTGGATCGACTGCCCGCCGATTGACGGCACGCTGGTCGTGGCGATAGGGCAGGGGATGGAGGCCTTGACACAGGGCGTCTGCGTGAGCACCACGCATCGCGTGCTGTCGCCGGCTGCGGGGTCCGGGGCCAGGTACTCCATTCCCTTCTTCCAGGGGGTGAAGCTGGATGCCGAGTTTGACGACCTGGAGACGGTGGGTGTCGGGAGGGTGCCCGACGATGTGAGGGCGCAGAGGAGCAAGGTGATGGAGCGGACGGGCGGGAGGATTGACGACGTCGAGTTTACGTTTAGGGCGGGGGCCGTGGCCAAGACGTTGGGCGAGGCCGCGCTGAGGAACAGGGTCAAGAGCCATCCGGACGTTGGGGAGCGGTGGTATCCCGATATTCTGAGGGCCATCAGGGAGGAGCAGGCTGCGGCGGCGGCGGCGGCGGCGGCCAAGAAGAGTGCTGCCGGACCGGGGCCCGCTGCTGGTGTTGCTCCAAAGGCGGTTGAGGCTCATTGATCGCATGTGTAGAAGATGCAGAATGTCAATATCGTATAACAAATTCATCACGAATCGTCACAGTGTCTACAACTCAGCGCTACGTCCTCTCCATCTCCCCTAATGCTGACGCCGGTGCTAAATGAATACTGTCAAGTCTAACTTTTCGCTCATGCCCTCTGGCCCCCCCTACTCCTACCCAACTTGTACAACGTTGACGCAAAAACTTGGGCTCAAGACCGCCCAACATGGGCGACTATAGGGTCTTTCCGGGGAAGCAGTCGCCAATCTCCTTACTATGCTTGTTGGTAGCATGTTCCTGCAGTCTGTGCATGAAGAAAATGGAAAGATTAGTCCAACGCTACTTGAAGGGTATAGGAATCAACACAGCGTCGAAGGCAAGAGAGAGTGTCGGTACGTACGCAGGGCCCTTGGTGGTGGAGAGAAACGTGGCCTTGCAGATCTGGCATTGAATGTTCATGGCCTGCTGGTTCTAGAGGGAGGGAACACGGGCGTTAGCAAAGAGGCATGTTTACACTGCCAAGGCAACGAAAAGGCGCAATACAATGACATACAACTTTGAGCTGCGACTTGGCGACTTTGCCGTCCTTGGCGTTGCGCTCGCGCTTCTGTTGTGCCTTGGCTCCCTATGCGTCATGTGTTAGTACGCCTGCTGTTGGGGGCCCGAAGCACTTGGGTATTTGTCATACGTTGCCCATTTTTGCGAGGATACCTTGGTAGGTCGAGGCGGAAGGAGTGTAGGAGTGCGAATCGGGTCTGGGACCGAGTATGCCACGACCACGCGGAGTATCGGGATTCGATGAGGAATTGAACAGGTACGAGGCTTTACGTCTAGTGTGGCGAGTGCCAGCGAGGTCGGTGATAGGGTGGGAGATGGCGGGCTGGTGTGGAATTCTGGATTGCGTGCTTGATGAGATGGGCCAGCAGAATATAGTCGGATCGAGAAGTTGTCGACGAAATACGAAATAGAAATGCGCAGGAGGAGAAGGGCCTGGGTGGGCGCAAGTGGGATGGAGATGGCTGCTAGCTGATAGGCGATAAGGCCAACATTGAAGGGATGTGGGAAAATTTGCTCCGCCCTTCCATGTCCGCCCTTTTCGGCCACCCATTGAGCTGCTGGTTTCTCAAGTGCCACCTCCACACATCTGCATCACAGATTGACGGTCAGAGTCGACAGCCAGTACGGAGTACTACTACAACAGCTGGAGACTCCACGAATCCACTCGTGCCGTCGTCGGGTCTTCTCGTGAACCAGCAGTACCGACACTTATTATTTTAACCCCGGCAGAGGGTTGCAGTGCATTACGCTCTACCGGGCATCGTCATCCTCCGTCGCCCTGCGGATATATTTTGCGAGACCCAACATTGAGGCTCCCTTTCTAGCGCCCCGTCAACGCAACTGGTTTCATCTCCAGCATATTAGTCAACATGTATCTCCCTGGATGGCTTGTCAGTCACGAACATTATTTTTCCGTCTTGTCAGTTGCAGCCGGTGGAGCGCGGAGATCCGGGAGGAAGATCTACGGTTTGCAGAAATGAAGTCTTGGACCACTTCGAAGGGGTCGAGTGCTCATGGCTCCCCCTGCAAGGTATAAATCTGGGAGAATAAATTAACATTCTCATATTCTCTCGCCAAGTCTATTTCGCAATTATTGCTTCGCCACGAAGCTGGCCCAGCGAGATATGCTAATCACGGCAAGACTAAACCTTAAAGTATTGCCACACAGCATCGGGTTGATCCATCGTCTTGAGCCATCTCTACAAACATCTACTACAGAGCGGATCCGATTCGGAGGGTGAGCCGTCTGCAATCTCACCGTTCTGTCACGAGGTCAAATCAGCCTGGCCGACTAGACAGAGCTAGACAACTTGACAACCATGCCGTACCGAAATAGTAACTAGTTGTTCGTGAAACATGTCTCATGTCGCAGATCGATCAGGGGCATCAAGGCTGAACTAACTGGTTATGGGGCACGACATGGCGTTACATCGATGTAAAGACATACCCGATCAAACGAATCTGTCTGCGCCTCTCTTTCCTTGCGTTCTCTTGATTACGCGGATTCTTGAGAATCGAGAACAAACCGCGATGTTTCAGAGACTTGTGGTGATACCTTAGATACGAATGACATGCCTAGAAATGGACAAGAACCCAACGCCGGGACAGACTTCATTATCAGCTCCCCAGGGAGGGGAACATTGTGGAATGCCTTTACTTCGAGTTTGATCTGGAGACTATCATGTATTACGAAAAAAAGCCTTTGTACTCATGATTTTCCGTTAAAGACGTGAGGAGTTTGAGGTTCTGGCTAGCCCAACTGTTCCAGCACACCGTAACAAATATGAGAATGACCCGAATACAGAATAAGTACACAAAGAATCACGATCCCAACATCTTGTATTATATCCTCGTCGTTGCTTTTCCCCAGAGATTTTTTCACGTCAGTATATTCTGACCACGACAGACGACATGATTTTCTTGAAGGCCGCCGTCCCCAGCAATATCTAGTCAATCTGGAAGAGGCATGCAAAACGCTACCTCCAAAGTTGCTGGTGCCGGTTTTAATTTCTGGCATGGCAACTTGGACCACTCTGGGAACGCCCGCGGTTACGCCCCGGATCTCGGGAATGATTACTCTTACGATATCTTCAAATCTGTGAATGCTGGCGATGGAGGAGCAATCTTATATGCTATTAACAGCAACAATGGCAAACAGCGACGGTTTAATTAGTTGGTGGGCTTCTCAGCCAAGAATGCGTACTTGGGAGTAGGGGAAGTACTCCTTACTAGTTTTGGATTCATGAGACTGATACAGTATACGACTCGGGCCGTATACCCCCCCCCCCCCCCCCGGGGACACATGAGACTGGCTCGCAAATTCAGCTTCACGTTGGAGCTATTGTAATGGGAGATGCCACCAATTCAAGGTAATATTGTCATTGTGGTAGAAACGATCTTTTCCGGCGGACTTCCCTTGACTTCTATCAGCTCCCTACTATCAAGGCGTCTAAAAGGTTGGCGAGGGGAGCAAATGCTCGTTAATAGTGCGTCTGTCTAAATCACCCAGCCGGGGAAATAGTCGACTGACACATTGATACTTGTTCTTACTAGTCTTAGATCCGCGCACTGAGGTGCCTGACGATGGCAAGCTGCATGGCGGGCTTTCATTTACAGTTGGCTTGAAGAAGGTGATTTTTGACACTACAACATTGATGGAAGTCAGTCTACTTAAATCTGGCAGCAGGCGCACCAGGAAATGGCCTATAAGAACTTTGATTTTTTCTAAAACACCCGTGGCATGCGCATTAGGGGAGGAAACGTCGTCACCATTACCGGCTCGACCTTTGAAACCGTGTGTGAGGCTGAATTGAGTCTGGTGTACGGAAAATTGTAAAACGGCCTAATCCAGATTATGGCCGTTTCCTTCTATCCAACGAGCACATAGTTTTTCTCAAAGGCTTTTTGTTCCCAGGAAGTGCTCAGTGATCACAGGCAGACAGGAGCATTCGCCAACATGGAACATGACCCTATACGCATGATGATGCCATGCATGCAAGCTGACCGTTGGCCTCACTCGTTGGCTTATATATACGATTAAATTTCTGTCTGCCGCGGCCATTAGAGCAGCATCACGTTGCGTACAGTACTACAGACCTCCTACGTCGCATTAAGTCGCAAATTGTACGACATGATGTCTACGCAACAGACGTCTACCGATCCGTTCAGCCCCCTGTGTCTTTCTACGGGCACTTCCACCTGTTCTATATATATGGCACGGCGTTTAAAGAAGACTAAACTGGCGAGTTGAAGGCCTTGGCTCTCAAAAAGGGCTTCAGGGGTGTCGACTCAGCCAACTATCTTTCTGCATATGAAGAGCCCTCCGCCGGGATTGCCATCGAAGGGGCGTTAAAGTCGGGCGTCAAGAGGGAAGGCCCATTTATACTATAACACCAAGAAAAACCTGTTACATCTCGTGGAAGCAACATTGACAAATGGGGAAAATTACAGCATCCAGGTACAAACCAAGTTTGCTCCCATGTGGGCGCACGCCGAGTCAAAGCTTCACTACAATGCCGACCAGCCTTTGGAGGATCAGGTGCGCGAGTCGATCGAGCAATCCTTCCAGAACCTTAAAATCGACTACATCGACGCACTTCTTCTACATGTGCCGTTCGAGGATGAACAGGATGACACGGTCGCCTGGCATGTCATGGAGAGCTTCGTCCCGTTGCGGGTTGGCGTGTTGGGCGTATCCAACTCTAGTCGTGCTGCTCTCGAGAAGCTTTACGCAGCTGCCACCGTCAAGCCAGAAATTGTACAGAGCTGATTCCAGGAGGAGAACGAATACGATGCCAATATTCGCGAGTACCTGGACAAGACGGGCATCGTCTACCAAGCATTCAGTCTGCTGCAGGCCAACCAAGAGATTCGCAGCTCGGAGCTGGTGGCTCGTGTCGCTGAGCGCTTCTACACCAAGAGGGAGATTGCTTTCTGCATGCTAGTCCTGGGCTTAGGCAAGGTGTCTATTGTGAATGGAACCACGAGCGAGGCGCGGGAGATGGACCTGGCCAGGATTGCAGAGCTTCTGGGAGGCCAACAGGCCATGGCCGACCTCACAGAGCACTTGGCAGAAATTAAGCAGCTTCTACGCACCAAGTAATCTGTTATCAGACGGGGTAGAAGAGGGGGTAGTTGTCGAGGAGTAGGGCTATTTCCAGATAACAATGCCACCTCTTGCCGCTGTGCAAGCTTACATGATTCTGTCATGCCTCGTGACAGAGTGTGTGTCTCATGAGATGAATGAGATAAATCTACAGCAATATCATGTGGCTGTGTATTTAAGTCCCTTCAGCCTCTTGTCCGCCAAGTTCAGACTTGGTGAATCTTCACTGTACAACCACTTGATTCCTTTGTTCTGTTACTGGCCATTTTGCTTGTTTTAATTTATTAATGAGTATACGCCCTGGGGTGGAGAGAGTGTGAGAGGAGGAATAAGAAGAAGGGGGGAAAAGAGAGAGAGAGAGAGCACACGGTTAAAAGACTAGGCTGGTAAAACTTTGTTTTATTTATTACTAAAATCTTCAATTACTTATTAGCCTCGCTTATCCCCTTTACTTTTCATATTTTTTTACTTTATTTTTACGCTTACCCTTTATAAATGCACGTATCTGGGCAATGTTTAAACTCTGCTCCAAGAACCATGACACGCTCGATTTCCATTGACAAAAAATGGCGGCCCTCGGCGAGCAACCGCCGTACCAGCTGGAGCGCGTGCTCGCAGTCTGAGACTGGAAAGGGACTTTATTCTCAAGGGGTGGTCGAGGGACCGGCAATGGTTCAAGACCAGCTTGTTGGCGCCGTTGTTTGCCGATGAGGCGGGCAACGTCGCGGCTTAGGCTTCTTTGGTTGTCGGAGCTTGGAGACCGGTCTCATCATCTCATGTCTCTCCCCGGCCCCGGCCCCCGGGAATAGCAGCCGCAATCTGCGAACCACGGGTCCACGGGCGTCCGCGCCAAGACGGCCTGGGCCGGGCATTGTCGAATCGGAAGCTGCACCGGTCGGCAGACGGGGTGGAGGGCTCGTACACGGAACGGGTAAAACGCCACTGGGCGAATCCACAATGACGGCACTCGCCACTGATCTTGTGAGATCTCGGAGGTTTCTTGTGATGCGAAGAAGAAAAGGAAAGGGGGAGCATGGGTGATGGAAAAGACGCTGCACAAGAAGCTTGGAAAGCAAAGACAAGGCCCTCGATGAAAAATCAATACCCGCGACACTTCCCCAGCCCCAGCATGACAAGCTTATTCCCATGCCCACGAATCCCAATATTTCCTCTGGACGTGGGGGATATTCTAGAAATGCATCACCATATCGCGTTGCGCCGAGGCAGATTTTGCTTGGTTCACTTGACTTGAGTATACTTGGCTACAACTGGTCATACTTCTTTTGGTATTGCAACTACAGTCATCCACTGCTAATATCTGCGGTAAAAGCAATGAAGAAGATCTACTATAACAAGACCTCTTCTTGTAGGAGGCCTTCACTTTTGGTAGAGTCCTTGAAACAATATCCCCCTCGGACCATCTATTCCTTCTTGACTTGTAAAAATGTAGGTTGCCTGATTTCTATAGTACTACTCGGAACAAGAAGTTGTTATATAGTACCTTGCATGAAGTGAAGAGTCCTGCCCAATACTTCCAACGGGTCATGTGTTCAGTCTATATAACCCCGAGGTCCTTTGTCGGCTATGCCTCTTTGTTAGGCTTTGTTGCTGGGTCCTAACCGTGTAACAGCCGCAAAGACTGCCGAAAAACATCTCTTCTTCAACACTCAAAGCGACACCCGGGCCACGCCCTCATTGACCCGCTTGAGGACGGTGACTCTGCTTAGGGCCATTGACATGTCCTGGTTGGAAATATGTGGTTGAGGTTCGGTTTTTTGTATACAGCGGCCAGCGCCGAGGCGGTCTCGAGGGTTTTGGTGAGTCGAATATCAGGTATCAGGTATCAGGTATCCAAGATTGAAGGTGTAGAATTCAGTCGTACGCCGTTATCGAGACATGGAGCACAGCCGCGGTGAGGGCGGCCAGACTCTTGAATGCCTCCAGAGCTCATCTTTGCGCCAGTGGAAGATGTTTCATCGAGGCGCAAGTGGTGGCTACGCGTCGTCCATCTTCAGTCTCTTCGGGGTGCCCCTGCAGTAGGGATGCCTTAATTGGTGATTAATCGTGTGAATTTTGGTTTGTGGACAGTGCCCAAAAGCCAAGAACGTGCGGCACATCTGCTTGTGGGGAGACACATCTATTAGCATCCTGTGACCGCATTTGTCGCAATAGCTATCGTTGTAGGTTATTTCTCACATGTTGATTGTCGCGGCGGCTGCTGGGATTCGAACCGTAGTATATTCTCTTGATCGGAAATGCCGTCGTGGGAGTGAGTCGCCGGTGTGCTCGACGGTCGAGGTGAGGGCTTGACGAACCGCCGGGGACTTGTGCAAAAAGGGCGGCAAGTGGGCTATTTATATTTGAAAAGCTATGAGTAAACCAGACTGGTCACCGAATCGTGGGCTGTTCAGCTGGTGATCTCTTTGTGAACAAAGGACATGTCGCAGTCTTCACACGTGTCCTCGAAGAGATGAGCGGAACTTGGTTGGTCCGACTGTGAGTACAAAGCGGGCATGTTTTCAGGATGAGCAGTGATTGCAGCGGTTTAAAGAATTATCACAAGTCAGGTGTTGGATACAACGTCGATTTTACAACATGCATACTCGATCCGTCACAATCAGGGACGCTAGACACAACAAGAAGAACCAGCATCTCTGTAAACGAATGACAGTACTAAAACCCAAGGGGGAAAACGAAACAATCCAACTAAAAAAACAAGACACACTCGTTCTGGACTGACAACATGGCCCAAAATCAACAAATAACATCCCTCAACAAAACAGTAACACACTCAAGTCCAAAAAGTCCAAATCATAAACCATGTGCCAGCACGCCCGTTCACCCATCCGAGTATCCATCACCATATTTCCCTTCTGTCCGTCATTCCTCACCGAACCGTCTGGCTCCTCAAGAGTTTGCGTACAGAGTCGTGCCCCAACCATGATTTCCTTTGTCTGTCGCATAGCCCTTGCGCGTTTTTGCCGCTTCGTGGCAGTTGAAGCAAAATGTCATGGTGTGTTGTCGTTTGAGTCGTGGGTCTGTATATATGACGTTTGCTCAACAGCAAGACGTCCAACAGCTTGAGTAGGGCTGTGGGTGTCTGTATATGGTTGGGAAATGGAGGATAGAATTAGTCCACCACATTGTAGGTGCCATCGTCCACGATCATATTCGCCTCGCAACCCGCACAAGTCATCCAGTTGAATGTTATGTACGATGTGAAAGTTGCGCAACTTCGACGCCGGCCTTTTTTTCTGCGGGCTACCCTGCAAAACTCAGTCCTGGTAGACACCGGCGGTTGGAAAACTGTTCTGCACCATGTGCACTGATCCGAGAGGGTGAAGACCTCGCACATGGTTGTTTCTTGTTCGTAGTGGTTGTAGTGGGAGAAATAGAATCGGGCTTTAGTGGAGTATGATATCGGGCCGTAGTAGTGTATGATGTTGGGTTGTAAATGTGACTTTGGTCGATAGCAGGGCTTTCCCGAGAGGTCGGGTAGGGGGGAAGGGTGTCTTTATATAGCCAGGAGATGAAGAGAAGAAGGGGAGAAGAAGGGGCCGCCTGTCGAGATGCACACTAGAGGCCATTGAAGCTGCTACTGTTCCTATTACACCGCCAGCTGACGACGCGTCCCTGGAATAAAGACCCGATTATCTCAGTACACCAGCTGTTCGGTTGCCTATCTGTAGCAGTTTTTGTGCTGTTTCAGGGGCAGAGCTGGGGTTGAAGTGAGGAGGATGCATTGCGCTGTCCAGCCACAATGACTGCCTGGATACAGACGCAAGGACACCTTGGCCGTTCTCCCATTGCGGGAACAAAGATGGTCATAGCCAGGGACCTCTGAAGCACCTTTGTTGGTCTGTGACGCTGTGATTCCATTCAACATTGCGAGTCCATGATGTGTGAAGACGAGGTGTCGTCGATGCATTGTGGATACAAAGTAGCCGCCACACTTTTTTCGTGCGCCAGTGACTTGTTCATGCAGCTCATCGAGGCGCGCAGCACCATTGGTCATCCCAGTCCGGCGCATGAGCGAACATACATACTCCGTACGTAAGTACATATCCGCGACATGAGCAACTTCAAAATAGAAATAATAATCCAGCTGACCTATTCTCTCGTCCCCGTTACGCACGGATGCAGCGCCGTCAGCAATCGGCAAAACACAATCCAAGCGCTGACAGCTCACTTTCCCCAAGCCGCCTGAAGACTGAACAGTGGACACACAGCTTCACCATCTCGAGATTCACCACCCACAGCAGCCCATCGCAGCAATGTCGCCCTCTGCAGAAACGATATCCAGGCCCGAATTTGACGCCCTCCTAGCCGAATACCCGGCCTTGATAGATGCCATGTCCACAGCCAAAAGCAGCACGTACCTGCCCAGCCCGCACGCCCGCCCAGCCAGCTAACCAACACCTCATTACCAGCTCAAAAACCTGGCCAAAAGACCCTCAAAGACCTAGACGCCTACCGCTACGACAAGGCGCCCCTCCTGTTCGGCAAGCAGGGCCAGGAAATGACGCTCCCAGACGTCCAAAGCCTCGTTGAGTGGAAACTGTCTGTCGTCCCGCGCCTTGTCCTGTCCACGTCTTGCTTCACATCTTGCGCACATCATCCATCGTCACATCCCAACTGCCTGCGTCTTCACATCTTGTTCACACCATCCATCTTCACATCCCAACTGCCTGCGTCTTCACATCTTGCGCACATCATCCATCTTCACATCCCAACTGCCTACGTCTTCACATCTTGTTCACATCATCCATCTTCACACCTCGCCGTTCCTCCAAACCAACTAACCACCTCCCCCCCCCAGACGCCACGGCAAATTCCGCCCAACCCTCATGTCCCTCGTCTCCTCCAACCCGGCCCCCCTCGCCCAGCAGACCATATCATCCGCCGTCGCGCAGTACAGGACCAGCCCGTCGACGCACGCCCAAGCGGCCCTCGACGCGCTCACCAAGCTCAGGGGCGTGGGCCCCGCCACCGCGTCCCTCCTGCTCAACGTCCACGACCCCGGAAACGTAGTCTTCTTCTCCGACGAGGCGTACTACTGGCTCTGCCGCGGCGGGAACAAGGACGCGCCCATCAGGTACACGCCCAGCGAGTACGCGCAGCTGCGGCAGCGCGCGGGCGAGCTAGCGCGCAGGCTGGGCGTCGGCATGGTCGACGTGGAAAAGGTCGCGTACGTGGTGGTAAAGGGCAAGTCGGGGACAAACATCCAGGGGCTCGCCGCCGCCGGCAAAGCTGGGAAGAGGGCCGCCGCCGCCGCAGGCAAGGACAAGAAGAAAGCCGTCGGCAGGGACGCCGCGGAAACGAAGCAGAGCGCGCCGAAACGACGGACGGACGGCGGCGGCGATGAGACGGGGTTGCGGCGATCAAAGAGGCACAGGGCCTGAGGCCTGAGTGACGGTGATTATATTGCCATGGTCGGCGTGTGCTGGGTTTGGCAACGGGAGCGTACGTGTGCATGTAGCTTGTCAATTTCGGTTAGTTGCGAAGCGTGAAATGAGCCTTTCTGTATAACTCGTAAACAAATCACATCCATGCGCCGCTTCTGCATCACACAACGTGTGCGAAACTCGAGTAGGTTGGACTTGGACAGCACTTCGGGACAGGCTTGTTACGAGACGGTAAACAACAAGCAAAGTAGCAGTTAAATTATCAATAAATTGACGCCGCATCTTTTTTTTCATCTGCATCACACCAGCCTCGTATCCCTCCACCCCGGCACAACTTCACCATTCACACTGGGCCCAAACATGATAACCACCCCCTCCCTCCCCTTTTCTCCTCCCTCTTTGCAGTTGACAACCTCGTCACTCGTCCTTTATTTCCCCTTCTTCCCCTCGTCAACCTGCGTAGCCGCGTACTTGTCGCTCAGCTCGTCATAGCTCCTGTGCAGCCCCTCACTCTGCTTCTTGAGCGTCTGCAAATCCTGCTCCTTCATGGCCAGCCGCTTCTGCAGCTCGGCAACCTCACTCGACTTGTTCTCCTTGTAGTTCTTGTTGCTCTCAAACGCCTGGACCTTGTCCTCCAGCTTGATGTTGTCAATGATCATGACGTAGGTGCGGTTCAAGATGAGCGACAGGAACAGGGTAAAGCCGCAGAGGTACATGTTTCGCTGGGAGTAGAATTTACGCGCCTGGACTTCGAGGCGTTCGTGGCCCAGAATAGCACTGTTTGTGGAGTCACGTTAGCCTGTTTGTTTGTTTGGTTTGCAAAGCGGTTATGCGCTCATTAGCTGAAAGCCCCTCTCGAGGTGTGTCAAAAAGTCAAGCAACGTGGTATACGTACGCTCCCTTGGACGCCTGTTCTCCCGCGGCGACCACTTCCAGTTGCACGCGGTACACGCGGTTCACGCTGTCGATGAACAGGATGAGGATGAAGACAAAGGTGATTTTGAGCCAGTACATGACCTTGGAGATGATGGGGTTTTCGGAGATGAAGCTGCGGGCGAGGTCAGCGGATGCTCTGCAATTTCAAGTGGAACAAACGTACGTAAAGACCTTGCGCTTGGCCGTGTGCGGGAGAGGGATTAGGAGGAGCATAAAGAGCACCATCTCCAGGACGAGGAGGAAGAAGACCTATCCGCGTGTCAGCTGGAGCCAAGAATGCGTGCGCGGCAACGTCGGACGTACGAGAGAGTAGTAGAGCGTCATGATGGGCGTGTTATCTGCTGCGATTCTGGGGCGTAATGGGGGCACTCAGGTGCGTGCAGGCAGGCAGGCAAGAGACGGGATTGAAGAAGAATTGCAATAGAGGTGGTGGTGTCTGCAGTTCGCGGGTATTTATGGCGTCGGAATGACGGTAAGGCTGTAAAGTGGCCAGTTTGCCGCCGGATGGAGGAGCAAGGTCAAGCAGGCGCTTGCCGTGGGTGATGGTGGAGGTGCGGCCTGGAGTCCTGGACATGGAACTAGCTAGACATGTGCCAGGGACAACGTCATCGCCTCGTTGCTGGGGCCAATGGATGGCCGGGGGAATCGGACAGAAGCCACAGAACCTGGCAGCCTGCATGTGCATGTGGGTTCAATGTTCAATCAATTGATGTTTTGCTGGCCCGAGGACCCACCGGAGCTTCAGCTCGGTCCGCCCCAATTGCCCAGGTTACACCTTCAATGTTCATGTTGAAACATGGTGACAAGGCAAAGTTTTGCTTCCATGATCACGGTGGCTGAGGCTATCGCGAGATGGCCTTGGCTAGCGGGCCGCGGCGCGGCACCAATTACGCTGGTACATTTAACCCTTCACGATGCTTAAACAGTCTACTTTTCTGGGCTCTTACTATTCTTGGCCTGGTACAGCCTACTACTGTGTTATTAGATGTTACGCTGACACGATACTCGCATCATGCTTGTAATATGTATCACTTTGACTACAGAGCGAAACAATTCACACTTTAATAACAACACACTCCCGCCATTGCATCAACCGCCACATCAAGTCTTGTAGACTTGTTTTTTTTATTTTCACATCGACTCCTCCCACAATCACCTAGCTTTCAGATAAAATGTCTTCATCATGGTACAAATGCGCCACGTCGCCTCCCAGCCACCAACTGCCAATGTACAAAACGCCGCCCGTCCTTCCATGAACCCGGTTCCGTAGCTCAGTTCCAAATATCATCATCTCTAAACTTGGCTGGCGGCCGTCTGGTCCTCGACGCTCTATCGCTTCGCTGCCGAATCACCACGTCTTGATCGTCGTCGTCTTCCCGCGCCGCACTCACATCCGTCGTCTTCGCTCCACTGCTCCTCAACGCCGCGGTTGACATGTTATCCTCGCTATCCGCAATCTCCATGTCCATCTTTTCTGAATGCCTGGTGATCCGCTTTGGTTCCGGTGTATTCGCATGCCTCAACGATACCGGAGCTGATACGGACACGGATGCGGATGCCGGTGTTGCATCATCCTCTGCGCCTGGACTGGGAGCAGCATCGCCAGCTACAGTCGATCCATCGTCACCCCTGGACTGCGAGGCCGCTGCTGGCTTAGGCACTGGTCGTGGGTGTTTTCTGGGCCTTCCACTACCTGGCCGTGCTCCGCCTCTCTTGCCTCGTGTCTTTTTCGGCGGCTCAGTCCGCTTTGTTGGTGTTTCCGTGCTCGTCCGGGCCCTTCTGCGTAATCTTGATGCCGAACCTGGCTCCTCCGACTCGCGTCCGCCTCTGCCTCCGTCCCCATTCGCTGTTTTCACGGAGACTACCCCGTCATAGTCGTCCTCATCGCTATCATCTTGCAGTCGCCGCTTGCGTTTGCGTGATTGAGGCCCCGGCGCCGTGTCCGTATCCACTGCCTCGAGCGCGAAGCCAGGAGGTAAGTCTCGCTTCACTCGCGGTCGGCCCGGCCGTCGCTTGGTGTCATCAGCCTTTGTGGCCTTGCGGGCAATCGTCTCAGGATTCTCGGGTCGGCGCGACTTTGCCGCTTTGCTTTTCGTTTCTGGCTTGCCTGCCGCCTTGTGGTCTAGCAGCTTCTTCGTCAGATTGGGGAAGTTCTCGCCGTAGTTGAAGAACAGCTCCTCTCCTGCCTCGATGTCTCTCATGGCGGTAAACTTGATCCGATACTCCCCGTTCACGTAAAGAATCCGCGGCGTAATATTGCACCCCCGGTTGTCATGTTCTGACGCGTGGTTAATGTAGCGACTCAAGTTGCCGTATATCGCGGCGTCAACCCAGATGCCTTCGTTTTCTAGAAGCGTAAAGACATACGACACATTGGACTCCTCGTCAAACACATCGCCTCGGCGGGCCTCACGTCGTACGCCTTCGTCATGTGTAATCAGCTCGCCAACGTACTCAATGATGAACTCATCCTGAGCAATGTCCTCCGCCGTAAACAGACCATACCCAACGCCATCAAGCTGGCTCCGGCCCAACAGCAGCGATTTTCCAACCCCCCTCTGCAAATCGCAGTTTTGGCAACCAGTTGCATGAAGTTCCGCGTCATCCGCGTTGAGAGGGTCAGCACGCTCCAGGGCACCACAGGAGCCACACAGTTGAGGATCGCATTCACGATTCAACTGCACACATATGCAGGGCTTGTCCTTCTTGCTATCTAAACAGGTCTTGCCTTGGGAATGGCAAGCACACCCAGTAAATTTGTATGCGCAATTTTCCACCGTGCACCCGCAAAACTTTTCGCAAAGGACATTGGCATCTACACAGGTACACACTCCTGGCACACATGGGCCTTCGTGAGAACAGGGTTCCAGATTTTCCCGACGTTGGTGGGCATGGCTAGTTGTGTGATCTTGCCAGTCTCCCAACAGGGCCTTTCGTCGTCGGTCGTACCATGACAGATTCTTTATCCTCGGTGCTTCGGGAGGTTCCGGTTGAGGCAGCGAGATGCCCATTGATTTGAACTCGGTGTACACTTCATCGCAATGCCGGTTCAAAAATTCAGCCGCCAGACAGATAGGGTCCCCCATGTAGGTGCTGTGGCTGGCGGTTGTAAAAATTGATCGTAGAACGATTCTCTCATCTTCTAGCCACGGGCGAGGATGTAAATGCATGCGTACATGGTCACCAGCTCTCTGGTAACACTGTCGCCGACACGGTTTGATGGGCGACGGACGGTCACGTTCCATGCCGTTGCGTCTCCGCTTCAGGGCGTCAGAGAGGTGTGAGCATGATGATATGGAAAATGTGCGCTTCATATTTTTGTTGTCGTACTCGCCATGGTCACATGAATGACTGAAACATATTAGGCAGCCCAAAATGCAATACGTAGCCAAGTTAGACTCGGCCAACTCGTCTTCATCCTCGTCGTGAAGCTGTGGGCTGGTGGCGTCCTTTGCAATCGGCTTCGAATCCATGATGTTGTCCACAGCCTCATCCATCATTAACACTCTTCGGAGCTCTATTTGTTTTGATGCCGGCTGTGTGTTTTTGAATACCTGATGAAAGGCATCGGTGAACATTTGCGCTGCCTTGTTGGCACCCGGAACGACATTTTCAATTTTGCGGTGAGAATTCAAAATGTCAGACTTTTGTTGAGGTGTGATGGCGTAATCCGGTTCTCGGGCGGCCATATAGCTGATCAATGCCGACTTGTCGCAGCCAGGGATGGCCATGTTTTCTAGCCAAGTATCCAAATACAGCGACACAGTTGCGGCCCTCTCGCCCTGGATAGTCAGCTGCTGCTTGTCTTCACGGTTCATAGGTTTGAACCCAGACTTGAGGTCAATGTCCTCCAGCTCCTTGAGCCAAAGATTATACTTGGTTTCTTCAGAACTTTCCAAGTCTCGCAGATGTGGCACAAATGTCAGCATCGTGTTGGGAGTGAGGACGTTCTTTTTGATTTCGACGTGGTGGAATCGGTAAGGCGGGACACGGTCCTTGTTCGTTTTGGTGCATGTCGGGGTATAGTGTCCTTCTCGCTGGTCTCGCTTTCCCTTGAGATGTTGCTATGACGGGTTAGGTCAGTACACGTCCGTCCGAGGATGGCAGGCAAAAAAAAATACGAGGCCTGTTACCTTGGATTTGATTCGCATGGTGGTGCTTTTCTTCTCCGTAAGCACAGGAGTGCGAACATTTGCAAAAAGGTCGCGCCCATGGCGAATCCTGCGTTCAGTAACCTTGGTAGACTCCAAGATGTACCCGGTGAGCTTCGCATGGCCTTCTTTAACATCTTGTCGGCAGGTGTTGAGCTGGCTTATGATTTTTGGTGTCGTCCAATCTGCAATGGAGTCTGTTTGGGCCTTTGGGGTCGTGCCATTGATGGCAGGCGCTTCTGATGAGAGATGCGACGACGGCGGCGGCGGCAGAGGGGGTGTGGTATGTCGCGCCATGCTCAAGGCAGTCTCTAAGAAATCATCACCCAAAGGGTTGTCACACACGCCGTTCAAGGCCGAAGACGCTGAGTCACGTCCAAACGACGTCGGAAGAGGTTGTGTGCGATGAGAATGGCCTGGGGCCGCGTCGGGCAGTCGTCGTAGTGGCGGCGGGCTGATCGCGGCTCTGCCGAAGTTCGATTGGCGGTGACTCGGTCTTCGATTGCCAAAGGCTTCGAGACGGGACGACAGGGCTGCGGCTCCCACAAATTCGGGACGATCCGACTCGAGTGGCAGTTGTCCATTGATGTCGCGAAGAATGTGCATGTCCGACCAGCCCGTGGGTGACATGTCGGCCAGCGTAGGATTTGGCGCCCGGCGATGACTAAAGATGTCGCGGCAACTGCTGGTGTGTGCCTGCCCGTTTAGACCAGCGCTTTGTTTCAAGCACCAGAAGACGGAATTCCTGCCAAGAGGAAGCACACCGTTTGTTCAGCACGTCCAAGTACGGCGCCGACGACCCCATGCCATCAACGACAGAGCCGGCCAACCCTGACGCGCCGCGACTCGCAAGACCCTCGGCAAGTCCCTCGCAGAGATAACGGCATGCGAGGTTGCTCGTGCCAGGTCTGCAGCAACAGGCCAATTGCCAACCAAAGACAAAGGGCTGGTCTCCTGGTTGAGATCCGTACGACGTGTGGCTACAGTGATGGTGACGGACACGCGAATCGTGACGAAGATCGCGTCAACTTTTTCTCCAGGAGCTCCGTAGGCAATGCGCTGAGACGGGGATTGAACCAAAGAGGCTTGACCAGGCTGGAGCACGCCGGACAGGGGCCCAAAATTGACGCGCGCGCGGTTTTGGCACGGAGGAAAGTACGTACGGAGTACTGTAATAAAGAATGCCGGTAACGTGGCCTATCAGAGCAGCCGCTATCGTAAAGCCTAGCCTGGGCAGTTGGGCAGTTCTTACTGTCTGGCCCGGTGAAGACCCCTAGGCCATTGGCCGGCACAAGCTTCTGGCAGTCAACTGGTGGGGGCATCTAACGCAACGCCTGACTCCATTCACCTACCTAGGTACTTACTTAAGTACGGAGTTGATCTGTTGTGACAATGACAAGGCCACGAAAAGTCGAGCCTGGGACAAGCGGGCTGGAATAAACTACTTAGTACTTAAGTATGTACGCAACCAAGCTACGAGAAAACAGCCGTTTACAACATGCGCAATCCAACCTGCACTGCTTAGACGCAGGCGGCGCATTACTTACCTTTGGTTGATAATACTTGTGTATTTTGATACTCAAGCTGGGATTTCTGCCTTGATCCAAACTTCCTGGCTGTCGTGTGATTATACATAAGGTACCTAGCACAGACTCTGGGAGTTGTGATGACGTATGATGCTTGAAAAATGATTTATGCCTGCTGTCGATGGTGGGGCTGCTGCTCATCAGCTCAAAGTCAGGTCGATAATTCTGCATCACCTTACGGAGTACTTCTTACTCAAGTACTTAAGTACCTGGGTACTTTACCTACAGACTACTAAGTTTAAGTACCTAGGTTAAGTACTTAAGTACAGTACATAGATGCCTGGCCAGGCGGTGCCCTGGTCTACGCAGGCTGTTCTCTTTAACCCTAGAATCTACTTAAGTAGGCTATCCACGGACGGTAGCGGCAGGACCGGAAGTTTATTTGAGTCTTTCAGCCCCGTTGGACAGAACCCATGTACATAGCCAGGCGAGCTAGAACGCCTAAAACGGGCTGCCAGGGCCAAGGGCGGTTTGCAAGCCAAAGGCACGAGGAAATTGAAACAGACAGGACGGGAGATTTGCTTCGCGCATCATGTCGAAAGCTCCGTCATGGAACCACGACGCGCAGACTGAAGCGTGGAGATCCAAGCGTTTGGAGGGTGGTTAGTTTTACTCTTCCGCATCCGGAATGGGACGACGACGATGATGATGATGATGATGCTGATGGGGCCGGTCGCCATGTCTCGGGTCTTTCAGCCACAGAGGCATTGAAAGTTGGAGATCCCAAAACTGGGTTCTTGGCAGCCAACAGCTGGTTCAATGCCGAGCCCAACGAGGGATCCAAGGCCTGAGACATGCCTGCACCGCCCAATGTAGCGAAATGCGACATGGAGGCTTTGCGTCCGGGAACCCCTGGCTCAGCGTTTCCCTTTGGTTTCGGGGGCTCCCTTGGTGTCTGGTGCGATGGATGCTACTCACTAATCCTGGTGCAGCGCAAGACAATTGACCTGCTCGACTAAAGTAGTTACAGGCAGCCGGCAACTAACCGAGGGCACCTGGGTCACTCCGTACGGTAGTCGATAGTTGGGTACTAGTAGTTGGAGCAGCAGCCAGCCGTCTGATCCAGGACAAATCAATTAATGCCAAAACGGGGCCAATCGTGACACTAGTAGCACCCAGAGTTCGCAGACCGTCGACACCAGTTGGCCTTGATACCCGCCCTGCCGCCTCAGTCCGCTCCAGTCTGCTGGTGCCCCACTTGACCGCCGAGCCCATCCAGGCGATGACGTCGCCAACGAAACCACAGCTCCCTGCTTCCACCCTGCCTGCTTCGGTCTCCCCCCCAATGACGATCTCTCTCTCGTGCTCTCCGCAAAAAAACACCACATGCATTTGGCCACCACCTCAGGCTCCATATAACCCATCGCCATCTCGCCCTCCACATCTTGGCTCCCATTTGATACCTTTCCATCTCTTGACTTATATCGTCCTCTGATTTTGCTTGTATTCGCTTAGCTGCAGCACTCCGAACCGCATCTGAGCCCGACTAATTCACTCTTGGTCACCCGAAACGCCCTTCCGCCTCGCCCGCCGAAATGCATCGCACCTATTCTATGCGCACCACCCGTGCGCCCACTGCATCCCAGCTGCAGGTACGCTGATCTGTCCATGACAATCGCCCCCCCCCCCCAATGTGCCTCGATACTTACATCTAGAATCAATTGCTAACTTCTTGCTCTGTAGAGTCCGCCTCCGCCTCCCTCATCCACCAAATCCGGTCGCTTCTTTGGAAAGGGTAATCTGGGTACGTGCAATACGACAGAAGCCGTGGTAGTTTCACGCATTCCTTCGACGAGACCAACCATACTGATCGCTCGAATGCAGGTCATGCCCTGCGCCGCAATGCAGGTGGCGCCTTTGGCCCCGATCTGGCCAAGAAGCTGGCGCAGCTCGTCAAGATGGAGAAGAATGTGATGCGAAGCTTGGAGACTGTCGCCAAGGAGCGCATGGAGGTTGCTGTAAGTCCTTATCCACTCCTATTCTCAACTCTGAGCAGCGTTGACAAGCTGCGTCCAGCAACAACTGTCCATCTGGGGAGAGGGCGGCGATGAAGACGTTTCCGACGTTACCGACAAGCTTGGAGTATTGCTATACGAGATTGGCGAGCTGGAGGATCAGTACGTCGACCGCTATGACCAGTATCGTATTACCATGAAGAGCATCCGCAACATTGAGGCTTCCGTTCAGCCTAGTCGAGACCGTAAGCAGGACCGCGTTCCTTGACTTTTCTGCCAAAAACAAAATGCCCGTCGCTAACCCCTCCCAGGCAAGCAGAAGATCACCGACCAGATTGCTCAGCTGAAGTACAAGGAGCCCAATTCACCCAAGATTGTCGTCTTGGAGCAGGAGCTTGTCCGTGCCGAGGCCGAGTCGCTCGTCGCCGAGGCTCAGCTCTCCAACATTACTCGCGAGAAGGTCAAGGCTGCCTATACGTACCAGTTCGATGCTCTCCGTGAGCATTGCGAAAAAGTTGCCATCATTGCCGGCTACGGCAAGCACCTCCTTGAGCTCATTGACGACACCCCGGTCACTCCCGGCGAGACCAGGCAGGCATACGACGGATATGAAGCTAGTAGGGCCATCATTCAGGACTGTGAGGATGCCCTCACTAATTGGGTTACGGCCAACGCCGCCATCTCCTCCAAGCTCTCCACCCGCTCCCGCACTCTGTCCCAGCGCCGCCGCAACAACATTCGGACCAGAAATGAGGGCGGCCACGATCTGTCTGCACAGGACGCTCCTCTGAATGATGGTGGCTCTTGGGTGGGACGCCACGGCGAGGAAAGCGAGGAGGAAGAGGAGGAGGAGGAGGTTGGCAGCGATATCAACGCTGAGGCTCGCGGCCGTACCAAGGAAGCTCTCGCCGCTTAAGCAGCACCGCCATGTCAACAAAATCAACACGAAACGCAAAATAGGAACTCAATCAATTACGGAACAATTCTTTGGGAGTCACCACAATTCGGTAATAGCTGGAAAAGACGCCAAGATTGTAGTGATAATGACGGTAATAATTTTAGGGTAGGCTGTGGCTCCAAGGACGGAGTTTGTGGCAAGTTTGGATGACGGAGTGACTGCTTGTTAGATGGCTTGGATATCCTACGGGAAAGTTTCTATTATTAGTGTACTCTTAATACCATGTGTTTGTCATTATCAAATGTCCCAGTGTTGAGTTTATGCGCACGTTGTCATGTGAACAGACTCTGATTGTCTTTGCTGCGATGGGATGTATATTGGGGGACATGCGTGTGCAGCACGGGGTATCATTCTATACATTGAGCTCAAATAACCTGGCGCCCGCTGACCTGGCTCGCAAACTCCTCCAGCTCCATCCTGACTATGTGGTGCCCCGGGACGACGACGAGTCCCAGATAGCGCGACGTCCTGTCCTCCGTGGTGGTGCCGTCCGGACCTTCCACCAGCCGGGGGCGGCTGGGCTGGCGGTACTCGTACGTGTTTGCTAGCACGATGTTTTTGTCCTGGCGTAGATTTGGTCAGTTTTGCTCTTGAGCGAAGAAGACATTGCAGCTGCGGTGCGCAAACGGCGCTCCCTGGATGGATGCCGTGGGCACGGGTTCGTGGTGTGGCGGCAGACGTACCGGGTCGGTGCATTTGAAGGCGCCCCAGAAGAGGCGGCCGTCTGTGGTGTGCACGCGGAGGTTTTGGTTGAGGAGCGAGGAGAGGTATTCCTGCGCTTGGGACTTATCCATTGTGGTTTTATCTATATTTTGTTGCTTTCTTAGGCCGGTGTTGAGGGAGTTGGTGGGGAAGGGCGTCTGGTGTTGAGGTGGGCACTGTGCTTTCCGGCTGAATAAGCTGTTTGGTGTTGGGCTGATGGGCTTTAGGGTATTGTGTGGTGATTGATGATTGTGTAGACTAGGTGTTTCTGAGACGTGCGATTGGCGGCGATATTTATATTGGGTGAATGCGCTTGGTGGGTGATGGTGTCGGGGATGGATCTCTTGGAAGCGTACGGTGTTGTGCATGTGGCTGGCAGATGGTGTGGCGAGCATCTATAAACCTCCGGCCTAGGGCTGCGGCATCTCCAAAACGAATATCATTCTCGATAATAAAATTTGTAATATTTTATTCAATTTTGCTTTAATTTTTTTTGGCCGATGCTTTTCTGAGCCTTCGAATGGTCATGAGGCATCGTGGAAGGCGGTTGACGTCGACATCTGGACTCTGGAAGAGGCTAAAGAGCCGTAGAGCCGCAAGGAGTCGAGGACCCACAAGTCGACTCAAGTGCGTCACAGTCTCAAGAATCACACCCAGGGCCGAGTCATCGTGAATTCCGTTAACCCTTCATTTCAACAACGCAGACATGCCTCTCGTGCCCACGTTTCCCTCGTAGCCATGGAAGCTGGCTGTTTCAAAATCAAAAATCATGCAATCAATACGCCGAGGTTAGTCGAGACAACCATTGCTAGCAGAGGCCTGCCGCCATGGGTGTGAACGGTCTCTGGACCGTTGTGCAGCCATGTGCGCGTCCAACCAATCTCGCAACACTCAATCGCAAGCGCCTCGCTGTCGATGCCTCCATCTGGATCTACCAGTTCCTCAAAGCTGTCCGAGACAAAGAAGGCAATGCCCTGCGCAACTCCCACGTAGTCGGCTTCTTCCGCCGCATTTGCAAGCTGCTGTGGTTTGGCATCCAGCCTGTGTTCGTCTTTGACGGCGGCGCACCAGCGCTCAAGAGAGCAACCATCCAAAGGAGACAAAGAAGGCGTGAGGGCCGAAGGGAAGATGCCGTTAGAACTGCCGGAAAGCTTCTCGCTGTGCAGATGCAGCGCATCGCCGTCGAGGAAGAGGAGAGGCGAAAGAGAGTCGACGACGGCGACTTTGCAGCCAGAGAGGAGGAAGCACTACGCGAAGAAGTCCCCGATGCCAGTAACATCGCGTACGTTGATGAGATTGGTATGACGCACAAGGAAAAGATTCAATCTCGACGATTTCATAAACAGGATGCCTATCATCTTCCCGAGCTTGAAGGTGGCATCACACCCATGGGCAAATCAGATGACCCGCGAATCATGAGCATTGAGGAGTTGGAAGAGTATGCGCGGCAATTTCACAATGGCGAAGACATCAACCTCTATGACTTCAGCAAGATTGACTTTAATGGCGATTTTTTCAAGAGCCTGCCGCCTCCTGATCGTTACAATATCTTGAATGCAGCGAGATTGAGAAGCAGGCTGAGAATGGGCCTTAGCAAGGACCAGTTGGATGACATGTTCCCAGATCGCATGGCATTCTCGAGGTTTCAGATTGAACGTGTCAAGGAGAGAAATCATCTTACCCAAAGGCTGATGTATGAGGTTGGCATGGTTGGCACAGATTTGACACTAGGCGTCAACGCTCGTGTTGCTGGAGAAAAGGACCGCGAGTACATTCTGGTCAAGAATGAGGGTGTCGAGGGCGGATGGGCACTCGGCGTCGTCAGCAAGGAGAAGGACATTGGCGAGGCGCATAAGCCAATCGATGTGGATGCTATTCAGGTTCATTACCAAACAAAAAACGAGCAAGATGCAGAGGAGGAGGATGACGCCGATTTCGAGGACGTCCCCATCGAGGGATTAAATCGACTACCAAAGCCAAGGCCGGATTTCACAGCTGCAGGCCTACAAACTGCGCAAGAGATTGCTGAACGGCGGCAGCAATATTATGGTAACCGAAATGGCAAGCTTGCAGAAGACCAGGAGACGGAAGGCTCGCTATTTGTTGGAGAGAATAACGACCAAAACATCCCCATTCTCGAGGCGACCGCACAAGACCGGCTGCATCCTGAGGAAGAAGATGATTTGAATCGTGCAATTGCCATGTCCCTCAAAAACCAGCATGAGCTGGATAATGAGTCTGGGAATGATGACCTTTTCGAAGATGTGCCCATAGATCAACCTGAATGGACACAAAAAGCCGTCGACGCACCAAGGCCCATTATCGGCAAGGGAGGCTCCATGATTGCCCACATTGTGAACAATAGAGCAAATGCCTCTGTTCCCAAGCGCAATGAGGCAAAGAATACTACCGACAGTGATAGCGAGGATGATATGGAGGCTTTGCTGGTCAAGTCACGAATGGCCAAACGGGCTCAACCGAAACCAGTCATTGAGAATAAGAAGAACCCATTTGACGGACCACTTCCATTCCCAAAGCTAGATTGGGGCTCATCGCTGTTTTCAAAGCCGCCCGCTCAGAAGGACACAAACAAAGTTGTTGAAGCTAGCGTTGCACATGAGAACAATGCTGAAGATGACATGGCTGGCGGGTTTGAAGTAGAGAAACAAGTCGGAGATGAGCCGGCACCATTGCCACCATGGCTAGTTGACGACACAGATATTAGAGATTCGTTGAAGAAGCAGCAGGATGCAGAGCGGGAGATAAATGCCGAGGATAAATTAGAGGCAGAAGAGGAAGAGCGCCTTCGACGGAAGGAGATACAGGACCGCATGATTGAGATTGATTCATCGTCAGATGACGGGAGCGATATTCAGATTGTAGAGATTCCTCCTTCGCCGACACCAGTAGCGGATGAGGCAGATGGAAAACAGGTGCCAGCCGAAGAATCACAGGCGCAAACGTCCCCAAGCAAGCGGAATAGCCCAGCAGAATCCCCAGATTCAACCTTTGAGGATGTAAAATCTCCTCCGGCCGCCGAAACTTCCGTTTCAACGGAACTTGGAAACAAATCCGAGTCCCCAGAACCAATGTTTGAGGATGTGCTCCCCGCAGAGCCAACCATCACTACTCCCGGCAAACCAACAGAGAACGACTCGTCATCTCCCCTGTTTGAAGACGTCCCGCCAGTACGTCCCCCAGCCTCAAGCACTGCCAATCCCGCCACAGAGGCAGACGACCCCTTTGCCGACGTTGAATACGAAGAATTCAGCGACCCCGAAGATGAAGAGCTCATGGCCCAAATGGCCGAAGAAGCCGAGGAACACGCTCGCTTCGCCAGCGAGCTCAACAACAAATCGGCCCAACAAAATCGTGAAGACTACGAAAAAGAGCTCCGGCAGCTCCGTAACCAACAAAAGAAGGACCGCCGCGACGCAGACGAAGTCACACAGGTCATGGTTACGGAATGCCAAGCCCTCCTCCGACTCTTTGGTATCCCCTACATCACGGCTCCCATGGAGGCAGAGGCCCAGTGCGCAGAGCTCGTCAAGCTAGGCATTGTGGATGGCATCGTGACGGATGACTCCGACACGTTCCTGTTTGGGGGCACGAGAGTGTACAAGAACATGTTCAACAGTAACAAGTTTGTAGAGTGCTACATCGGCAAGGATCTGGAAAAGGAACTGTCTCTTTCCCGAGACCAACTCATTTCACTCGCGCAGCTCCTCGGATCCGATTACACGGAGGGTCTGCCGGGCGTGGGACCCGTCACGGCCGTCGAGATCCTGTCGGAATTTCCTGGAAAGTCGGGCCTGGAGAACTTCCGCGAGTGGTGGACTTCTGTGCAGTCGCAGTCTCGCCCAAAGGAGGCAGACGCCGCATCGCCGTTCCGCAAGAAGTTCCGCAAGACGCAGGCCACGAAGCTGTTCCTGCCGCCGGGCTTCCCCAACCCAGCCGTGCACGAGGCGTATCTGCACCCCGAGGTGGACGACTCTGCTGAATCGTTCCAGTGGGGCGTGCCTGATCTAGAGGGACTGCGAAGGTTTCTCATGGCGACCATCGGGTGGAGCAAGGAGCGGACGGATGAGGTGCTGGTCCCCGTGATAAGGGACATGAACAAGCGCGATGTGGAGGGGACGCAGAGCAACATCACGAGGTTCTTTGGCGGTGGCGTGGGTGCTGGCGCGAGGGAGGCGTTTGCGCCGAGGGCGAACAAGGTCAAGGGGAGCAAGAGGATGGCGGCGGCGGTCGAGAAGCTGAGGGCGAATATGGGAGATGCAGCGGGTGAGGGGACGAGTAAGAGGAGGAGAAGGGACGTTGTTGACGACGATGAATGATGTCTGGCTTGTTATGTCGTATAGGCACCTGGTACGCACCCAACGGCGTGAAGTAGGAGTCCAAGAGTACTTTGCTGGGTGATGTACGTGCGTATGCCGTGCTGTGCAGGGGGAGATCATGAGCGGATACTTGGCTATAGAGGAACACATAGATGGAGGAGCTATCTTGATCAGCCGGATTCAACAACGCGGCATGTTGAGGCCGAGATGAGGTGAGTCCTGTTAATAGTTATACGTACGTATCAATCCCGTAGTATCCTGTTCCGCGCTTGAGGTACTTGAAAACCCAAGAGGGTATTACTAATTGATTAGATATTGGTGTATTAACCAACACTCTTTAGATTTCATACTTTATATTTCTGTAAAGACTGTTTCGGGGAACTGTGCGAAGACGTTGTCTACTCAAATGTCTCCCAACTCCCACCTCCCACCTCCGCCGCCCATCGTCCAGCTAGTAGTCAACTTTCAAGGCGCTAAATGGATTCCAGTTGGGATTGAGTTTGCGTGCCAGTTTTTTAACATGCAAACACTTCGAAGGCGGCGGCGACTGCTTCGATTCCTTGGCGAGACTCCTAAAAAGCGACTCCAATCCGTCTGCTTGAGCTTCCCAAACCGGGGCAGCCAATTCGATCAGCAATTTGCCCCGGTCTTCAAGCAACTCGGACACAGCTTGAACCTCCTCGTCGACAGGTTCCGCGCTCCCGTCTGCTGCCGCAGCTTCTTCCAACGTATTCTTCCACTTCTGTCTCCATGTCTCAATCGCCACAGCAGCGTTTTCGCTCCGAGTCTGAACCTTCTTGGCAACCAAGTAGAATGATGAAGCTGTCTGATACCAAAGGCGATGTTTATATAAGCTGACTTCCGAAAACCTCCAAATCGAATCCAGCAGCAAAAATGTGTGTGCATCGTCTGCCTTGCGCATCAACACAACAATAGTTCCATTCTCCCGCAGATGCTTCATGGCGATGACGAGCTGGGCCATCAGGATGCGAATATACTTGGGGGAGTTGCTCCAGATTTGTCTTTCACCGGGCATCTTTCTATTCTTCCTGGGTCGATTTTTGCCCTTCTTGCGCGTTTCTTTGGTTCTCGGCTCTCCCACCGGTTGTTCCTGGCAGAATATGAGGTCGTATTCTTCGCCGGCCGGGAGAACTCTCTCCATGGTCAAGGATGTTTCCATCTGGTGCGTGTCGGGGATGTCGGACACTCCCACGTCCCCGGCTAGTGTGCCGACATTCTTGAGCACCGAGTGCACGTTGTCGCTTTCAAAGCCAACCGGGCACCCTCCCTCCTCGCCTGGGATCGAGATGCCTGTGATCCTGGCGTGGGGGTAGCGGTCGAGGACGTGCTGTGAGAAACCGCCGACTGCCATGCCCGTTTCCAACACGGAGGGCTGGGGAGTTTCTTCGAGGATTGATAAGATTTTTCGTTCTTGATCTAGTTCCTCGGACATCTCGCACCGCATTTTGAGGTAAGGGTCCTGCCCTTGTTTGCATGAGTTGTCGTCTGGCATGTCCCATAGCTTGTGCTTGGTCAGAGCACATTTCAGTTTGTAGTATTCGTCTACATCTGGATTATTCCATCCCTATCTGCGGTTAGCCGGGGAAAAGGGGGTTGTATACGACATGAGGATAAATTTGTATCTTACTTGTTGACGAATCTTGTGGAGCCTTGTATACTGGGGACTATACTTAAGAAAAAAGTCTGTGTACATCGCTTGGGCTGGATGCTCCAATTTCAACGTTGAAAATGATGAGGCAGTCATTTCGGTTGCTGTTGGAGTATGCTGGAGCTCTTGATAGAGTAGAGGTGCTTAACTTGTGTCTGCTTGTATGCTGATAGCTTGTAAACTGGTATGAGCGTCTTGTGTCTGTGGATGGTTGAAGAGTAAACATGGTTGAAAGGAGACAGGCTTGGATCTATATATGGTACTGATACGGCTTGACCGTCGAGGTTGGCCGGTTGAGAACACTTTCTGAACATGTCTGATATTCCCAGGCGATGGGGAAAATGGAGGGATTGCTGCAGCAGACGTAACCACGGGACAACACAGGCTTGTGTGTGAGCGAGGAGAAGGCAGCCTGTTCATTCAACCTTGGTATGCGAGCCTCAAACTGCACGTTTCAGGAGTTTTGTTTAAGCTGTATCCCGTGACTCTCGGAGGCTTCTTTGTGTGTGTGTGTGTGTGTTTGTGCGTGCGCTTGCTCTTTCACTTACACGCGTTGCTCATGAGCTGAACTAGGAAGGTACATGCTCCCGGGTAGCCCCACAGCCCGCGAACAACATCGGTAGCGACCGGCTAAACGTCGGCCGCGTCAACGGCGTAACGGATTGACGCAACTGGCCGGGCAAGGGAAGGGGGTGGCACCGGGGCGAAGGAGGGCGAAGAGGGCGAAGGAGGGTCAAGACATCACACACAGTCCCTGAATCTCACGCGATCAAACGCCGAAGACATTTGTTCCCACCCCACGGCACCATCTGCCAAACTCCGGTCGCGAGCAAAGCCACCTTTGAGCCTAAGAAACCTAACGACCACGTTGCGACCACACACAGCTCCCCGCCGCGCATTGCCATTGCCCATCGTCGTAGTCGCCATGGATCAACGAGAGCTCGAGTCGCGTGTAAAAGCGCTGACCAAGTCGGTTGCTGCCAACGAACCGCCCGAGAACGCCATCAAGTTGCTGGAATCGCTTAAGAAGGATGCCAAGCCTACCGAGGAGATGCTGAGGGTACGTTTTCAGCGCTTTCTTGCTTTGCGAGTTGGAGACCGTGGAGGATGCACATGTCGTGGGATGACTTTTCAAGACGTCATGCCTTGTTGACATCACACCTCATACACCACGGGAGCTTCGTGCGCGCGCATCACATCATCTTGTCCAACATTGTCCCGCCGCCCTGTGGCCGTCCTCAAAACCCCTTTTCTATCTAGATCTCTAACGTCGCTTTCAACAGGCTACAAAGGCCGGTGTTTTCGTCGCAAAGCTTCGAGCAAACCCCAACAAGGAAATCGCACGATCAGCCGCCGAACTCGTCATCAAGTGGAAGAAGCTCGTCGAACAAGAGAAGGCCTCAAGGGCGCAGCGGCCAAAGATGGGCTCACCCGCCGCGGCGCCGGCCTCATCCCCAGTCCCCCAGGCAGGCTCTGCCACCGGTGCCAAGAAGGCCTTCACGGGCGACCCCGAGAAGCGTAGCTTTACTGCTGACGGCGTTGAGCTTAAGCGAACCAGCTCGGGCGTCCGAGACAGGTGCATTGGCCTCATCTACAATGGTCTCGCGTATAGGTCGACCGAGTCTCCAGACGATGTCATCGCCAGGGCTGTTGCTGTGGAACACGCCGTCTTTATCGAATTCAAGGAAGACGAAGGTGAGGGATACAAGAAGAAGATACGGTCTCTCTTTGCGAATCTCAAGACAAAGTCCAACAAGGACCTCGGCAAACGTGTCATGGCGGGAGACATATCGCCCGAAAAATTCGCCAAGATGACCGACGAAGAACTCAAGAGCGAAGACCAGCGCAAGAAGGAGATTGAGCTGGAGAAGGAGAACATGAAGAGGGCCCAGGTCCCCATGGCCGAGAAGAGCATCAGCGATAGTTTGGAATGTGGCCGTTGCAAGATGAAGAAGGTCAGCTACACGCAGGCTCAGACCAGAAGCGCGGATGAACCGATGACGACGTTTTGCGAGTGCATGAATTGCGGCCACAGGTGGAAGGTATGTCGAGCTGCAGATCAAGCTCCCAGTCAGGTTCGTCTGTGTGCTGACATTTTGCGACTAGTTCTCTTAAATACAAACCATGGAAAAAGAAAACCGTACTTTGGCTGTACAACATTTACTATTCTACCAGGGGACGCAAAGCACGTGAGGCGACAACGGGTTAGGAGAGGCCAGCGTTTATATCGTTCTACAGTTTTCCGGGTGTTGGTTTGCATTTAGGAGTGCGGGTTGGGCTGTCTGCAAGACGACGATATAATTAGGACGGGAGTTACAGGTTTGCTATACACCAGTTCAGACGTAATTTTTTTCCTTCTCCCTCTTTAACATTTTTCTTTGTACATGGCGGAGCGGGCGGGCCTAGATTCAACAGTCTGGTGAGGATAGTCCAGAGAAGTCGGAGAAACAGCCCGGACCAGGCACCTGTGAGCATGGAGAGTTGCTCTTGCTAAGAGGATACAATCAGTGCGTAGATTATACAACTGCCTAGCTGTGCTACAAGGCGGCCGTTGCCGAATCTACCGTGACACCGACGGCATTATTCAAGTCGGGTTCCTGGTATCATGTTATGAATAAAGATGTCGTCTTCTCACTCCTCCTGCCTTGCTATACCCAGCTCGCCAAACAGATCCGAAGCCTCCTCATCCTCCAGCCCCATTTCCTTGATCCTCTTCCAAAACTTACTTAAATGCCTCGTGCCCGAATCGCAAAGCACCGTAACAACCTTACTGCCCTCCGGTAGCCCCATGGCCGTAACAACCGCCGCCACACAGTTCACGCTGCTGCTGCTCCCGACAAATATGCCGTCGTTCTCAACCAGCCACCTCGCCATACGGCAGGCCTGCTCGTCCGTCACCTTGACCGCGTCGTCGATCAGATCCCTCCCCGCTTCAAAGTTCTCCGTCACGCGGTTGATGCCGATCCCCTCCACCATGGAGTCGACCTGTTGCCGCCGGCGGGTGCCCTCCTTCTCCGTGTTGGAGTACATGACGCCGTGCTTGACCTTGTTGAACAGGCCGCTGCCCTGGGGGTCCGCCAGCACGATTTTCACGGCGCTCGCCTTGGCACCGAGCCTCAAGTAGCGAGCCACGCCGGTTATGGTGCCTCCCGTGCCGGCGCCGGCAACAAACGCGTCGAGGTCGCCGCCCGTCTGGCTCCAGATCTCGGGCCCCGTCGTGTTGAGGTGTGCGTGCCAGTTGGCCTCGCTCTCAAACTGGTTCGCGAAGAAGCCCCTGCTCCCGTCGGCGGAGCTGGCCGTGTGAGCGTCCGCCCGCCGGCGAGCAAGGTTGACAAAGTGGTCTGGGCTGGTGATGGGCGCGACGGCGACGCGCTCGACGGCGGCGCCGAGGTGGTGAAGCAGGTCCGACTTCTCGAGCGCCTGGTCATCGGGCATGCAGATGTGTGCCTTGTAGCCCCTCGCGCGGGCCAGCGTGGCCAGCGAGATGCCCGTGCTGCCGACTGTGCCCTCGTAGATGGTGTCGCCGCGGTGAGGCACGAGCAGGCCGGCCTTCTCGGCCTCCTGGATCATGTTCAGCGCCACGCGGTCCTTGGGGCTGTTCCCGGCCCCGTTGAGGAACTCGGCCTTGGCGAGGATGACGCGCCCGGTCGCTCTCGACAGCGACTCGATTTCAATGAGCGGCGTGTTGCCGATACATGATGCGATGCCGGTCCCGGCGCCGGGATCCCCGCGGCTCGGTGACGGTGGTTGCGACTCGTGGTCTTCTAGTTTGAGGGGCTGGCCCCAAAACAGGCTGCTTCGTCGGCGGTCGCCGGGACGGGCTTGTGAGCGGCGGCGCGTGTGCTGGTAGCGGTATTCGAGATCGGGGTATAAGTCTTTGAAGCCGAGTGTGACGAGGATGCCTGCCCCGAAGGCTAATGCAACGGCTGCGGAGCCGTAGGCCTTGGGGTGATCACTTAATGACATGGCTGGAAGGTCATGAAGTCATTTCAAATATATGGGAATGCGCCCTGGACTTGACTTAAGTCGAGAGGTTGCTTTTCTATGAATTTTTTCTGTGTGTGCTTGAACAAATCTGATGTCATGAGAATTGGCATGAGAAGGTTTGTGAGTTCCGTGGGAAGGCAACAGTGCAGCCACTCAGATGCTGGAACACGGCGCTCAGCCCCACTTAATCTTGGAGCTCTCCTCGCGGCCAGAGACGAACGAATATTGACAAACCCTGGAAAACCTCACGAGAGCATCACGAGAGCTCAACCTGCATCTCGCCAGCCATGGACTCCCCCATCGTGGCCCAGCTCTTCCGGCAGCTGTTTCGCAATCGTTCTGCAGGATGCCAAGCGCGGGTGCAGCAATTGCGCCGTGGATTCCCTGCGGCCACCACAAGCAGCTACCGGCATCAACATCACCACCAGCAGGCGAGTTCGTACGCTACGCGAGCCTCCCGAGACCGTGGCATGAAGTCAAATGAAAGTCGCTGGCAGCAGAGAACAAACCTTTTACCCGAAGACAGACGGGAGGAGTTTGCGCAGTACCCGTACATTTCCATGTCGGAGCTGAAGAAGCGCAAGGAGCGGCCGAGAAAAGTCAAGATGCTTCTCCGTGACTTTATCGACGGTAAGCACGCGTTGTATTTTCCCGTCGCAACTTGACATATACGTACGTTGCTAACAGCTCTGAATCAGACAGCTTATACAACCCTTCATACGGGTACTTTTCCAAACAAGCCGTCATCTTCTCCCCGGGTGAACCTTTCGACTTTACCACTCTCCGCGACGACCTTGCCTTCCAGTCCGAGCTCGGCCGCCGCTACACCTCCTTCGAAGACCATCTCGACGACGTCGAAGGCGAGAACCCAACCCGCCAGCTGTGGCACACGCCCACGGAGCTCTTCCGCCCATACTACGGCGAGGCCATTGCCCGCTACCTCGTCACCAACTACCGCCTAACAACCTATCCCTACGACGACCTGCTCATCTACGAAATGGGCGCCGGCAGAGGCACCCTCATGCTCAACATCCTCGACTACATCCGCGAAGTAGACCCCCAAGTGTACGCCCGCACGCGGTACAACATCATTGAGATTTCCACCAACCTCGCCTCCCTCCAGAACAAGCACCTCCTCTCGACGGCCGAGTCGCGCGGCCACAGGGACAAGGTGGACATTGTGAACCGCTCCATCTTCGAATGGGACCAGTACGTCCCTTCGCCGTGCTTCTTCCTCGCCATGGAAGTCTTTGACAACTTCTCCCACGACTGCATCCGGTACGACGTCGCCACGGAGGAGCCGCTCCAGGGACACGTGCTCATCGACGGCGACGGCGACTTCTACGAGTTCTACGTCCACGACCTGGACCCCGTGGCCGCGCGCTTCTTCCGCGTCCGCCACGCCGCCACGGGAGGCAACTATCCGCGTCCGTACCCCACGAACCCTGCGCTCAAGTGGCTGTCCACCAAGATGCCCTTTGCCGCGAACCTCTCCGAGGCCGAGTACATTCCCACCCGCCTGATGCAGTTCTTCGACGTGCTGGAAAAGCACTTTCCGGCCCACAAGCTGCTCACCTCTGACTTTGACTGGCTGCCCCAGGCCGTGAAGGGGTTGAACGCCCCCGTTGTGCAGACGAGGTACCATCGGAAAATGGTGCCCGTCACAACGCCGCTGGTACGTACAACCGCCCAGTGCCATCATTCCAAAGCAGGACCCATCCCGTGCCGTGTGCTGACAATGTCGTAGGTTCACCAAGGCTACTTTGACATCTTGTTCCCCACCGACTTTCGCATCACCGAGGCCATGTACCGCGCCGTCACGGGCAAGCTCACGCGCGTCATGACCCACGGCGATTTCATGCGTCGCTGGGCATACGTGGAGGACACGGAGACGAGGAGCGGCGAGAATCCCCTGTTGACCTATTACAAGAATGCTAGTGTTCTTGTTACTGTCTAGTTTGAATAGACTGCTGTATATATGTATCATAGACCGAGACGTATACCCGACACGTACGCAAGGCAAATATAACCTATTCTATCGTTTCGAATGGTGCCCATTGAAACATGATAAAAAAAAAATTCACATAAATCTTGATTGGTATTTACCATGTCCCTGTACCAAGTCACCCATCCATCCATGCCGTTGTTAAATACATAGGCTCCCATGGTTCCCATAAACAACTACACCAACAACACCTACATACAATGCTTTAAAGTTTTTCCTCGAGCCATTTCCTCGCGACTTCGACCGCATCATCAATGTTTTCGGGTTTCGTGCCCTGGCCCTGGCGCGTGGGCTCCTTACCGCCTGACCGGCCGCCTACGACGTCTGATACCACCGACGCCCATTGCTCGGCGGTGACACCCTTGGATGCAAGGCCCTGTGGGAAAGAAAAAAGTCAATCATGAAATTCATCTGGTGAATGAGTAAGAGAACTTACGGATCCGACGTAGACACCGTGCACGACGGCACCTTCTTCCTGACTACCTCCGAATATATACACGGACTTGGTCTTGTCCTTGGCCTGGAAGTGCTTGAACACTTCTGTCAGAGCCTTGGCGTTGGCACTAATGGGGAGACGGCCGACGAAATAGTCGACGTCCTTCTTCTCCTCAAAGTGCTTGACGACGCAGCCTACAGCCGCGCCGGCCTCGGCCTTCTGGCGCTTCTTCTGCTCGGCGATGACAGACGTCGCAATCTTCTGGAAGCGCGTGTTGAGCTCGTCCTTGGTGAGGGTGGAAATGACGAGCTGGCTGAGCTCCTGCGAAACAACCTTGGTTTGGGCATCCTTTGCGGGTCCAAAGGGCATGGCTTCAAGGATATCTAGCTTCTTGGAGAACTCGGCCGCCTCGCGCTGTACTTGATGTGCCGCCTCGCCAGTGTACGCAATAATACGGCGGATTCCCTTGGCAATGCCACTCTCTTCAACCAGAATAAGGTCCTTAATCAGGCCGGTTTGCTCAACGTGGGTACCGCCGCAGAATTCAACACTGTATGAACGCCACTCCTGCTTCTTGGGGTCCTTGAGCATGGTGTCAACGTCCATGCCAATGGAGACGACTCTCACAGGGTTGGGGTACGTTTCGCCAAAGACGGCACGGACTCCCTCGATCTGGCGCGCGAGATCTAGATCCACGTCTTTAGAAAAGATCTTTGAGTTGCGGCGGATGTATTCGTTACTGAGGGTTTCAATCTTGCGAAGCTCCTCAATCTTGACCTGGCTCTTGTGTGAGAAGTCGAAACGAAGCTTCTCATTGTCCACCAAGGAACCTTTCTGGTTGATGTCGTCGCCGAGAACCTCTCGCAGGGAGTGATTCAGCACGTGCGTTCCAGTGTGGTTGTTGCGGATGGGAGAACGGCGAAGTTCGTCATACTCGCAAATAACCTCATCCCCTGACGACAACGCACCGTACTCGATGTAACCGCTGTGTAGAATGAAGCCACCATAGTTTTGGACATCCATGACCTTGAATTCAACAACGTCGTCAATCACAATTCGGCCCGTGTCGGCGACTTGACCACCAGATTCAGCATAGAAATTGGTCTTGTCCAGCAGGATACCGATGGCGGTCTTTTCTGGCAACTCTTTGGTAGAGTTGTGGAAGGTCTTTCCATCAAAGATAAGTTGAACCTTGCCCTTGCTGTCACCCTTCACGAACTTTGCATCGTCGTCTGTTCGAGCAACTTTTTGCTGGTCAAGCTGGGCGATCTGGTGAACATCAAGTTTGGCAAAGGTGTCAACGGACGCCTTGACAGCCTTGCTCGCTTCGCGGGCCTTCTCCTTGGCAACGCTGACTTCACTCTCATCAATCTCAAGGCCACGCTCCTCAGCCATAATCTGGGTCAAATCAACGGGGAAACCAAAGGTATCGTACAAGCGCCAGACAACATCACCATCAAGCTTCTTAACACCGGCCTTGGCCGCCTTTGCTGCATACTTTTCAAACTGGGCCTCGCCACGGTCCAGTGTCCGTGCGAAAGCCTCCTCTTCCTCATCAAGAATTTCCTTAATATCCAGCTGCTTCTTAACGAGCTCGGGGAACTGATCTCCCATGTGAGAAACGAGAGCAGGAAGGATTTTGGAAAAGAAGCTGCCAATTTCGGCATTAAGGTACTTGCGCGCATATCGCACACCTCTTCTGAGAATTCGTCGGATAACGTAGCCGCGGCCGTCGCTGTTGGGAACGGCACCGTCCGTAATCGCAAAGGAAAGAGTTCGGATGTGATCCGCAATCACTCGGTAGGCGGTGTCAATACCATCAGCATCGTCCTTGCCGTACTTATCTGAGTACGGTCTTACGCCAGTGACTTCTTGAATCTGTTTGAATAGAGGGGTGAAACAGTCGGTGGCATAGTTAGAGTCGGTCTCCTGGAGCGCGGAAACCACTCGCTCAAAACCCATACCCGTGTCAATGTGCTTCGCGGGTAGAGGCTTCAGGCTGCCATCCTTCTGGCGATCAAACTGCATGAAAACGAGGTTCCAAATCTCCACGACCATGGGGTCATCCTGGTTGACAAGATGCGCCGCATTTCGCCCGCCGATTTTGTCGTAATGAATCTCACTGGAAGGACCGCAAGGACCCTGGTCACCCATTTCCCAAAAGTTGTCCTTCATATCTCCAGGAACGATCTGATCCTCGGGCATGCCGATATCCAACCATAACTGCTTCGCCTCGTCGTCCGGGGGCAGGCCAAGCTCCTTATCACCCTCGAAGTAGGTCGCATATAGTCGTTTGGGGTCGAGTCCATAGACCTTTGTAAGAATCTCCCAGGCCATCTCAATAGCCTCCTTCTTGAAGTAGTCGCCAAAGGACCAGTTGCCCAACATCTCGAAGAAGGTGTGGTGGTAGCTGTCCTTGCCGACATCGTCGAGATCGTTGTGCTTACCGCCCGCACGAATGACTTTTTGAGTATCGGCAGCACGCTTGAGGTTGGCCATGGGATCGGACTGGTTAATGGTGCCGAGGAAGATGGGCTTGAACTGGTTCATGCCCGCGTTGGTGAAGAGCAAGGTGGGGTCATCGTAGGGAACGACAGAACCAGAAGGCACTGCATGGCGTTGGTTAGCATGGGGCTTTTTCGAGTGACATCGTCATATGAGTGAAGTGTTCAAAGGTAGTCAAAAAATGCCTCGACACGATTCCTTGTTCGCCTTGGCTGGCACTTGACCGTGTGGCAAACCCTCGTCGACGATGGCCGTCTGGGCCAGGTTCATCATGAAGGAGGGGCAATTTTGCATACCTATTGTATGACCCCGCTGCTGCATATAGTCAAAAAAGGCCTTGCGCACCAGCGCAGACGGCCATTTGAGCTCGCTCATGTTGGACGAAGATGATAATCGGCGCTGGTCCTGGTCAGAAATTGCAACGGCGGGAGGTTGCAGTGATGCCGAGCGTGTCGCGCGTAACGTGTGGAATCTCAAAGTGCGGACTCGGCAGAGCGGCGGGTGGGTTTTGTAGAAACTTCTACAAGAATGAGTCAAGGCGGATGCGGAAGGAGCGAAGGGTACAAAGGGACCAGCAGCGCCTGCACCCGCCGCCGTCGCAGTCGCTGTCACAGTCACCATCCGTCCAACAGCTCGAGTCCCGCAGCCACCACCAAGGCCGAAGCCGCAGCTCCCACGCGCGCGCATCTGCCCGATCAGTCAATCAATCAATCAACCAGTCAGTCAGTCAGTCAGTTATCGAGGCGATCCAAAGACGCAGGCAGCGCGACGCTGGTCCGCTCACGACAAGCCCAATTCCTCAGACCCGACGCTCCCCAGCCCCCGTCACCCTCGGTATCGTCCCAATCCAGACGACTTTCCCGCAACCCATCCAGCAACGTCGTAAACGTACCGAGTAAAACTCGCCCAGTTCACCAAGGCGCAACCTGCCACAGCACCCTGCCTGTTGCTGCTTGCACGTCCCCGAGAACCAGATTCCACATCGGCTGGCCGACCGAGAGCGTGCGCGTGGTTTAGATGCAAATCTGACTCTGCGACGCGGCGCCGCGCTTGCGTAGGAGGAGGTGAAGAAATCGCAAAGTCGTTTTCGAGCTCCAACAGTCGAGGCAGCACTTGAGATCAGGATGATGGTTCAGGGGGGCCCAGCATCTCACCTGCTCCCAGGCCCGCCCCAGTTCGCCGTGTCCACCGAAGCCCACCTGGCCCCAGGCGCCAACCGCACTGCAGGCTCGCTGCCTCAGGGCGACGGCGTCGGCACTCCAGCGCCCGCCAGCGACACCACCATGCATGTGCAACCCCCCTCGGCCCTAGGCAAGAGGAAAGCAGAGACGCAGGACAATGAACGGCTTTCGAAGCGCTTAAGTCTACTTAATTTAGGTATGCGCGCAATGTCAACTCCCTCTATTCTTCGTTCCTGCTCTATCTGACATGGGCCATCTCACAGAACAATCCGGCAACAAGCTCTATGTTCCCGTCGAAACACCCCATCCACCCAGCGCAACATGCGCGACACAAGCTACCTCCCAGCCCTGCGAACACATGGAACTAGACGATTCTAAACATAAAGTATACATCTACAACTTAGACGACGAGCTCTCTTCCGAAAGCGAGGACGAGGAAGGAAAACTCGTCTTCCTTCCCGACATCGAGAAACACCTTCGCGAGACTCGTATACCCAAACACGTCCTGGCAAATAACGACGGAGAGCTCGCGGGCATGCAGCTAGTCCTGTACAAGGATCCTACGTCGTTGTCGGTGCCGCAAGAGGAAGATAGCGTACGCCGGGCTGTTCTAGAGGCGAGGCAGCGAATGAGAGAGAAGCAGAAACTCGAGCAGATGGGTGTCGCAAGCACTACTGCCACCGATGCCGGCGACGGTGAAGACGATGAAGCCATGGACATGGATTGATACCGGCCTATCTTTTTCCCTTTTTTTGTTAATATCGGATACCACGTGTTTTGGTGCTCATACTATTTGTGTACAATATATTCTTAGTAACGATTAATGTTAGCGTGCAGTTCAGAAATTCAACCCAAAGTCTAGCCAATATCAATGCCGAGTATGCCAATCCGCTGATGCCAAAAGCATAGAAATCAAACGCTACACCCAGCATATTCAATCTACCAGCATTCCTCTTTCCAAGTCTGCCATAGAGCTGGCATTATGAAGGGGTGAATTGTTTCGCTCATTAGTCAAGTGAAATTACAAGCATAATACAAGTATCGTGCAAGCGTAAAATCTGATAACACGGTATTGGGCTGTACCAGACCAAGGACAGTAAGAGACCGTCTACGCATCGTGACGCGTCAGACATACCAACAGCTGGCATTATTACCCAGCAGTAGCCACAATAAAAACAACAAGTCGTATGTCAAGTCCGGCGAAAAGCCAAACTACCGAGCAGGAGGCGCCCCAGTAGGAGGCGCATACTCGGGCGCAGGGTTATCCTCCGTCATCCTATGCGTCGACGCCCTATTCTGCGAGGGATCGACCTTGGAACCTCCCGGCGGACCAGAGTACATGGGCGGACGGTTGGGATCATACGCCGGCAGAGGCATGTCGTTCATGGGGTAGACGTTTTGCTGGCCGTTTTGCTGGGGCGGGTAGTGGCTGTATTGATACTGCGGCCACTGCTCCTGGTAGGTCGGTTGGTAGGAACGACGACTAACAAGACACTGCGACCGGGTCAGTACTACTGTCCTTTTCGTCTTCTGCGCATGTCATGTTACGGCGAGGGGTGCGTACTCTGTGATAAGCCAGTGGCTGGAGACCCTTTCGAATGCGCGCCTTGGCGTGGTAATATCCTCCTATGAGGTAGCCCATGACGAGCGCGAAGAAGACTAGGAAAATCACCCATCGCACAATGACGCCGGTCTGTACATATAGGGAATCAGCATGATGCGACAAGTCGCTGGGCTCTGGTGACGGGAAGTCTTACCTTGGTATGCCACCACGGGACGTAGAAATAGTCCCCATTTGCGTAAACCACATCTCTCGCAGCCACCGCCATGGTCGTCGCTTCGTCCATGTGTCCAACTACGGATGCTGCGTCCCGCGCGAGAAGAAGAGAATATAGTCGTTGAATCAAGGGAGCCGGGGTTTTCGTCAGTGGAGGTGCGGCGTAGATAAACGGTTTCGACGCAAGGGGCCAGACGAAATGGCAAAAGGGGAAAGAAAAGTGATGGACAGGTTCCGTTTAAGACAGAGCGGAGGGATTGTAATGGCCACCGGGAGCACAACAACGCCGTGGTGGCTGTGTGGGCTCTTGTCCGTCTCTTGCGTCCTGCGGCACTCCAAGTCACAGAGGTGTGAGGTGTCGTGTTTCACCCTTGGCAACAGCAGAATTGGGGCGGGCCGCAATTCAGGTCGTGGCTGCCGTGCCAAATGCAGAGACATCCGGGGGGCATCGGGCCACTTGGGGGTCCCAGATTTTGACGCATCATCAGCGGGCGGCCGCCCATTGGCCCCTTGGAACACGGAAGCGTGGAGTGCTGACGTACACGTGCCTGTGTGGTCAACGTGGTACTTGGCAGGTACCAGTCGTATTACTGCAGGGTGACCGCGGACGACGGGGAGCTTTGGAATCAGTTGATGACACGTCGAGGTTCAATCCGAGCTTCAGCACATTACATCTTGTTTTGCATTATAATTACAGACTGTCACGGATTGCAGCAAATGGAAGCAGCCTATCCAAGGCGCCTCGCATAACGCGAGTCCATAATTGCCAACACCATGGCCTATTCGCGTGGCTTGTCACTCCCCTGACGCCATCAATTTAATGTCATCACCATCTCGGCCAGCCCTGACTGTCGCCGTCCATCGATTTGGGAAGAATGAATGCGCTTCACTCAACATGTCCCGTTACACGCATACCCAGAATGTTTGGTGTCTTACGGGGTAGTGACGATCAATTGATCTATCCGCCACTCGACTTGGCATCCGTCCGCCAAGGTGAAACGAAGATTGAACCTTCGGCAAAGTCGGCAGCTACTGTCATTATCATCCGTCATCACAGGACCTACCAATGCTGAGCTGCGAGACCAAGTATGTTCCTATTTCAGCATGCTTATACGTTTCACTCCCAAAATGGCAAAAGTCTGTACGACGGCTCGTGGCCATCCAATGAATTCTCTACGAATGTCATCGAATCATCGCTGAAATGCTGCCCAAACGCCCGCCCCAGTCATAATCTATATACACGTGTCCAAAGTATTTATAAGCCCATGCCCCCAGCAGCCCACCCGCCAAACCCATCAAACCGGTTCGCGGGATTCCCAGCAGGCCCTGGAATCGGTTGTTGCGCTTGCGCTTGCTGGCCCTGGCCCTGGCCTTGGCCTTGACCCTGTCGCCTCGCTTCCTCCGCCTGTGCGTAAGCTTGCTGCATCCTCTGTCGATACCATAGAAGCAATACCAGAGAAAAGGTGATGCCAACAACGAGGATGCTTTCTACAACACCGCCCGCGTCAAGATAGTCATCATCCCCGACATCCAGAGTATCATCATCCATGTAATCCCCATACAGTGCTTCGTCGTCATAGTATTGGTCGTCTTTCATAAAGTTGGCAATCCACTCTGCTAGTGACCAGTCTTTGCTTTTGCCTGCAGACACATGTTAGCCCCAACAGAAGACGGAGATTGCGGGACAATATTTATACTTACTGGGTTCGTCCTGGATGGAATGAACCTCGCCATGTGTAATCGTGTTCCAGGCACTTCGAATTCGAAGCTTCAAGAGGCTCAGCGTTACAGGGAGGTATGCCTCCTCATTCACCTCCAGTGCCTGGTCATAGAATCTCTTGGCCAAGTGGAAGTCTTGCTCAAGGCCAACACCGTTTTCGTGCATCCATCCGAGATTGAACAGGGCTTGGGCACTTTGCGAGTACTCCGACGCTCCGGTATAGCACTGCACGGCCTTGCCGACATCAGCTTTGGTGCCGATACCATAGAAGTAATAGTCACCCATCTTGACCAACGAGTCGATGTTGGCCTGCTTCGACGATCGTGTCCAGTGGATAAGAGCCAGACTTGGGTTATTGAGGAGAGTTCCTTCGGTCTGTGACTTGCCCAGCCACAACGATTTTTTCTCCGACTCGGTCATGTCCAACATGTAAGCCACATTGTTTTGTGCTCTCTCATAGCCCTGTTCAGCTGCCATTAGATATTCAAGGAAGGCAACTTCATAGTCCCCAGCATCATAGGCATCATTCGCATCTGCCCACGACGAGACCAGGGGCTCTGCCTTCTCTGCAACATTTTTGTAGTAGCCCAAGGCCATATTGCAAGCCTTTTCGCGCCCTACGCCATTATATATCATCTCCGCCAGATAGTAATGGGCTTCGATGTTTCCATATCTAGCCGCAAGTTCGAAGAAGTTGCTTGCCACTCGCAGGTCCTCAGCTTCGCCCTGATCAAGGTACAGTCGCCCAATCTCAACCTGGGCTGGGGCATAGTCTGCCGCTGCTGCAAGTTGGAAAAGCTCCGAGGCCCGCTTAACGTTCTCCTTGACACCTAGGCCGTTTAGTAATATCAAACCCATTCCATACTGCGACTGGGCGTCGTTGAGCTTCGTCCCTCGCTCAAACCATACTTTAGCTCTCTCAAAGTTTTGTGGCAGGCCCTCTCCTCGTAGGTACATGCGACCGATGAAGCCCGCAGCTTTGGCAGCGATTTTATCGGTGCCCGGCTTTGCGTTATCCACAAGCGTACCGTCTCTTTTCCAGTATCTAGAGGCAACCAAAAAGAAATATTTCTTTGCAAGGCCATAGTCGTGATCGAGACCCCTCTGTCCGTCATAAAATATTCTCCCCAAATTCAGAGAGGCTTTGACGTCGCCTTTCTGCGACATGAGGTCCAGGTATTCGATGACATCGCTAATGGCAGCGTTCGCATCAGAGTGTACGCTCACTTTGCGTGCGTTCAGTCCAGAGCTTGCCGCACTAGCGCCCTCACCATAAACACCACCGTCGTCGTCCGCAATTCGCCATCCCTGGTAAATCCAGGTCACGCCGCCGGGAGGGCCAGATCGATGCCATTGAATTGCCTTGTCGGCTACGCGCTTGTAATATTTAACCGCTACTTCACAGCTCTTTGAAGCCCCAATACCAATGTGATGCCTGAAAGCGGTAGCCATGGCGGCGCGAGTATCGCCGCGGAGAGCTGCAAATGTGTAGTAAAGCAAGGCCTTGGCCTGATCTCGCGGGACTACGTCACCAAGACCCGTTGAATGAAAGAGCCCCAACATGTATTGCGCAGTCGTGTTGCCATAAGAGCTGGCCAGGTGGTTGTAGTAATTATACGCGGCGTGAAGATCTCTGGCATGGCTGTGGTTCCCAAAGAAATTCAATTCTGCTAGTAGATATAGGGCATCGGAATTATTCTGGTTCGCGGCTTTTTCTAACAAATCAACAGCATTTGCGAGAGGACCAGTTGCGGCGGACTTTGATTGCTGTTGCTGCTCCTGTGAGGGGGCCGTCGCAGGTCCTGTAGGTAGGGTGTTTAGGATGTATCGGACAACGGTTCCGACTATGCCGGATGACTGCTGTCTTCGGTGTTGCGATGATCGCGACGCTTTATTCAGTTGCGATAGCGCAGCGTCGACGAATTCGGCTCCTACGCTGAGTCAATTACTGGAACAGTCGTCGGCATAAGTGTGTCAGGGATTCATGGACCAACCTGGTTGCCGAACCGGCGGCTGGACATGCTCCGTCTCAACATCTGTATTGGGACCAAGTCCATGGTTCTTCGGTTCCTTCCAGAGCGTATTTTCCGCATGATTATCTTTATAATATTGCGCGTTCGTACCCAGAACAAAAGCGGCCTGCGGAAGCACTGCCAATGAGACATGTGAGCAAACTGGTGGCAAGTGCAGTACCGGACACAATGGCAGAGCGACTTACGGAGAAGCCATATGGCTGAACTCCTCATGTTGGGCAAATGCTATGGGCCAGAAATCGATGATCGGGTGCAAAGCATAGCGAGTCCAACACGGGCTTGGGGAAGGTGGCGATGTGATGATGGTTGACGTTGGCAAAAGGTGGCCTTGAAGCTGTCGGCCCAGAGCTAATACAAGCTGTCCACTTCTCTCGTAGTACACCAGTCTCCGTCCTCGAATCAGATCGAAGGGTGACGGGGGGTCTTGCCGGCTCGCAGCGGAGGCGGGGTGTTGTTTTAAAGGCTGACTAACACGGTTTGGTCGATCGCGTGCCTCAACTTTGTGGCTAGATTCTAGGCTGACTGTTCCATGCTGGCCAAGTGCTGCCAAGGTGTAAGCTCTGCATATTGAATAGAAGATTTATTAGTTAGTTTGCTGGCAAATGTTTTAGCGATTTGCGGGGCAGAGTACGGATTAGTTGGTTATTATTTTGACCGGCAACAGATGGTGCTTGTGTTTCGCGCAACACCGGGGTGTAACTTACATAATACATAGTCTGACCTGCCACCAGAATGGGACACGATCGCGGACACTGAGCGATGAGCAAATGCACCTAACCCGAATACCCAGGCATTTAAGAATGATTAAGCCTTCTTGTTTAATTCAAAGAATGGGAAACGATACGCATGCACAACTGGACGTCGCAATCTCAACAGGTTTATGTGCAACCATGCTGTCGCCTCTAGTCCCGCCAGTCACAAACCCCATCAACTGCGAGACAGTAAGCTACATGTACATCTCTTTTCCATATGTACGGAGTACCCTCATTCAAAGATAGTACTACTCCATACTAATATTATCGAAAACCCGCCAGTTATTTCAACGTCACATGTGAGAAAGTGCCGCCGTTCAACAAAAGCTCAAGTCCACGCCCCCACAAAGCCATTCACAACTTCACAATCCAAGCCAGTGATGCCCCGTTACGTTAGCGCCACATCAATTCTCCTACGGAACAAAACGCGGGAAGAAGCATGGCACGCAATTAAACTCATCACTCGACCTAAAACCTAGGCAACAAGACAGGCGTATTAAAATCTTCACACAGCACGGCGAGGCCCTTGGGCCCCAGGCACATCATTGATCCCGGCGTCACCCATTGGCCAACTCCCATCTCCACACTCTCAGCACCTCAACCCCCCTGTGGCGGTGGCTGCAACCGCCTGCCTTAAAATGGTCCCAACGGTCTCAGTCGCGTAAACCGGCACTTCGAGCCCTGAAAATCCGCGTCTCCCACGCGCCTGGCAGCAAGAAACTCCGTCCCGATATGTCAAATGCAGCATCCATCCATCCAACTCCTCCAAAGCTACAAATATAACGCGGGGCTGCGTCTCTGCTACTCCAAGCCGTATTGTATTTTACTTGTACCCCAAAACTAAGCCGAAAACGACTCTCATAATCGCCCTGCGTCGTCACCTCCAAGCCCGAGCCCTTCCAGCTCGCCGGCTCCTCACACATCTTCAGACCATGTCCACGCTCAAGCGCAAAGGCGAGTCCCTGACAAATGGAGGCGACGGCAAGAAACCCAAGGCCAACGGCTCCATCGCCTCCTTCTTCAGCGCACCAAAGCCCGCCAGGGGGGCTGCCTCTGCTCCCGCCTCCCCAGCCGTCAAGTTCGACAAGCAAAAATGGCTGGCTGGCCTGACGGCTGAGCAGAAGCAGCTTCTAAAGCTGGAGATTGACACGCTACACGACAGCTGGCTGGCGCTTCTCAAGGATGACATTACGAGCAAGGAGTTTCTGGAGCTGAAGAAGTTTTTGGATCGGGAGACGAATGCTGGGAGGAAGTGGTTCCCCCCAAAGGAGGACGTATATTCCTGGTATGTGTGTGTGTGTGCTTGGCTTCCATCTTTGCAACTATGAGCTAAACGTCTTGTACAAAGGTCGAGACACACACCCTTTCACAACGTCAAGGTCGTCATCGTCGGCCAAGATCCTTACCACAACGATAGGCAGGCACACGGCTTGGCCTTCTCCGTGCGACCTCCCACACCTGCACCGCCCTCCCTCAAGAACATGTATATTGCGCTAAAGAAGGACTACCCTACGTTTGTTCCGCCTCCCAATCGGGGCGGTCTGCTTACACCGTGGGCTGACCGTGGCGTACTGATGCTGAATACCTGCTTGACGGTGCGAGCTCACGAGGCGAACTCGCATTCGAACCGTGGCTGGGAGCGCTTCACACAAAAGATCATTGATCTCGTGGCTCAAAAACGTACCCGGGGAGTCGTGTTCATGGCATGGGGCACGCCGGCTGGCAAGAGGGTACAGAAAATCGACAGGCAGCGACATTTGATTCTACAGAGCGTCCACCCGAGTCCACTGAGCGCATCTAGGGGGTTCTTTGACTGTGGTCACTTCAAGATGGCGAATGAGTGGCTTATCAAGCGGTATGGCGATGAGGGCGAAATCGACTGGGCGTTGACGCCAGGCGTCACGACCAAGGCTGTTGCAGCCACGGTCGCTGGTGCATCTGTCAACGGGACCAAGTCGGTCAAGGTGGAAGTCAAGGAGGAAATCAAATCCGAGGTGAAGGAAATGAATGGATCTACTGCAGTTAAGGTTACCAAGAAAACAGAAGAGGATGTGGATTCGGAGGACGAGGCCGCGCTAGAGGAAGCTCTTCGATTAGCGGAGGAAGAGGTAAAGAAGGCAGAGTAGACAAGACAACGCTGATGAGATGGGGGGCATGGACAGCTGAGTGGCCTGGCTGGTTGCTGGGGATGTGTCTTCCATGGCCGATTCTGTTCAAACTCGTTCCCAGGCATTTCCAACTCTTTGTAGGATATTATGTATTAAGTACCCATAGCTTTAACTTTTCGAGCGGATGGAAATCAAATAATTGTTCCACACATGCCTAACGGTCCATCAAGACCGTCAGAGATGATCCTTTCAGATGCCCATTGGACTCTACAAGAGGCAGATGGGCCAGGCTTTTCCACAGTGCAACAGACAAGCATTCGCTCGTTAAAAACACCAAACCACGATGCGTATCATTATGATGCCATTTTTTTAAAAAATTCAACGTATCCGAGGGCGGCATCGCGTCACTTGAATGTCACTCCGTCTTTCTCATCATTTACACACAGACTTACAACCAAAAGTGTCCAAGCAATAGATTATCACCAGCCAAGAAGTCACTTTATGCACACCTGCAGCCGAAACCGTAGCCTAATGCGCGGCAGTGCCTAGTCCGCATGGCTTGGCCAATCAAACGCAGATCAAGAGGGCTGCATGAAGTGCGTTGGCATCTTCAACGTCTTGCGAGCAACACGAGAGCGACTAGTCTCATGACAGGACGCGCTGTTGCAAACGGCTCGATGTCGGGTTGGGCATCGTCGATGCCGAAATGCGCCGTAGCTTCGTCCAGAGATGTTGACTTATGCTATTCCGGTGTCTGGTCGTCCTGGCGTCACATGCGTGTAGCTGCACGTCATCAGTCAAGTCAACTGCGTCCGGACGCGATGAGATGCGCAGTTCCAAACTGATGGCTCGCTTCTATTGCAATGAACAGTCTGGTCGCAAATACATTCGGCTACTTGAGCACCTGGCAGGCCGTCAAGCGCATGAAGCGGCACACAGGGCAAGACGGAGCTGACACGTTCAAGGCGTTATCGACCCTGTTCGACATTTGAATGTTTGGCCGTCAAAGATGATCTCCGGTTTAGCCTGCAGTCAGGGGTCAAAGACGCCAAACTGGCTAGACCTGAATTGGACAAGCTCCGTCTCCACCAATGCCATGCCGGCACGCTGGAGCGAAAGTAGTTTTTGCCAAATTTTGAGACATTGGACGGCTCACACCGCCATCGCCCTGGGCGCCCGCCTATCATTGGTAAAACTTGCTACTCAGGCGGCAGACATCATCTAAGGAAATGCCACGGAATAATGAAATATTACTGAGTACACCGGGCACATGGCGGCGAGGCGGCAGAAACGGTGGTGGACGGGAGTCTGGTTCAGAAGGCAGCGGTACGACACAACCACGCGGTGAACGCTGGCAGGATTTATCGACAATGGCATTGATGGGTTTTGAGGCACCGTGAGCAAGATGGTTTTGGTAAAAGCAGATGACGTACAGTCCTGGACGGCCGTTGATAGATGCAGCAATGGCCTCTCCGCGTGTGTAGGGCAGAGCGCGGCGATGGACTATTTATATGATAGAGAGGCTCCACGATCATGTTGGGTATTGTGTCATGGCAGAGATATGACAAACGGCAGAATCGGAGTCTGAAACGGGGACAGATTCCGGCCAGATTCAGCGCATATCACTCGGTATGCCAGCAATACTCCGTACATACTCCGTACTTTACGGAATATATCGTACTACTACCCGTCAGCGACGAAGTGGAACAGCCACTTGTAGTGGTACGCATTAATTGCAAAGAGCGGCTGGCTCCCGGTTCAGCCAAGGCTAGTCATCAGAATCGGCCTTGCGCATTGACAGCCACCTCTAGATTCTCTAATTCTCCTCGCAAGCCAAAGAAGCAATGCCCAATACTCCGTACAGATCCCATAAAGGGGAAGTGGGCCTAATCGATGACGGCGTCAAGGCGTTCGCTCAGCGAGCGTCGGGCAACCACCAGAGATGCTGTATCAACTGTCCAATGTTATGTTTGTGTGTATCATATTGTATATACTCATCATGGAGTGAAGCGTCGCTCCTAGATCCCACGTCGGGGGATGTCGCTGGCCGTGACGAATGGGGATGGAGGCGAAATGCAACGTCGACATTCGACATCATGATTAAACGTGATGGACGCACGGGGACTGCTAAAATTGGCGGACACACTCGCAGCCGGACGCAGATGAGATGACGCAGGCAACCTTTGGCGCATAATACGGAGTAGTATGTACGTACAATAAATAGTATCACCGCCGCACGAGGTCTGAGCCCTCGAGAAGAAAGAAGTCCGGTCTGCTGCTGGTTGAACTCTGCCGCTGCAGATGGTGGGGGTGCGCCTCTTCATCTGGTCTGGTCTCTCGCCAGACAGACACTCGCACAAGTCGACATGAAGTTCTCCGTAATGCTGCTTCGCTTCGTCCGCCACTGCATTGCGCCCCGCAGGTACCCGCTGCCACACCCAGCGAGGCCCTGAGCCACCTGAGCCACCTGAGCCACTTGAGCTCAACTGTAATTTACTTTTCGGTCCCCCCATTGTCCTTAAAGGGGCCGTGGGCCAATCCGAGGTGGGGATCAACTGGACCCCTGGTCGCGTCAACCGTGCTGCCGTGCTCAGTGGCGATGCACGTCTATTAGTGCTTGATCTTGGGACAGCAGGCGACAGGGCGCCGAGAAGACATGGACCGAGACGGCCATCATCATCTCGCGTCTCCCCAGTGCCTCTCTGGCCCCTGAGCTGCCATGGTCCATGGTCCATGGTCCAACCCGGCTCAAATGTCATATCTGGTCCAGCAGCCAACCCACCACTTGACACCACGTCGTCGCCGCCCGTCTTTCACCCCGTCCAGTCTCATGTCGTCTCGACCTGAGTCTGCCTGTCCTGCTGCTCGCCTTTTCCTCTCTTTTTCCCTTCAATGTTCCCTTTCTTGCCGTCTAGCCACTTTAGATGCCTTGCGTTTGGGGGCACTGCCTTGATTCTCTTTTGTGCTTCTTCCTTGTTTAGTTCACTTCCCTCTGCAGACTTGTTCTAGTCATTGGGCTGCAGACCATCCTCATCTCGAGTCCCATTCGTCTTTCCACACACACCCCTCCCCCCCCTTTAACTTTCTCGACGCTCTTGCCGTCTCCAGTCCCCGCATCACCACTTACACGTCGCAGCGCGAGTTGAACTACCTTTTCGACCACACCTGGACCACCGTCCATCTGTCTGTTTCATCATTAGGCCTCGTCTCTATTTCGGCCGGGCTTGCTTTTTATTTTTTGTTATCCAGCACTGCACTAAGCAAACCCACACTACCTATCTCCGCCATTGCGCTCAAGTGTGGTCGAGAGCGTTTTCTGATTTCCACCAGCTCTCAGCCTTCGCAGCCCCTGATCGCAACAGTTTCTCGCCGTTGTGCATGATTCCTGCATCCTACATTGCAGCACAGCACAGTCTGGTTTGAACGAGGTAAATCGAGGCGGCACACCACATATCCTTCTCGCCGCCGTTGAAATTATATACCCCCTCGTTCGGGAATCCCCCTTTCATTTGCCCGACATGCCAGGGTTTCTCTCTCGCCTCAAAGGCCGTGAGGTTCTACGAAAGAAGAGGAATAACGTGCAAGGGTTTACCGACTCTCTTCCACAGAAACCAAAATGGGATGACGCCTACACACGGCCGTCAGTTGAGCCAGAGGAAATTCACGAGCTGTTGCATATTTGCACGGCAGAGCTTAAAGCGCGGGGTATGTGTATTCGACTCGGAGTCTTGCTATGCGATGATGGTTATCATTTTTTGTGGCTTGGGAATTTCGGTTGCCTTTATTTGGTTCCATATTCCTTGACACAGACAAAATAGCACATGGGCAATTGGCTAATTCAATCTTCAATTCAAAAACAGGCCTCGACATCCCGTTTCTACTCCTCCCCTACCGGCCAACCTCCGATCCCAGCGCCGTCCGCACTTTCATGAGACGCTTCTTCGACGACGGCTATGGCTTAAAGGGGGACATCTTGGCACAGGAGCTGCGCATGACCGAGCCAATGGTCAGTTGAGCATAGGATTGTGCCCCATGCCACATATAGATATAGCTAACAGCTGCACCAGGTCATCTCGGGTGTCCTAAAGTGGTGCTGGAGTCGCATTTCAGGTGGCGTTGTTGGCTGGGACGCCTACGAATTATTCAAGATAGGCGAAGGTGGTAAGTACAAATTCTTGTGGGCAAGTTATCTATTCCGTTCACAAATGTAACCGGGTCCAACAGATTCACGTATGGCCAGAGATTCTTTCAAGACATTTATACCCCTGAGCGTGGAAAGCGGAGCTCGCCAACGCATCATTTTCGATTTCTTCGAGTTGACAGCAGCCATTGCCGCCCACGGCAAAACCAATGGTTTTGGTGGACGTCAGTTGCCTCGAATGGCTGCGTGGTGGGCATTTGAGCAGAAAGATACGGGCAGTGGTTTTGATGGTGGCTACAAGGCCTGGCAGAAGTAAGTGCCCTGCTCATGTCGGAGGCGAAGCTCGTGTGCAGACAACAGGAGGCTCCGAAAGCTAACACAGTTTCCTCAGGGCCGCCGATGCCACCACTCATCTCTTCTTCTCCTATCTGCGGTCTCTTACGCCGGAAGAAGGTCTCACCGGAATCACTCTGCTTCCTAGATCACTGGAGAAGTTGCTCAACGAAACCGAATACCCACCGATTACTCCGCCGACACTTGTCTCAAAGACTAACAAGCTGGTCATGTTGGTCGACACTGTCTCGCCGACGCCTTTTGCCCTGCTCCGCCGTGCTGGCCATTTCCAGTACCGCGACTCTGATCCAGCCCTGCAACAATTCTCCGACTATAACGATCCGGTACAGGCATTGACTGAAGAGTGTCTTCGAGTATTGCGCGCTATTTCTGCTGCAAACGAATCTCAGGTATCCAGCGTCAAGCACTCAACCAGCCTGCGTGATGCATCATGGTCACGGTTCGAAGACATAGGCTTCGCAGGCACTGTTGAGGAAGAGCCTCAAATTGAGGATAGCCGCCTCCCAACTCAGAACAGGCAAATACAAGGGCTTCGAAGCACACCTGCGTCCGGGTCCGACTTTGGCCGCCCCACGACTCCATCCTGGGCTGACTTCCTGTCATCGGGCTTCATTGATGAGAACCAGGCTCCTTCGAGCGTCCTCCTCCCGCCTGACAAGGTTCTGCCTCCCATTGAAACTCAAATCAGACAGCATAGCTCACAGTCGCACCGTCCAAGATTGGAGAATACCACCACTCTTCAACCCGGAGAGCTTGCCAGCATTACCTTGATGGACCTTGACAACGCCTTCTGGTGGGTATGGATGAGCAGCTTGGCTCCTGAGGAAACGTCTGAGCGCAAGTCCGCTTTTGGCCGTTGCGCCATTATTGAAACAAAGATCGCTGGCGGTAGATGGCTTGTTATGGAGGAAATGATTGCAGGCGCTGCTCCAGAGCCGGACGAAGGGGCCTATATTGCGGAAAAGAAAGGTCTGTTTAGCTGGACCAAGCGCGGCAGGAATATGGCTCGCCGTAAGTCGGTGGGGAAGCATGCTCTCGGTCGTGGTGATAAGAACGCCCCGAGTTTTGGAAGCAGCAAAACCAACGTCGGCCCGGAGACCCATGCCAAAATCCAAGCCAAGGCAGCCCAGATGCGTGCCGTCAAGGAGAATGAGCAGTTGGCTGCATCACGACGTGGCAGAACAGATGGATCAGTGCCAGAGAAGACTACGAGTGTGCTTTCGCTGCAACCCAACCTTGCTCCTGAAGCTATTTCTGCCATCAGATGGGCCACAAAGTACGACAAGGGCAACATTAAGGACGCGTACATGGCTAACAATAGTGCCGGACGTGGAGTCGCGGTATCGTCACCAATCACACAACGGACCAACGGTGCCGCGGCCACAAACGGCAACGGTCATACTGTCGAGAAGAAACCAGATTTGCCGACCAAGGATGACACGCCTGTCGCGATGGTGTCTACTCCCCTGCCCGAGCCTGATGTCAAGCAAACCGACCCTCAAGTCACGGAACCGGCGGTCGAGAAGCGTGACACCCCATCCCCACCCCCCAAGGACATTGATACGCCAATCACTCCTGTGACACCTTCGGTCCCGGGTGTTGAGAGTCTTTCACCTGAAATGGGTGTTCAAAAGGGCGCACTGCAGGCAAACAGGGAGAAGTCGGGCTTGAGAAAACTATTTAAGCGCAAAAACCGATCATCCAAGATCCCTGACGGTGCTTCTGCCGACCTGGAACGTATGCTGCAGAAGGAACATGCCGTTGCCGAGGAGTCAGCTCGCACATCAGACATTGACAAGTCCCCCGTACCAGAGGAGGCAACCCCTGTTGTAACTCCTATTCAGGAATCTCCTTTTGACACTGCTGTGCCTTCTCATGTTGCCGAGGTGACAACAGAGGCTCCCCCTGCTGTTGAGAACATTGAGCCAACCTACGACCCTTCAGCCAGCAAGGACCTATCGCCCATTGATGCACACGACGCGGCTGAGGCCAAAGATGAATTCGCTCGATTCGACCAAGGCCCCCTCACCGACCAGCCTGCCTTTGTTCCCGACGAGGACGATGCTACTCCACCGCCAATAGCTCGCCACTCAAATCCCCGAGAAGACAGCGGCAACAAGACTCAAACTGAAGGGCCGGCTGAGACGCTGAGCCAAAGTGCCGGCCCCGGTGTCCAAGACCGCTGGGCTCAGATTCGCAAGAATGCTGCGCAGAGAGCTGCCACTCGCCCTAAGGAGGACAATTCCCGAGCCAACAAGAACTCGGGTGATGATGACGACACCAGCGTAGAAGAGAGTAAGTCATACATGACGCATACGCCCAGCGATGGTAAACTAATAAAATCCATAGCTATCGAGTCTCGCGTTGCCCGAATCAAGGCCCGCGTTGCGGAGCTCACTGGCAACATGGAAACTGGTAACGGTCCTCAGTTGCCAGTAGCTGGAAGATCTTAGAGACGATTAGCGGCCCGTTGACTGGGGGGTGATTACCATGACGTTCTCTTTAATCTACAAAACTCAACATATCGGATCTCCTATCAGTAAAATTTTGTTCCCAAAATTCCCAACCAGGCTCACATTGCGGGAAGCAAAGGCAGTCTTGGGATGAGACTTGCTCCCGCAGTCTGATGCAGTCCAACCAACTCGTTTATACTGTTTATGGAGCCAGCAGTTGATGCTTTTTTTTTCGGGGTTCTGGCTTCTTTTAATACTTTGCTTTTTTTTTTCTCTTTTTTTTTTCATTGGCGATGATACCACGGGACAATAAGGCTGTGTTACGTGTGAATGCACAAGCGATTTCGGTCATTCGGCATTCGTACTGCATTCCGCAGCGTCTTGATTTCTTTTCCCTAGCTGCCTTGTTTTTGATTTTTGATATTTATTTATTTTTCTTGTTCTTTTTTTGGACAGATCCCGAGCATGCGATTAGAGATGATCTTGGGGCAAAAATATGCTATATTGGCTTTCATAAAGACCTGATTGTCGTCAATCGGATCCATTATTGCTCTTCTACAAAATTGTTTATTGCTCAAGGTTTATTTTCTATCTTGTGACATTTCTTGTAGCGAGTAGATAAATGAGAGCGAGAAATGAGTCCCAATCGGGGTTGAAATTGATACCGTCTTTTTCTTGGCGTATCCATGTCTGCATCATGCGTGTGTACTTGTAAACTGCATGTTTCTATCGTCTTGATGAACGCTGCGCGGGTTCAGGCTAGGTGGTTATTACATGATGCCAAGATGCATCTTCTATCTAGTGCTTAGTCGGCTTGTCATGACCGTTGTCGTCGTCGTCGTCGTCATTATCCTCCATCTTGATGGCCATAAACTCCCCGTCGTCGCCATCGTTGGATTCCGGCGTCTGTTCCCGCTTCCACCTGCCGCCTCTCTCGACCAAAGGCGGGTCGTCGAAGCCCTCGTGGAGGGACCCGTGTTCCGCTCTCACCGGCGAGTCATCCGAGTCCGGCTCGTGTTCGCGCCGCCTCGGTTCTGCTGTCCCCGCAGGACGTGCCGGAAGAGGGGGCCGTTCAGACTCACCTGGCGACAGGGCCGGCGGGGAGATTGTCAAGCCCTGTAAATCATGGGCTACTCGGCTGTCCTTCCTTTGCGGTTCCCCCGCGGCGACGGCGTCAAGGTCGACGAGTTTCCCCTCGGCGTGGTCGTCCTTCATCCGAATCAGGTCGTCCTTTTCGATCTCGCCGCCGGCGTGGACGCCCGTGAACCCGCATTCCTTGAGGATTTCGCCCGTCAATGAAGGGTAGCGCAGGTGGCCGCTCACTTTCTCGCTAAGGTCTAGGTTCTGGACTCCGTGGACGCCCTCGATGGCCTGGAGGCCCGCTACGCCCAGCGCGAGGCTGTGCATGCGGTACACGAAGCCTAGCATCATGTCGTTTTCGGAATACACGTTGAAAATGGTTCCTGAGACGACGCAGCGCAGTGTTCGCCAGTGAGCTGCGTCGGAGGGGGCCGGTGTGCCGATGATGACGACGTTGTCGATGAGGCCAAAGGCCTTGCGTTCCGCGAGGGACTGTAGGCATGCGTGGATGGCGGTGGCGCCGAGTGAGTATCCGATGAGGGTCACGGGCCGCTCGCCTTGGATTTTGTTGATGAGGGCGTCGGCGAGCAGGCGGCCTGCTTTTTTGGACCGGTTGCTCGCCCGGTTGAAGGGGTTGTCGACGTTTGATGCGGCGGCGAGGACTTGGATGGGCCAGAGGGCGGCCCAGAGGGTGGCCAGAACGGTTCGTTTGATGATTTCGACTTTGAGCGTCTTCCAGGCAAAGGACTGGACGAGGTCTTGGAGGGCGGTGCCCAGGCTGAGGAGGGTCTTCATCTCATAGCGGAGCGCGAAGACCTCTGTTTCTGAAGATGGGAGCACGCGCCAGGGAGTGACAATGTCCGATTCGTCGTTGAGCCAGCCGTTTATTCCGATGGTGACGCGGAGTCTGCGGGTTTCTTTGGCAGAAGAGTTTTCATCCGGAGGGCGCTGGAAGTCGGGGCCGTATCCCGTGGTGGAGAGCGGGATGAATTTGAAGTCTTCTACTTCTTTGGCATACTTGTCCATGAGTTCACCCTGGGCGTGTTAGTGGACGGCGGTTTAAGCAATGAGAATATACAGAAAAAGAAAAGAAGCAGGGAAAGGAGACAAACAGTCATCTTGGCGCCGTATGCCCCGAACAGAGCGCCAACCAAGGCGCCGTTCATCCAGAATATCCCCAGGAAGCTGGCCACGCCTCCTAATCCCACGCCGCCCATGATGCCGCCTATCGCGCCAGCTACGAGCGGCGCAGCTAGACCGCCGGTCACACCGATAACCGCCGCGCCTGCTACGCTTGCCAGGCCGACTTTCCAGAAGCGACTGAACTTGTTCTGCTGCCTTCGCTTCTCGGCCTCGGCCTCGGCAGACATGGTTTCCTTCTTGTCCTTGTCGGCGGTGGACGACTCCATGAGCGAGTGAGCAATCTCGGCCTCCTCTTTGTTCACAAACGTCTGCGGGATCTCGAGCGCCGACGCAAGATGTAGTATCATGGTGCGGGAGTGCGCCGAGTACTTGCCCGTGGACAGAAGCAGCAGCAGCACGCAACCAAGGGCCTCTCGACGGTCCTGTGCCGGCACCGTAGTCAACCTCGTGGGTATGGGATGGTATAGTTTCTGGAGTGCCGCCACGTCCTCGGACCTGTCGACCTGCACGTCGCCGAAGCTGATGAGGTTCTCACCCTCCTCGGGCGTATCGAGCTTCTTCTTATCGAGGGCGTCTTGGCGGTTTTTGCGCTCCTCTTTGATCTTGGGCGTGTCCTCGACGCGAATGATTTCTTCTAGTTTGGGCAGGAAGCTGGCTCTCCAGTCTTGCATGTATTTCATGGCTGCTTTTTGGATATGTTCGATTTGCTGTGATGCCTTGCCAGTTGGTTTCTGGGGCGTCGCTTTTCGAGCTGGACTGGAGGATTGGGCATCCTCATCCGAGCCGGTGAGTGAGCCTAGTTCATCGGGGGGATTGACGAGCTGCAGGGCCATGAAGGCGATGATTTCTTCAATGAGATGCAGGAGAGCGGCTCGTCTCGCGGGGTTGAGGGCGATGACGATCTGCCGCGGGTCTGCACAGAGGGGCGCCATGATGGCGAAGGAAGGCTCTTTGACGGGCGCTTGAGGGTCGATTGGCTATGTGAGTGTCATTTAGGGAGTAGTTTGGGTTTTCGTGACGGGCTGTATCTGGTTGGCGTTGTGTTGGAAGTTGGATGTTGTGCCGAGATGAGGGCTGGCTGCCTGAAGCTGGGACTCGGAGGTTGGGGTTGCGTCTGACGGAGAGTTTGGTACGTCACGCACTGGCGAAGCCAGCTCTTGTTGGATCAGTCAAGTCCGTAACAGGTAATTGTCCGATGTGTTGTAAATTGAAGTGTCAATCGCACTACGGCGACCGCCTTCGATGCCTGGCATGAGTAGTCAGGTTTGGAAAGGTTGGATGTTTTGTCGCCGACGTTGCGGGAATGACGTCGCTACGAGCTTTGGTGGGCCGCTTTGTCACTCGGGACTATAAGTGGACTTTCTCGTATCAACTCCCTCCATCGCTCTAAGCTTGTCAGAAGAACAAGGCCTCATCGACCGTGACGCAGGTGGTTGTGGAATATATGCTACGTGCAAACCTGCTTGATAAGTCTTGGTTGCAACAACTTCTTAATGACATACTTGGCTCAACGGCTTACTGAACCAGTACCCCAAAATGACACCCAAAGTATACGAATGAAACTCAAGCTCTAGGGTAAAAAATGATATAAAAAATAAAGACACAATTCTCCTCAACGCCATGGGACGACAACGCCGAAATCACACAGTCCAGGTACAGGGTAGCCTGCTTTCTTCACCATGGGGCTACGGTTTACACACCCACGATAAGCCTATCGCGGCCCGCCCCACTAAAAAAATCCCAAATGCCATCTTCGCCCGCCACAAAACCAACCCCAAACCACCATCTCGAATCCCACGATACCCAACACCCACAACCCTCGTCGCGAGCTTCACAGGGACGCCATGGACGCCAGCGCCCTCCTCACCAGCCAAGGCTGGAGAGGCAAGGGTCATTCCCTCCACAAAACCGACAACTCCATCGGCCTCGCGAAGCCCCTCCTCCTCAACCGCAAAGACAACCGCAAGGGCATCGGAACCACATCACACTTCACCAGCGACCAGTGGTGGTTGAACGCCTTTGACGAACAACTCAAGGGCCTCGAGACGTCCAAAGAAGGCCAAGTCACACAGACTGTGAAGACGGGCAAACTAAACGCCATTGAGAAGGGCTCCCTGGGCAAATATTCTCTGTATACATCGTTTGTCCGCGGGGGGTTTCTAGAGGCGACCTTGCCCACGAGCGAGAGCTCAAGTGAGGATGAGAGTGGCGGCACCCCTGAGACAAGTGAGCCTGAGGCCAAGACGGATAAGAGGGCCCGAAAGGAAGAGAAGAGGCGGTTAAAGGAGGAAAAGGCGGCTAGGAGGAAAGAGAAGGAGGAGAAGAGACTGAAGAAGGAGGCCAAACGGCAGAAGGAAGAGGATCCGCTTGCAGAAGCCAGGGGAGAGCGTGCAGCGAGGAAGGAGGAGAAGAGGAGGCTGAAGGAGGACAAGGCACACCAAAAGGCCGAGAGACGGCGGACGAAAGAGGAGCGGAGGGCTAGGAAAGAAGCAAAGAGGAGGGAGCACAGTCAAGTGCAGGTTGCTTGTTGTTGACGGGTTCATTGTTTACATGGGAGAAGTTCTTGGGGCATTGCATAGCACGGCGTTTTTGGTTTGGGGTATTGTATTGGCTGGGGACTTTCGATGCCGTTGGCTCGGCCATGGCAGGGTATGCTGCTTCTCTGGAACAGGGCCTGCGTGCTCCGCCATGTTGGTAGCTATCTGTGCTCAAACTATTTTGACCATAATGTCAATAATTTGTCGCGATTTCGGTCTTATCATATTTGGCTCGATGTGTCTTACAGTTCTTTCTTTCAGGATTGGATTTGTCTATGTACGAGGGAGAAAACTCTAAGCGAGCCACAATTGACAATAGACACGAACCAGATAGGTGATGCACCTGATTCCGACCTTTGATACCCACGGTTTCTCGCGTGCATTTTTCTTGTGCGCGGAAGCTCCCGTGAGACTATTCCTCCAATTGTGCCAAGCATCTGCCATGAAAACATTCCCTTTATGAAGGAAATGTTCAAGAGACTATTACCGCTGTTTTGGCTTGACTTGATTATTATGAGGTGCTAGGCGGAAATAAGGTTGCAGAATGTCCCATATATGACGACTAAAAGTCTATCAGAGTATGGCTTGTAACTAATCAATTCGTATTATGGTCCTCACATTTTGCAATATTGCGTACGTTGAGGATCTCGAGTACCGAAGCCGTCTCTTATGGTAGAAAATGGATATCGCTTTCAAAGTCCAGAGTTGTCAAAGTTGATAATCGTCACAGTTCTCTTCATCTGGCCGTTCAAGTATTTTTGGGGTGTGCGTAGCGAAACCGTGTTGTCTATAAAGGTTCGTTTCGCTTCCATTCAATTCGATCACCGGATAGTGCTCTATGTTTCCTTTGGAGCTTTTCCTGGCTTATTCGATAATATCCACGGTCTTCTATCCCAGAAGTCATCTTTGATGATGTCCAAGTGCTGTACCACGACCCGCGCCTTAGCCCTTCTCTTTTTATCCTTTTCAGTCTGAGTTTTCGATTGTGTTACAGGCTCGGCCAAATCGTCAATCTCTGCAGCAACCGAGTGGCTACCGGGATCGACCAGTTCATACTGTCGATGTTTGTTAGCCAGAGTAGTCAAATGTAGTTGGTATAGTTGAAGAGGAAGACGAGGAATAATTTAAGTACATCTCTGAATATGACGCTGCCCTTCTTGTATATTTCCGGTTCGTTATTGTAGTTGATGTGGAATCTAGAAAATAGTATCTCGTTTTTGTCTGCTGCCAAGGTGCCCTAACATGCCATCAGACGACGTCGGCGTGCAAATAGGCAGATAACATACGGCTAGTGTTCTTTCAGCATCCTTGTTGTCAAGCCCACCAAGCTGGACGAGGGACCAGAATGTAGTGTTATACAAATTGTTTATGTGACCTAATTGGTTAGTTGATGCAAGAAGGGCATGATGATGCGTGAACATACAGTCTACTTGCCGCCAACTCAAATAGTCACGTAGATTCTGGACACTTGGGTAACATACTGCTCGGCCATCGAAAGTTGGTAGAGGGAAGGACAGTGGCGTATCGAGGAAGCATGTGGGCCAAGAAAATACGTAATTCGCTGTGAAGGTAGATACGATGGTGCTGACCAACTTGCTGCATCGACCTTAACTTTGAGCTTTGCAAACGATTGCGAAGAGCTACGTACCTCGCACGTCGCTCAAACAAGTCACAGGACTTGTGGAGGACAAAACTATTCAACGATCAGGCTTGTGAGTATTCATGTGAAAGGGACAGGTTTCCTACCTATACTCGTCACTGACACCGTATGCTATGATGATCTCGGGGATATCCGTAACAACAGCCATGGCGGCTACGTTCATGAGATCTAAAGCTCTACGATCGTTGGGTTTTTGAAACTCGTACTTTGCGCACATCCTGGCATCCGATACATCAGAATTGTTTGACCAATACGCTAGCCTCTAGGGGGTTGGTACTTTGTGAAGGCGCGTCCGTCGATACGAACCACGATCCATGTGTTTGGCAGCAACGGGTCTGGTTGCTCGAAGTTTCGAACATATTCAAATCTTGCGGGGCATCAGCAGTCTCAACGCGACAACGAAGTTCACCAATATATATAGCTTACTTGGAGTTTGCCATGCCAGCTATGTAACCGTGGGTACCAGCAGTAGTCGTGCAAGATGGACCGTTTTATTATTTTTTATGAGAGTCTGCGATGAGAAAGTTGAGCTCCCCGCGGTGGGGTCAACCGTACTGGATTGTTCCCTCCCATCAAGTTGAGAGTTCAGCGCTCTTGCTAACATTGAATGAAATGCAATGCCCCTCAGTTACCACCAAAGGGCAGGTGCAACCAGACAGCACGTTGACCCACTCCTATCGCGCCAAACGATTAGATTGAATCCTTGTGCGCGTCTGCGTTGCACTTCTGCAAAGGTGGCGGCAAGGCCCCTACAGTAATCCTACTTTTCAAGCACGTCAGTATACTGCTTGCACGCCTATTGATGACCGTATGTCTTGTCTTCCAGCCTCAGAGCCCATTTGAGATGATTTTGCGGCAATCGCGACGATGAACCTGCTGTTGTCGGACGACTACCTGCTTCAGGACTATCCTGAGAGCATCACCAACACCATACGATCCGGTCATGCCACGGTGGTTCGATTCAATCGCAAGGGTGACTACCTTGCCTCCGGCCGAGTTGATGGCGCCGTCGCTATTTGGGACTTGGAGACGATGGGAGTGGCACGGAAATTGAGAGGCCACAGTAAGAGTATAACCTTTTTGAGCTGGTCACGATGCGGAAGATACTTGCTGTCCACCTGTCAAGGGTGGAAGGCTATTTTATGGGATCTTCAGGATGGCAAGAGATTGCGCGAGGTGCGCTTTCGTGCGCCGGCGTATATGGCTGAGCTTCATCCATGGAACCAGTGAGTTCATTGCTTAAACACCTTGTGCGCAAGTGGCTAACTGAAACAGCCTGCAGTTCGTCGCGTCGCTCTTCGAAGAACAGCCGGTTTTAGTAGACATGACCGACCTTGTCGATGTCAAGCATATCCTTCCATCTGTGCCAAAGAGGACGAATTCTGAAGGAAGCGCTGCACAAAGAGAGAAACAGGCAAAGGAAGACGCCAAAGAAAAGACGACGTCGGCTATTTGGACCTCGACCGGCGACCACATCATTGCCGGTACAAGCAAGGGTAAAATCAACTTCATTGATACAAAGACTTTTGAGATCATTTATTCAGAGAAAGTTTGCTCTGGAGTTATAACCACACTGCGCATCACTGGCGCAGGTCGCGACCTGCTTGTCAACTCGCAGGACCGCATTATCCGCACGTTCAGGATACCCAATCTCTCGGTAGACGATTTGGATCTCGACACAATACAACTACCCCTCGAACACAAATTTCAAGACGTCGTCAACAAGCTGTCGTGGAATCATGTCACATTTAGTGCGACGGGCGAATATGTAGCCGCATCGACCTACAACAACCACGAACTCTATGTCTGGGAACGCAACCATGGGAGCTTGGTATGTATGCTTAAGGACCCAAAAGAAGAGCAAGGCGTCATTGAATGGCATCCGTCACGGGCGCTCCTCGCAGCCTGTGGATTGGAAACAGGTCGGATATACATCTGGTCCGTCATCAGCCCTCAAAAGTGGTCAGCGCTGGCCCCCGATTTTGCTGAAGTGGAGGAGAACGTCGAATATATTGAGAGAGAGGATGAGTTTGATATATATGCACAGGAAGAAATCCATCGACGACGACTTGATGCGGAAGACGAAGATGTGGACGTCCTCACGTTGGACCCTACCAAGTTTGATGACGATATCGACAGTTTTCGTATGCCTATTTTGTTTAACCTTGGGGAAAGTGATAGTGAGGACGAGTTCATTGCTGTATCAACCGGCACCATGAGACGTAGGAGCCCTGGCGAGGGCCAAAGCGACATCGACGGGCCCGTAGACACGGTGACCACCAAGAAGGGCGGCACTGCCAAGGGGGGCGGCCGGGGCAGGAAAAAAGTCCTCCCCTGAACGAGCCATATTATAACAGCTTTCAGGGAACCTTTCCCAGGCAGGAAGGCCAAAAGGCATCGCAAACTTGATGCCACGCGCCTCGTGATCAGTCAAAGCTTAGGCTGCACGGCGGCCCATTCCAAGTCAGATCCATTTAGTTCTGCACTGGATAATGACCAGTCTATATTCCCCAAATAGACATTGGAGATATCTTGTCGCTGGAATCATACAACCGATCGACGAACTACATCACCGAAAATTCCGATGGACCAAAGTGGCGAAGGATCAGGGACCTGGAAATATTGCTATGTGACTAAAAAGATGCAATGCACGTCATCTACGCTAGGATTATACGCAGTGGACCGTAGGGACGACATCATATAAGAGTTTTGACTTTCGTTTAGAGCAGATAGCATCAAGTTCCGCAGCATCTGCCGGTTCCTGGCAGGATAACGGGCCTGGATAGTGAATGGAATGAAAGCCATCAAAACCCAATGTTCCTTGATTGGCCATGCTTTGTTGTCGGTCTGTAGAGGTCTGTAGACGATTATGTTTGCGATTCTTCACAGCCACACAAAGGCGTTTGTTGACCACGGGTATCTTTGATACAAAATCAATGCTCATTGACGCATTAACCGTGACTAGACAAAGGATAGACGCGTGATATTAGACGAGTACACTGAATTGCACAGGCTGTGGCTAGTTGAGACTTCGGACTGTCTAGTCCGTAAAATGAATGGTGTTTGACGGTGTTTGAGTCACCGGCGATGCGCACTCTGAACCATTGGCTAAGAGGCTGTCAAAGTCGAAGCTACAAGACCTTGTCTCGGTGTGGCCGGGACTGACAAAAAAAAGTAGACATCTTGATTGACGAAATGTGTGGTATGCTCCCCCTGGGCAGATTAGTCAGTCGCATGATGAATGCCCCGCAAAGGTCCTGCTACCTCCAAAAAATGTTGCCTTAGGCATCACATTTATGGCGCAGGGGCATCTCTGCACCAAAATAGGCTTAGCGGTGTAGACGTGTGCCAGTCGCCTCATCTAGATTCTTTCCACGCTGCCCTCCGGATCTCACGCCTTCACCACGACAAAACTCTGCCTGCCAGCCAAAAGTCATCACCACGCGCGTCGGACATCGAGCGCAGCACTTTGAAGCACGTCTAAAGGTGCTATACGATACGAATATTCGCGTTTGGACGACTTGGACGACTCTACGAGCGGTGGCGACGAAGGAGAACATCTGAGGGTCTCCTGGGCCGTTGGCCAGGGCGAGCGCAGCAGTTGGGCGCCATCCGCCATTCGTGCACAAGTGTTTTTTTCATCGACTGGGAAGTTTACGGACATTATTTATCGGCTTGACTTACGTTCTCTGCGTGTTTTTCTTCGCGATTTCTCCATTTGTCGCTGCGGTTGCGTGTCGCGTATATCCAACGAAACCACCCTCGGTCAGCCCGATCGCCTGAACAATCGTTTTCTTTGACGAGCCTTTCACCAACCGCAACCATGGCGAACTACCACCCTCCATTCTCTAGCGCGCCGCTTAAGACGGTCGAGGAGATTCAGTTTGGTTTGATGTCTCCCGAAGAAATCAAGAACATGAGTGTATGCCATATTCTCTATCCTGAGACGATGGACGAGAGTCGCACCAAGCCACGCGATGGTGGGCTCAACGATCCTCTTCTTGGTTCTATCGATAGAGGGTTCAAGTGCAAAACCTGCACGCAGTCCATGAGTGACTGCCCCGGTCACTTTGGACACATCGAGTTGGCCAAGCCCGTGTACCATCCCGGTTTCATTAAGAAGGTCAAAAAGATTTTGGAGATTGTCTGCCACAACTGCAGCAAGGTGTTGGCCGATACTGTTGGTCTATCCTGACTCTCCGTAGGCTTTTTGTGAACTTCTTGGTTGCTAACACAAAAATTTCTCTCTCAGAGCGATCCCGAGTTTGTCACCGCAATCAACACGCGAGATGCTAAACTACGCTTCAATCGTGTCTGGGCAGTCTGCAAGAAGAAGCGGAGATGTGAAAACGAAGATCGTAACGAGAAGAACGACGATGAGTTTGCTCCTGGCATGAAACCAGTCGCACACAACCATGGTGGTTGCGGAAACGTGCAGCCGCAGGTCCGACAGGCGGCTTTGCAGCTCAAGGCTGCGTTCGATGTTGCGCAAGAGGACGGCCCCAAGAGGCGAGAGACGGTGCCGATCACGCCAGAGATGGCTCACGGTATTCTGAGAAGAATCTCGGAGGAGGATCTTCGGCACATGGGCCTCAACTCGGATTATGCTCGCCCAGAGTGGATGATTCTCACTGTGCTCCCTGTCCCCCCACCGCCTGTTCGTCCCAGCATTTCCATGGATGGTACTGGCACCGGCATGCGAAATGAAGACGATTTGACCTACAAACTTGGTGATATTATCCGTGCCAACGGCAATGTGAAGCAGGCTATCCGCGAAGGATCACCTCAGCACATTGCGCGCGATTTTGAGGAGTTGCTGCAGTACCATGTGGCAACATACATGGACAACGACATTGCTGGACAACCGCGTGCGTTGCAAAAGAGCGGCCGTCCAGTCAAAGCTATCAGGGCTAGGTTAAAGGGTAAAGAAGGCCGCTTGAGAGGTAACTTGATGGGCAAGCGTGTGGATTTCTCTGCGCGTACTGTCATCACTGGTGACGCCAACCTGTCTCTTCACGAAGTCGGCGTTCCTCGCAGCATTGCCAGAACCCTCACCTATCCCGAAACAGTCACACCTTATAATATTGGCAAGCTGCATCAACTCGTTGAGAACGGACCGAACGAACATCCTGGTGCCAAATACGTCATCAGAGCCGATGGTACTCGAATTGATTTGCGCCATCACCGACGGGCCGCCCAGATTTCTCTGGAGTATGGTTGGAAGGTTGAGCGGCATTTGATGGATGGTGACTATATTATTTTCAACCGACAACCCTCTCTGCACAAGGAATCCATGATGGGTCACCGAGTTCGTGTCATGCCTTACTCAACATTCCGACTGAACTTGTCTGTCACTTCGCCCTACAATGCTGATTTTGACGGTGACGAAATGAACTTGCACGTCCCGCAGACTGAAGAAACACGTGCAGAAGTCAAGGAGTTGTGCCTTGTGCCCAACAATATTGTCTCTCCTCAAAAGAACGGTCCCTTGATGGGTGTTGTGCAGGACTCTCTTGCTGGTGTTTACAAACTCTGCAGACGAGACACCTTTATCGACAAGGAAATGGTCATGAACATGATGCTCTGGGTGCCCAATTGGGACGGTGTTATTCCCCAACCAGCCATTCTCAAACCGCGGCCTCGCTGGACCGGAAAACAGCTCATCAGCATGGTCATTCCTCAGGAGATTAGTTTGCATGCCCCTGAAGGTGACTCTGATATCCCCCTCAAGGATACCGGGCTCCTCATCCAGAGCGGCGAACTTCTGTATGGTCTTCTGAAGAAGAAAAACGTGGGTGCAGCGGCTGGTGGTATTATTCATCTGTGCTACAATGAGCTTGGCCCCGAAGGTGCCATGGCTTTTCTGAATGGTGTTCAACAAGTAGTCACTTATTGGCTTCTCAACACCGGTCACAGTATCGGTATTGGAGATACTGTTCCAGACAAGCAGACCATTGAAAAGATTCAGGTTCACATTGACACGCAGAAGGCCGAGGTCGCCAAGCTCACGGCCCAGGCCACGGCAAACGAGCTCGAAGCCCTGCCAGGTATGAATGTCCGAGCTACATTCGAGAACAAAGTCTCCATGGCTCTCAACTCCGCCCGTGACCAGGCTGGTACCACGACACAGAAGAGTTTGAAGGACTCGAACAATGCTGTAACCATGTCGGAATCTGGTTCCAAGGGATCCTCAATTAACATCTCGCAAATGACAGCCCTCGTCGGCCAGCAAATTGTGGAAGGAAAGCGTATTCCGTTCGGTTTCAAGTATCGAACATTGCCCCATTTCACAAAGGATGACTATTCTCCTGAAGCACGTGGCTTTGTCGAGAACTCTTACCTTCGTGGTCTCACACCCTCTGAATTCTTCTTCCACGCCATGGCTGGTAGAGAAGGTCTCATTGATACTGCTGTCAAGACTGCAGAGACAGGTTATATTCAGCGACGACTTGTGAAGGCCCTTGAAGACTTGAGCGCTCGGTATGATGGAACTGTACGAAACTCGCTGGGTGATATCGTCCAGTTTCTCTATGGAGAAGATGGTCTCGATGCCATGTGCATTGAGAAGCAGAAGCTCGGTATCCTCAAAATTTCAGATGCTGCATTCGAGAAGAAATATCGTCTGGACTTGGCCAACCCACCTGATTGGTTCAAGAAGGATTACGAGTATGGCAACGAGTTGGCTGGTGATAAGGAATCGATGGATCTGCTCGATTCTGAATGGGAAACGCTACTGTCTGACCGACAGACTGTGCGGCTCATCAATAAGTCTAAGATGGGGGAGGAGATGATGCAGCTTCCGCTCAATATTGGCCGAATGATTGAAACTGCCAAACGAGTTTTCAATGTTCGTGCCACCGACCGTAGCAATTTGCGTCCCGCCGATGTTATTCCAAGGATACAAAACCTCCTGAGCGAACTCAGGATCGTGCGAGGATCAGATCCAATTTCGATGGAAGCGGACCTGAATGCCACCATTTTGTTTAAGGCTTTGGTTCGCTCTCGACTTGCTTTCAAGGAGATTGTCAAGGTTCACCGCCTGAACAAGCTTGCATTTGATCATGTCCTTGGCGAGCTTCAGAACCGCTGGGACCGTTCCTTCGTCTCTCCCGGTGAAATGGTTGGTGTTCTTGCTGCCCAGTCGATTGGTGAGCCTGCCACTCAGATGACACTGAACACTTTCCACTTTGCCGGTGTGTCCTCCAAGAACGTGACACTCGGCGTTCCCCGTCTCAAGGAGATTCTTAACTTGGCAAAGGATATCAAGACGCCTAGCATGGCAGTTTACTTGAACACAAAGCTGGGAACCCAGGAACAGGCCAAAAAACTTCGAAGCATGGTCGAGTACACCAACTTGCGGTCAATCACGTCCGTGACTGAGATTTACTATGATCCCGATATCCAGGGCACCACCATTGCTGAGGATATGGACATGGTCGAATCCTACTTCTTGATTCCTGACGATGGCCAGGACAATACAGATCAGCAATCGAGGTGGCTGTTGCGAATTACTCTCGATCGACAGAAGCTCCTCGATAAGGAAATCAGGATTGATGACGTGGCCCAGCGCATCAAGGAGGAATATCCCAATGATCTAGCTGTCATCTTCAGTGACAACAACGCAGATGAGCAGGTCATCCGTATTCGAACAGTTAGGCAGTCTGACGAAAAGGATGAAGATGGAGAAAAGAAGATTGAAGATGACGTCATGCTTAAGCGTTTGGAAGCCCATCTTCTTGACACGTTGACTCTGCGTGGTGTGCCAGGCATTGAGAGGGCTTTCTTGACCAAGGGTACCCGTTTGACCGTTGGCGAAGATGGATCTGAGCTTGCTATCAAGGACGATCCCCGTTGCACCCAGTGGTACTTGGATACATCGGGCTCCGCTCTTCGGGATGTCCTCGCTGTCGACGGTGTTGATGCATCGCGAACATACACAAACGACTTGTGGCAGATTGTTGAAGTTTTTGGTATTGAAGCTGCACGATCTGCATTGGTGAAGGAACTGACAAACGTCTTGGCCTTTGACGGTTCGTACGTCAATCACCGTCATATTGCGCTGCTGGTTGATGTCATGACCTACAGAGGCAGCATCTCGGCCGTCACTCGACATGGTATTAACCGGGCGGACACTGGTGCTCTGATGCGTTGTTCATTCGAGGAGACGGTCGAGATTCTCCTCGAAGCTGCTGCTACCGGCGAGCTCGACGACTGCCGCGGCATTTCTGAAAACGTCATGCTCGGACAGCTCGCACCTATGGGGACGGGTAACTTTGACGTCTTGCTCGATCCTAAGATGCTGGAAACAGTCATCTCGGACAATTCTCGTATGGGTCTCATGCCAGGCATGCCTGTCAAGGATGGCGAGGCGGAGGGTGCCGCAACGCCCTACGACACCGGCTCACCCATGTCCAACGACTCTGGCTACATGAGTATGAACTCCCCGGCCGCGGGAAACTTTTCACCCATCCAGGGTGCCGGATCAGAGACACCTGCTGGGTTCGGTACCGAGTACGGCGGTGGTGGCTTCGGCAATGTTGGATCCATGAGCCCTTACTCGCGGGGGGCGACGAGCCCATTCAGCACGTCACCTACTTCACCATTCAGCTCGGGCATGGTTGGCTACTCTCCCTCGTCGCCCAATGCTGGCTACTCCCCTACATCGCCGCTTTTGGATGGCGGTGCTGGGCGCTATGCCACCTCTCCCTCTTTCAGTCCGTCGTCGCCTTCCTTCTCGCCCACCTCGCCGATGCTGCGACCGACGAGTCCAGCCAGTCCAAACTACAGCCCGACGTCACCGAGTTACTCGCCGACCTCGCCCACCTCTCCTCGGCACTACTCGCCTACGTCGCCTGCCCAGTTCAACTCGCCCACCTCTCCCAGCTACTCGCCTGCCAGTCCCAACTACAGCCCTGCGTCGCCTAATCTCCACGGCGCGGCCGGTGCTACCTCCCCTTCGTACTCTCCAGCTTCTCCATCTTGGTCTCCCACATCTCCTGAGGCATACTCGCCCACGAGTCCAAGTTTCCAGAGAAGCCCTGGAAACCAGCAGAGCCCGACGAGCCCCAGCTACTCGCCTACGTCGCCTGCTTTCTCTCCCCGGACACCTGGTCCGGGTAATTCGGGCAATCAATAGTAAGCAACTCTTGACAAAATTCTATGCTCAAAAGTCTCGGTGAATCATTTATTGACACATGTGCTAGTTCTCCGAACTCGCCCTCTAACGATTGATTTTGCAACTGCTTAATGCATACGAGACACAGGCTGCTCTCTAGGTTTTCTTTCTTATCGTACTTTCATTCCCTGTTTGCATCTTGCTATTTTTTTCTCCTACCACACCCGTCGTGGTCTCTTTTGATTTACTGTTGTTTCCTACTCAGGAACAAGCTCAGCATTATAGATCATACACAAAAAGGGGGAATATCGGAAGGGCAAGAAAGCGAAAAACACGAATATCCACAACCCAACATCCACCAAAAAGATGCAAAGCTTAATAAAAGAAAACGGACCAGCACATTGTACCTAGGGGAGGGGGTGAAGATTATGAGAAAAAAAAAGTGTAAAAACGAATGTACATTATGATGGGTCCTTGGTAGGAGAGGGACAAGTCGTGGAGGGAGTGAGGATAGGGGTTAGTGGCATTGATATTTAGGACGAGAGAATGACGATGCAGGTTGGAATCAAGATTGCACGATTGCACTATTGGTGAGATGTGGTTGTTGGGAACGTAGCTTGGCTCTTTTCTTCTTGGTTTGGTTTTGGGCTGCGATGAAACGGGGTTGACTAATATCCTCAAGAAACAAGGTTGACAAGCGTCTTGGTTCGTCTGTTTCGCCTGTGACGGTGACCACGTGTTTTAATCACGGTAGGCACTTGGTGATATTGTAACGGAATGTAGACGCGACTGGCAGGCACGCAAGTTCATGGTGCATGTCTGCATGGGACATCTGCCTTTTTGGTAGGCATCTCTGGTGAGCATTGTGTTGTCGGCGAGAAGGTGCCAACATTCACTTTGTCCCCATGCCAAGAAACCAATACTCGTGAGTCATGATTATACAATGCATGAGATATCACCTCCGCTTGCTCGGACGTCGGGTGACTGGTCCTTGCAACTTTGAAATTTGAATTCCGCGCGTGTAATATTATGTTCCATCACATATTTATCACACTACATGACAGCCTGGTTTGTAGACTTTGCTTGGCAAGCACGTCACACGATGGCGCGTTAACAATGATCACCAGGGAACATACTGGGGTGTGAATGCAACAATCTTGTTGGTTGCGTTGGGTGGTTACGACTCACGATGCCGCCCGGCTGTTGGCTGCTCGAGCAGGCAGTTTTGTTAGGTCTGGCGCGGGCGGCTGATTGAAGGACCAACGGCCAATGATTGTCGACAAAGCCAGCGGGCGTGTAGGAACCCGCAGAGACAGAAATCTGTCTTGACTGCGGTGTTGGGCTTCGTTATGCCGAGGACTTGAAAAGGCAGGACCCAACCAACACTCGGGGCGTGTATGTTGTCTCTGGCATTGGTGCAGGGGAGCGAGGCTGAGTGCAGACGGCAAACCATGCCTCGAAGAGCTGCAGATATGCACAGCGCAAATGCTGCAACGGCATACATCAGCGTCTGATGGCCAGTAAGGCGGGCTCAAGTGCCACGGCCTCCCGGGCCCTCCGTTTGATGCTACATCGGCCAAGGTTGGGGGCGCAAATTGGACGGGAACCCCGACGATTGCGGCCCCCCCGCTGTCGTGAATGCAGGGAGCGGCTAGGATTAGCCGCCGCCGCGTGGGCTGAATAATTGAGCAACGACAGGTTGTTCTGGAAGGCTGCAGCGGCCTACTTGTGACGTCTGGTCTTTTCGTGACTTTTCCCCTCGGTGTGCGGGTTTCCCCAACGGGCCGAGTGAAGCAGACGGCACTTGATTGCAACGACGTGTCGGGCCCAAACGTGCCTGCGGTCTGTCCTGCCCACTGCTGTGTTTCGTGTCTTTCTTGTCTGGGGCACGCAGGGGAGCTGCCCAGCACTGGCCTGAAGGAAGACTGCGCAGATATCGGGTTGAGCCTGGTCATCAATAAATCCCCTGGTTAGTCCATCATTGCCTGTGGCCAATGTTGTGCAAGCCAGTTCAATTTCTGCACTCACCTGGATCCCTCAATGCTATTCAAAGCCAGTCGCATTCTGCTCGAATCTCCCGTCGGCCAAGATTGAGGCGTCATTTCGCTTCAAAATACGGCGTCAAGGCAAGACTCTGTGGCAGGCACTAGCTAGAGAGCCACGCTACGCACATGGTACCGCGGTGCTCATCAACTGCTCAAAGCTCGTTTCATGCTATTCAGAAGCAGGAGCCGAATTTTCAATGGCTCACAGCGGCATAGAAGGGGCGCATGCCGGCGAAAATTTCAATCAACCTTCAAGGAGATTGGCAACTTCAGACGTCCTTGAGCTGTTGTGTCTCGGGCGCACGCCAGCCTTGCTACGAGCTTACGTTGCCACATTCGAGGAAGGGGCAGACGCCGCTGCCGTCGGTGCTGCATCGGAAGGCAGGTGAGACAGCCATGCCTCTACAAGTACTGGGTACATAGTGCGGTGTACGGAATATGCAGTCGCCGCTGGTATCTCTTGTTGTATCGTGGGAATAGGGCTTTGGTCTTCGTTCAAAAGGGAAGGCACCGCCTGCAAGGGAAAGCAAACTGCATGTTGAAAGCCGAGGCGCGAGACCTGTATCCTGAGGCATTCAGATTGCTGCAATCAGCAGCCAATTCCCGAGTTTGGTGGCACAAGACCAGGTCAAACGAATGGTGGTTGGTTTTGGGCATTGCTGGCGCGGAGACGCACGTGACTCACGCAACTGGCCAGCCCTGTCTTTCGTTTCCCCATTTAGGTAAGTACCTAGGTGCTTTAGATAGGTATACAGTGACCAGGAATAAATCCCAGTGCAACTGCACTGAGAAATGCTTTTGTTCCGATGGACATTGGTTCTCATTACGCTGAGCGCCGAAGGTGCAATGCTGCGCACCCTCGCAGAACCGGCCGTACCTGCCCCTGCCCCCTGAGCCCTAACCCGGATAGTGAATTGCTCAGCGCGCTTACTTTTTTTACTAAGTGTACTTATTCTCTTATTAATTACTTACTTAATAAGTATTTATTATATATAAATTTTTTATATTTATTTATATAAATATTTAAATAAATTATTTATATCCCTCTGTAATAAAAGGGAAAACTATAATATAAATATTTTTCTTAATTTTCTTTTTTATTTCTTTTTTTTTTTTACTTTTTTAGTTATTTTATTAAGTTTTTTAATTTTTTTAATATTTTTAGCCTTTAATAATATATTTCTTTTCTTATTAATATTCTTTATAATAATAGCTTTTTATTACCTTTTTAGGCTTATTAGCTTTAATTCTTAAAGTTATAATAGGTAACTTACTTATATTAGGCTTATTACCTTTTTTAGTACTAGTTATAATTATAATTATTAACTGCTAACTAAGTCTGATATTAATAAGCTATAATACTTTAGGGAGTAATATAAAGCCAGAAACTTATAAATAGCTATATTATTTATAAAGTAATTTATTTAAATTAGGTATATAAA